TTCTATTTACTATAATATCTTTATTATTATTATAATTTAGGCATCTTTAATGAACTATAATTGCATTGATCTTACTTTATTATTATTATTGTTCCCTTGGGTTCCTAGTGGAACATAGGGCTTCAACTGCACGTCTCCATTTTCTTCTGTCTTCTGCTGTACTTTTCACCTGCATCCATGTTAGTCCATACCGTTTCAACTCCTCTTCACACGGTCTCCGCCATGTCACCCTTGCACTGAAGTCCCACTCGCCGCTTCCCTTTCGGCCTGGTTCCACTCGAGCGATGGCCTGATGCGCGCGTGATGTCACCCAGCGGGGGCCTCCTCAGCGGACTAGTGTCCAATCCATCTCCACTTTCTCCTGCATATTTGTTGTTGGGCGGTTGGTTCGTGTTTTGTTTCTTCCCATAGTTTCCCATAGTTGGTGATTCTTTCCGGCCCGGCTCGGCCATCTGATCTTCAGTATAGAGCCAGCGAAGACAGTTAGTTGTTGATAAAGGTCTGCAACAGGCTGTTGAAAATATTGTTTGTGACCCGCCCGCCCGCTAAGTTTCTGATTTGTATAGAAGAACTGACTGACTTGACTTTGTTTGTATTGAAAATTCGAGCGAATTTTGTTGTTGATGCTGGCTGAGTGACGAAGATTTGCAGATTGGTTTCAGGTTGGTTGATGAATGTGTTTCTCGCCTTCCCGATTCTCGCTCGATTTGACATCCTCGTCCATTCCTCCGAGGATCGATATTGTTTTAAAAAACTCTAATATTGCTATTGACTACTATTCTAGAATAATCTCAGTATATAAACATATATATATATATATATATATATATATATATAATTGTAGAGCCAGAGGAGGAATTTATCGAAAAGCATATTCTTTGCTCTATTATTTTGTGATTCGATTCTTTCAGCAGCTAACCATCTTATCTGTAAATGCGAGGAACACTCACCCAGTTTATCTACGAATTACAAAAAGAATAAGTTCATATGTGCTTAAAAGAGTAGAGGAGTGATTATTTAATGAAATTCTCTTACGCTCAAACCTAGATTATGCCATCAATAGATAGATGGACAGACAGGCATACGTTGACTTTATTCAATGTCACCCAGCAGGGGGAAACTGAGCTCTATATAGTCTTAGAGAAAGGAATAAATAAATTTTTTCGGAAAAACTCTGAAAAGTTGACAAGTGAGTATTGAGAACAGATTTAGTCCATATCACTTAGAAATGATTCTTACTGTCGTGCGAATCACAATTAAGTAATGTACATATTCTCATATAGAGCTCAAACCATCATTCAGGGATTTTATACACAAGGCTGGTAAGTCCTTATTCTCTAGTGTTCCTATTACTGTTCTCAGGGCGAATATTGCAAATCTTAGTAATTAATTTTTTGCCCTGATATAGTTCTTTGCCGTTTACTCACAGATCAATTTCTTAGTAGCTATCGTCTGAGTAGTTTCGACTTGGCAACTAATAATTAAATGAATAAATAAATTAGTTGCTATTCCCCAATGACATCTTCAAAATTATTTCGTCTATTGTTTATTTATTCCCTTTGGCTTCTGAGTGTGGAACAAAGCGCTTCAACAGCACATTTCCATCTCATCCTATCCTCTGCAGTCGTTTTTGGTTAGCCCCAGGATTGCCCATAGGTTCAATGTCTTTCTCGGAACTGACCATTTCCCATCAAGTTTCCCCTCGACGGTCTGATGCGTGGTGTAACTCAGCGGTCTTCTTGGCGTGTGCCTGATCCATTTCCATTTCCTTTGGCATATTTATTAGGCAATAGATTCTTAGTTGTTTCGTTCCCAGCCTTCCCTGTTACTTATCCTTCCTGGCTATCTAGTCCTAAGTATCGATTCAACGAAGGCGTAGCTGTTGATAAAGGTCTGAGGCGTGTTCTGAATACTTTCTGTGATGAACCAAGTTTCTCACCCACATATAAGAACTGATTGACTTCTTATTAGTGTTGAAAAATCAAATGTAAATAAAGCAAGAACAACAGTTTTTGCAGAATCAAATGATGCCATCATTGCTTATTTCGTTGGCTTCTCATCAGCTGCTTGCAGGCCACAGTCATTATTAAGTATATCTACAGAAACAATTTTATCATACTTGCACAAAGTTCATTTTTAAACAAAAATCAATCAATTCATCAATACATGCATACAGTCTGTCGAACAACTTGCTCATTGGTGGTGGTGGTGGTTAGGACTCTCGCCGACCATGCACATGGTCCGGGGTTCGAGCCCGCACCGACGCACATCTGATATCTATGGTCGGCCTGCAAAATTTGGGCTACCGATATCCATGCTGAAAATTCCATACTTGTACCGAAAATACAGTGTGGAATCAAGCTGTAAATAAAAAATAAATAAAATCAATCTTTCTCATGTTAAGTCCAACTGTATTTACAAATTTTCATGTATCTGCGGGATCAGTTACATTGGGAGAACAGAAAGAAGGGCATATCTACAATTTTCTCAATTTTCTGAACGTGTCTGAACATACGTTTAAGGGGAACAAATGCCTTCAACAGTGCCATTACCAGGCATCACCTTGACATGGCTGATGAGCTGGACGTCGAAAAGTCGTTCAAAATTATCAATAGACAAAATAGCTCAATTCTCCGTAAGTTTTCTGAAGCCATCTCTATCAAGTGCCAGAAACCTGATTTGTGCGTTCAGAAAGAAACAGTTAACAGTCTTTCTTTGCTCTGGTAACTGTATATTTTCATCTCTCTTTCGTCTGCTTACGTAATGCCGAAGAAAGTTTCCATTGTGTATGATTACTGTTGTTCGGAATTGTGTTTAATATTATATATATATATATATATATATATATATATATATATAAATTATTACTGTATGCAAATACTGATCGATTGATTTTTGTTTAAAATGAACTCTGTGCAAGTATGTTAAAATTGTTACTGTAGATATGCCTAATAATGACTGTGGCCTGTAAGCGGCAGCTGATGAGAAGCCAACGAAATAAGCAATGATGGTATCATTTGATTCTGCACAAACCACTGTTGTTCTTGCTTTATTCAAATTCATTAAGGGGAATAAATTTATGAAATTGAATTAAGTTCTTTCTGCTGAATGCAGAAGATTTCCAAACTGATTTCAGAATGATGAAGGTTTGTCTGTCTTGCCTTGCCTATCATGATTTTTAAATCGTCATCTGTGAATCCCGATACCGGAACGCTTCTCGAGCTAACTTCTTGATTATGCAGTAATACATTAAATTCAATCACTCCTCATTTAGTGTTTTGGATTCGAGTCCAGCATAACATTTATTAAGAGTGGCGATTAGGTAAAAGAACGCAAGACAAATTTTTAATTTTTAGAAAAACTAAGCTGTTAACATTAGGTGAATGTGCAACCAAATTAAGTTGGAATTCTTACCCCAGCTAAATATGCGAACAATAGAAACATTTAGACACTTTATAAGATACCTATAGAAGTCAGGACAGAGTTTCCTGGAGTTGAGGTGAGAAATCGTGACCAGTAAGGTTCATCCAGTCAAATGTGACGATGGATTTCTTACCGATGACATTGGTTGGTGGTCGCGCTAAATGCATCACGAATTGGTAGAAATTAGAATTCATGCATTGGCCATTGAATCGGGTGCTGCCAGTGGCTGAATGGTATACGAGCTTACCTTGTAACCGGAAGGTCCTGGGTTCGAACCCAGTGGGTGTGTTCTGGCGATGATTCCCAAACTAGGATGAAACAGCTGTCCAGTATTCCTCTACTGGTTTTCAATGGTTCTCTAACTGACAACAATCCTTGATCAACTCATAAATACTTATATGGCTTTCAGAAACTTAGTATTGATTAGGTTTGTGTTAATTATGTTCCACCAGGTAGTTAGAAACTCCGAGTTACTCGAATCAATTTCATCTTCATCCACTCTTTTATGATGTCATACATAACTTATTGTGTAAAAGATGGTAATTATTTTACTCAGTCTCAAAAGTTGGAACAGGTTGAATAGACTTTGAAATTCAAACTTACTGACACAAATTTAAATTGTATGGATGATATCATCATGAACTGATATCAGTTAAAGAACCACTGGAAAACCTGGGAATACTGGACAGACCATTGAGCCACTCGGAACCGACTGGCCCTATTCAGGCAGCTAACCTGGGGTTCTAATAGGAAGCCTTGACCAGTAGGGTACAGCAGGTTGAAGATGAGGCAGTAACTCATCGAAGAAGACATCGAGAAGTGTTCGCGCTATGTCGTGAATCGGCAGAAATTAGAATTCTTGAACTTGCCATTGTATTGGGTCCCAGTGGCTCAATGGTCTACGAGTTCACCTTGTAACCAGAAAATCCTGCGTTCGAATATCCTGTTGTGGGTATATACTGCTGAAGAGTCTCAAACTAGGACGAAACAGTTGTCCAGTACTCCCAGATTTTACAGTGGTTCCCTAACTGATGTCAGCTCATGATGAAATCATCCATTCAATAAAAAAATCCCTACAAAACCAATACATGACAAAGAAATTTAAATGTTGAAGCCAGTCGGTTACATTTCTTCATTCATTGTGTTCCAGGTGAAACATAGGACTTCAAGCTTTGAAGTACCAGTAGGGATATTGTCTTCATGGAATGAGGCGCATAACCCCGACACGCGCAACCCTCTCTTTCTCCGAGCTAGTAAATTAGGTGAGGTTTATAAATGTGTGCAGTCTGGGAATCGAATCCAAGACCCCATGGGAGTAACTGACAAGCACCAACGATGCACCTATATATTCAACGGGTTCAGTATTAACTAATAAGAAAGGCTTTGTGCGTTTTTTCGTACTTGTCATTAGCGTTAGTGTAATCCTATTTGCAAGCGAAATCCACCACAGGAGTGTTAGAAAAGCTGATCACAGTATCAACTTGTTTAAATGAACTCCTACTGTGAACTATATTTCCTGTTAAGTATTTTTTGCATAATACCCTCTCTCTCTCTCTCTTTTTCTGTTTGCTTTCAAGGAATCATTATCACGATTGATGAAATCGTCAATTGTTATAGAAGTATGGTCTAAATGGATGAGTGGTTTACCTGATCATTTAATTGGTCTTGTAAAAATTCCTACAGAAAGCATAGTCAAATTATATGCCCATTATGATTTAAATAGTTCACAAATATGGTGGCATTCAAATAGTGTCATACAAAGTCTACTGAAAGCACAAGTGAGTTATTTATTTATTTATTTATTATTATTATTATTATTATTATTATTATTATTATTATTAGTAGTAGTAGTAGTAGTAGAAAGGCAAGGCTGCCTACAATAGCCAATGATTTTCCTGATTGTAGCAGACTGTATAATGCGATAGACAGCGGGCAATGAGGAAACAGGCATAAAATGGACTCACATAAAAAGCTTGGAGGATTTGGACTTCGCCGATGTGGTGTATGTCTGATTTCCTACAAACTGGAAGATATGCAAATGAAAAGCAACAAGTTGGCAGAAGAAGCATCTAGAGAGGATAGGACTTCAGGTGAGCATAGAGAAAACAGAGGTGATTAAGATTCCTGGGCAACAACAACAACAGACAAAAATAAGCATAAATGAGAGGAACCTGAAAGAAACAACCTCCTTTATCTACCTGCCTATCTGGGAAGCATCGTTTCAACTACAGGGGGAACTGATGAGGATATCAAAGCAAGGATCGGAAAAGCAAGACAAGCTTTCATTACTCTTAAGTCTGTGTGGAGGTCAACAGCACTCACCATCAAAAATAAGATCCAGATCTTCAACTTCAATGTGAAAGCAGTCAGTGCTACTTACTATACGGATCAGAGACTTGGCGCGTCATAAAGAGCATCTCAAACAAACTAGAGACCTTCATAACCAGTTGTCTTCGCTCAACACTCAAGAACAGATGACTGGCCAGGGATCTCTGGCAATGAGCGAACCAACCAGGAACCGATTGTGAAACAAGTAGGCAGAAAGAAATGGAGATGGATTGGCCATACACTGAGGAAACCATCAAATGACACCACAGGACAGGCCATCACTTGAGTGGAACCTGAAAGGGGGAAGCAGCGAGTTGGTCGTCAATGTGAGGGTGATATATGGAGGAGGTCATGTGAAGCGGAGATGAAAGCATGTGGGCAGACTTGGAGTCAGGTGAAAACTTTAGCACGCAATTGAGACGCCTTGCTGAAGCCCTATGTTCCTCTGTGAATTAACGGAAATAATAACAACTGCTTTTATGTTGTATTTTTTAAAATTTTGAGATCATTTGATCGTATGTTGAAATATATTACTGCGATCATGATCCTACGTTCACATTCATGTAACTCTAGTAATGTATTTCTATCCCTTTTTGGATTGTCCCAGACACACTCACAATACATCGATGAGTCATACTTCAATTACTTCATGTTATGACTCAAACAGGATAGTTAGGCGTTTAAGCTTGTGAACGGTGTGAATTACGCACTGAGACAGTACATAATAAGTCACAATACTGAAACATTTATCAGTATAAAACATGGTCACTGTGGTAGAGTATAACCTCCATTATGGATAAGATTTTATTTTGGTAAATCCCACAGTGTGTTACACAGTAATTAGGATAAAATATTTGTTCAGTACACACTAGTTTTCGTTGATTCTCTTACTAGTGTCTGTCAGTGATAAAATCTGACTTGTAAACGATCATATTAATTAGCGGTTTGTATAGTTTAGGTTAAGGCGTGAAAGGAAGGAAACAAACCTACCTCTATCCATTGAAAGAATGCCTACCTTGTCAAACTATTAAAAGGACGACTTAACCTATTACGAGAATTGGCGTAGAATCATGCTACTGTTCGTTTCAATCAATCAAAAGCTACTAAGTTACATCTTCCTAGTCAGACGTAAATATTTTCTAGTTGGTAAAATTCCTTGGGAATACAATAGGCTGGATTCAAGGAAAAACAAGTAATGCACGAATTAATTATGAGCATTAAGTATGAATATTATCGAAAAGGGGACTTGGGACAACATTCTATCGCATATCTTGACTGCGTTGACTTTGAGAAGCCGCCTTCAACAGTGTCGACAGCGAAGTAATTTTGGGACCGGTTCAACACTACTACCCCCACACATTTGTAAGGTCTACTCAGCAACTATATGATAATGCAATAAGCCAAGTGTCTGACAACAAAAAGCTAAGGGAAGCCCTCGAATGTGAAAACAGGAGTTAAGGCAAGGCTGTTTACTATCATCGATGGCATTCCTAATCGTGGTGGACTCTATCGTGTAATGGACAGCGGGGAGCAGTGAGAAGATGGGTACACATTGCACTTATGAAAATAACCTAGAAGATCAGGATTTTAGGGATCATTTATGCTTCTTGTTTTAAAAACTTGAATATTTCCAAACGAAAACAAATAAAAGACTGATTTCTCAATTTGCGCATCAATTCGCCCCTTGTAATTTGCACAGTGCGATATGAAATTTCACCGCGGTCTTATTTGGAAACCAAAACTATTCATGTTACAGTACTGTCATCTGATTGATGCCATAAATAGTAATCAAAAAAGCAAGCATAAATTCATGGTGCAACACACTACTGATCTACCTATATGAGTAGTTGGATACCACTCACCTGAAGCACCACTGGTATTCCAAAGAAACCGAACTCCTTTCCGATTTGGATCACTCCGACCTGGCTAGCAAGCACTACTCAGTAGTACATAGCACCATGCACTAAATCAGATCTGTTTGTGCGCTACATCGCTCTTCGCTGCTATTCTTTATGATATTTTCTGCCGAATTTGTAAGGAATACAATAAGCGCTATTAGATGGTAGGAGGCAGTCGGCAGGAAGCCTTACTTGACCTAAGTTACGTGCTATAGTTGGCACTCGTCAGCAAGGCGTATATCTGCAAGCTTGAAGGAAATCATGTCCCTTCTGATAGGTTAAAAATTGTTTCACTGAACAGGTTGGAATAATCTAAATGAGGAGTTCGGCTCGAATTTATGCGTGCATAAAGGCGGTGATAATGTGGCGTGTACTACTGTTAAGATTTATCAGTAGTATGTAGATGCATATTGATAGGAAGCGGTCAGAATACAAATCAGCATTCTAAGCCAGTGGCTGGCTGTAGAGGTATAAGTGTTTATTCTCCAAAAATCGATCTATTTTTTACATCGTTGACATGAAATAATTTCATTGGACAACTTTTCATCTCATTGTTTAGCCTTGAATCAAGTATCAACCAATCAGAATGTCCAATAATCGCCACAATAACACTTTTAAAGTACACGCAAAATATTATTAAAATACTCATAAAAATTAGTTATTGTGGTAATGTATTTTTAATCTCTTCTATTCTTATTTTGGTTAACTTTACTGTTAAACTAATCATGGTTATTTGATGAATATACTGTAACCTTGGTATAAATACACTTTGTTTCTTTTATTCTCTTGTTTATCAAAGCATCCAATGATTCCTGTAGATTCATGGTTTCCAATTACTGACCCATTCTCAGGTAGTGAATGTGGTCAACTGCATATCCTTTTGGCGGTTGGAACACAAGAACAAATAAATACGTTTTCATCTGTGCAAAACTTAAAATATAATATTGATAATATGTATATGATGAATCGAGAGACGATAGGGGATGGTGGTGCTGGTGCTGGTACTTCTGGTATTCTCAAACAGGCGGAACACTGTTCATCTGTTGATGTCACAGGTAATACATTCATAAAATATTTTAACAATTTCGTCTTGCTTTCCTTTGCGTTCCAGGTAGAACATAGGGCTTAATGCTTGAGATTTGAAGTGCTGGTTCCCGTGGTGATGGTGTTTTTACAATGAGGGGAGAGGGCGTTGCTAGCCCGGCTCCCAACTTTCCCCCTTTACTGGGCTAACCACCGGCCAACAATCTAACCTCTAGACCTTGTAGATGGTTGGCGAGCAGTATACTACTAAACCAACGACGCACATTTTAAGTAGTACTATGAAGTTGTCAACTGCGCTACACATTCAATCGACCACCAACTAGCATAAGAATTTCAGTCTTATAGGAGGTCATTTGCCAGCCGAAATAGTACAGTCGTAACATTTTTGACTGCAACACTGGGTCATGTGGGTTCTAATCTTTGACGAAATATCAGTTCTTTTGAGATTATTGATACGTCGCCGCCATGCTGAAGTGTGTCAATAAGCACGAAACCTTGGTATCTAAACACTTAATAATTGTAGGAGTAATTCGTATCCATTCTATTCTGTTTGCTGACATTATTGATCTAATGTGTAGGGTAAGTAAGGTAATATCTTTTACAATTATAAGGTTATAGGATTTTCAAAATGTATCTGCTAACAAAGAATACTGACGTTACAAACTTCGAGTTAGCGTAGACTTTATTTGCTTTACAGTTAACCATGGTTCTAAGTTAGCTAGTCACGTTTTTGTTAGTTTACATTGCTGATCTGGTCTTTACTGACCTGCAGTTTAAATAGGAGGAGGAGTTGCTTCCACTGCAACTGACTGCTTACAAAATTTTAACAGAAGATGTAGAAAGAAAGGTTCAAACGACTGCACACTATAACATAACGCCTATGAGATCATAGTAATTTGTCTGGATGTCAATCAGGACATGAATTTCAATTCACGACAGTCCATTCTGTCCAAAATTTCAGCTGTTAGATAAAAATTTAAATGGTATGATACAAGTTTAAATGATATTTTTTTGACTACATGTAATCTTCGTTGACGGAAATGTGATGGCGTGATACGAAAAATGTGTGCGAACGGAATTTTATGCTCACATATTCCTACAGTTCAGTACTGCATACAATATATATCTGTTTGACCATTCGATTTGATGTTAGAGACAGAATACATTTCCCACGGTTATATACTGCACTAACAAAAGAATATTATGTATATATGATCATTGTATTTCATGTTTGATGTAAACCGAAATTATACGCTCAGTGATTGGTTAACGAATATAAACTGTATATGTGTAAACAGCGATTTAATTAGTGAAGAATATATCTTGGCTTCCGTATGCTGAATTCTGTTGTTACAGTACAGCTTATCAATTTTGTGTGTAGATTATTAAACAGCAAAAACAGCGTTTTTTGAAGGCGGATTAAGTTTCAACAACTAGCTGTGTCCAGTTAAAGATTTCAATCCATGAGGTGAATCTCATTGGATAATTCGACGTCGTTCGCTAATTGGTAGTTAGTGGTGCTTAAAGTCTAACTTGGCCCTGATATAAATAGTTTGATACCACTCACGTCAAGCAGTAATGCTTCCTGGCCATTTTGAAGTGATCTACACACTCGACGATGGTTTCACTCTTTTGGGACCGACTTCATCAGTGTGTTGTACCTAGTAGTTTGACTCAGCTTAAAGAGCCTTATCTTTTGAAACCACCAAACTTCTGGCCCACATTAAGAGAAATCTGCAATTAAAGAAATTAATTATGTTATGACGGGAACTACGATTGTGAGCGAATACCTACTCAATACCCTGGCTAATCTGTACTTGTCGGACGCCAAACACATCAGCAGTAACACGACTGCAACGTAAAGCTAGGAAAATAGACTGGACGTTGGTAAGAGAGCTACTACTGTCTCAAAACAACAGTTGTGAAAGGTTGATGGCGCTTGCATATGTTTAAGATGACCTTGAGAAGCACCAGTGTCACTGATAAATTACGACAGTGAACAACCGATAGGGTTTAAAACATCATAAGTAGCGTGAGAAAAATAAGTGGAATGAAGTTATACAAACAGCCATGTAAAAATGATATATGTAGAAAATCGTGTCTATATATACAAAATTAACATGAGTGGTCTTCAACTACTCAAATCAGTCAATCAGTAGTATATATCGTTATGGAATAATGTTTACTATGTTGATTTTTGGTATCAAACAGATGTGACATTTTCAGATCTACATACTGCACTTTTACATAAAAATTTTTATATTTCTTTGATTGGTTACTAGATAGTAATTAGTGCCATTCATCTAGTCCTATTTTTTGGTGCTGACTGAATTCTATCAAACACAAAATAATCGAGCAAAGAATATTCTTTTCGATAATTTCCTCTTCTGGCTCTACAATTATATTTATCTTTATATACACAGAATATTCTAGATTTGACGTCAACAATAATATTAGTGTTTCTAAGATAATATAGGTGTGTAAAGTAAGATCACAATGGAATTACAGTTCATTAAAGATCCTCAAATTATAATAATAACAAAGATATAGTAGCAAATAGAATGTCAACAAAAATTAGGAAAATTCCACAAAAATTCATGATCATACAAACCTAGATGGCCAAGGTAAGGAAAATGTCTGAACCAGCTTCTTTTGGACGCACAAATTAGGCTTCTTAGTGAGGATCCCAACATCCAGCCTCAGCAATATTTAGTAGTCGAACTCTTTAGGCGAAATTGAGATTCGTCGGCATGCGGTAATTGACTCTGAAAGCCTGATTAAGTAATGGGCAGACAAAATCTATTCACAAAGCGCTATTCTATCTCATCTTGTGGATACAAAACACAAGAATGGTGTTAATGATGCTTTCAGAGTCATTTACCGCATACCAACAAATCTCAGTTTCGCCTTAAGAGTTCGACTACTAAATATTGCTGAGGCTGGATGTTGGGATCCTCACTAAGAAGCCTAATTTGTGCGTCCAAAAGAAGCTAGTTCAGACATTTTCCTTACCTTGGCCATCTAGGTTTGAATGATCCTCAATTTTGGTGCATATTTCTTAATTTTAGTTGATATTCCATTTGCTACTATATTTTTATTATTATTATAATTTAAGCTTCTTTAATGAACCGTAATTCGATTGATCTTAATTTACAAATCGATATTATTTAAGAAAACACTAATATTGTTATTGACTTTTAATCTAGAATATTCTATGTAAATAAACATATATATATATATATATATAATTGTAGAGCCAGAAGAGGAAATTATCGAAAAGGATATTCTTTGCTCGCTCAGTTATTTTGTGTTTTATAGATGTCTGAATCAATATTTTCTCTATACTGAATTCTATCAACCAAGCTAGCAATGTGGCTACCATGTTAGATGGCTCGCAATCACGATGCATTGTGAATTGTTGTTATTAGGTGGTGATTGAATGCAATCGGCGGCGGAAAGCCGCGAACTTACGTTTTGTGGTTGTTGGCCGTCTCCAGTAAGTCCTTGCAGCAGGTCAGTAATGAACCTGAGTAGCTCACTGTTAACGTCTCTGACTGCAGCACTAGTCTGAATCTCAGAAGAAACACTGAGTTGCATAAAGATTTCAGACACAACTTTGTGATGAGTGCCAAGTAGCATGAAACCTACGCCAAGCCAGGCTTCCTTTCAATTGCCTCAACCACTCTAGTGGGATTCTTTATTAGTCTGCCGATGTGTAATTTCCACTTTACTCTTTGCATAAAAGTTCGGTAAACAAGTAGTTGGGAAGGATGACCCTTAAAAATTATCTCCTTAAGATGGCAAAGTATTTTTGTGGTGAGAGCTGGCTGTTAGCCGAAATTGGTGGACAGTAATTTACGTCAGTGTTTACGTCCCCAATATTGGTCGTGAGCGAAATGAGAACAAAGGCTTTGGGTAGGCGGATACAGTTTACACATAGATGATCTGACGTTCAAGAAACGGTCACAGAGAGATGCAAGGTTAACTTTCAGTGAGAAACAACCAATCAGAAGACTGTGTTTTTCTCCCAACAATAATCTCTATAGTATGTACATGAAAATCTATAAATATGTGTTGATCTCCTTAATAAACGATCTGCTGCCTGGCCCTTGTCTTCTGTTGTTTCATTTTTAGTAACTTGTTTATTGGACTTGATTTATTCTATGAAATCTAGAGAGAGAGACAGAAGTGTCAGCCTTATTGGTTAGGTATACCGTCGTATTTCCTTATCTAACTATTGAACGTTTTTTTTTACAAATCAATATCTTATTTTCAGCGCGCTTAATTTCAATTTTTTTGTGTTTCCACATACCTTCTGTTTTTTTTTAGTTGAACATAGAATCAATATAACTATTGAACAATTGAGAGATTTCGATCCACATATCTCATTGAAACATGATCCACATTTCGATGGATCTGTACCATGGGGTGACTTAGATTGTTTTGTTCAATACTTTTTCCCAATAGGTGAGTTATTCTTTTAAAAATGTTAATTCCATATATATTATACTTTGAATATTACTAAATAGTTACTTTTTTCTGTCGGAGAAACGAACCCTGCTAAAATCATCGTTAAGTTGCTTTTTGATCTATGTATCTATTATGAACAAGCAACTTGATCGCGTAGTAACATTAAGGAATTGAGATAGTAAAGGATAGGGACTCCGATTCTGGGCTTAGACACACTGGTATAAACATAAAACTTTGGCACTATGGTAGAGTGTCATTCCATTATGAATAAAATTTATTTTGATAAAGTCACACATAACATAAACAAGCTAGAATATAAGGCATCTACAGTAGTTTCACCATATAAGGAGGGGACATCTGAGGCCTTAGGATTCTCAATAAAACAGGAATTGAAGGTGGCATTCAAACTTACAAATGCTCTAAGGAAGGACAAGCTCTGTAGGCTAAAGAACACTGTCGGCTGACCCAATTAGACAAAATAATATAATTTACATAAATACCTTGCAATGACTGTGAGTTGAGTCAACTACATTGGTGAAAATAGTAGATCAGAAGTAGTGAGATTTTCAGAACATAAGGATTTAGCTAAGGTTAGAATGTTTGATCCTGCTTCGGTGGCACAGTGGTTAGGACTCTCGTCGACCGTGCACATGGTCCGAGGTTCGGTCTCCTGCCGACGCACACCTGATATCTATGGTCGGCCTGCATAATTTGGGCTACCGATATCACATGCTGAAAATTCCATACTTGTAACAAAAATACAGTGTGGAATCAAGCTGTAATCAAAAATTAAAAAATAAAATAAATAAAATAATTCAGGAAGAAAAACTCAGCAATCACACTGCATACATTAACACACAACCACACAATACGGTGGGACAGAGTCGAAGTTTTAAGAAGTAATATAGGTAGGTCGAGAGCGAGAGAGATTGATTACTGAATCCGCGTTCATCGAACAATCTACACCGAAGACGTGCAATAGAAGTGACGTAATGCAAATACCAGAAATATGGAAGCTATTATTACTCTCAAATCTGTGTGGAGGTCAACAGCACTCACCATCAAAAATAAGATCCGGATCTTCAACTCCAATGTGAAAGCAGTCAGTGCTACTTACTATACGGATCAGAGACTTGGCGAGTCATAAAGAGCATCTCCAACAAACTTCAGACCTTCATTAACAGTTATCTTCGCTCAATACTCATGATCAGATGGCCAGAAAAGATCAGCAACAGGGTGGGATCTCTGGAAGCGAACCAGCTCAGCAGGAACCGATTGTGAAACAAATAGGCAAGAAGAAAGGGAGATGGATTGGCTGGCCATACTCTGAGGAAACCATCAAGTGACATCACTAGACAAGCCATTGCTCGAGTGAAGCCCGAAAGGGAAGCGGGTGGCGAGTTGGTCGTCAGTGCAAGGGTGACATGGGGAGGAGGTCATGTGAAGAGGAGATGAAAGCATGTGGACAGACCTGGAGCAGGGTGAAAAAGTTGTCAGAAAACCGAAGGCAATGGAGGTGCGCAGCTGAAGCCCTATGTTCCTCTAGGAACTAAAGGATACAATAATAATTATTATTATTATCAGTCAAATCAGAAGAGGATAAGTTATACTAAAATATATTCAATTCACAGTATAACATTCTAACAAGGTAATTATTATGACTATAAAAACACTCGTCTTACCTCCCATTTGATTGTATTTGATTGATAACACTAATATTATTATTTCCGAATGTACTTTATCTTATATTGATTTTCTTCAAATGTCTAATCAATTTTTACTCATGTATATAAATGAAGCAAGAAAGTTGTGTGAGTACCTTAATATGATTATGAGCAGAAATAAATTGCTCTCGAAAGGTGGTTATCAGTTATTAATATTACTGTATAACAACACTGTGTGATTTATCAAAATAAAATCTTATCCATCATGGAGTTGTACTCTACCACAATGTCCAAGTTTTATACTTATATCAACCATATTTTTGTTTGGTAAACTTAATATACACATATATACAAAATAACCTATGTACACATTTGCGATTGTACGGTAAAGAAAATGAATTCACCGCCTAGAAAGGCGACTCTTCGCTGAACTCCGTGTTGTTGTTGTTTTTTTTCATTGATGCCTGAATTGGCGATTAACCATGAATTATTTTGAAGTATCCAAATATAATAGGACGAAGTACTCTTTAACTAATCGATCCATGACCAAAATTATGACATTTTTGCCCCGAAGCTTTGCCAGCTAACTGAAAATACATTCTGAAATAATAGAGATTTATAGCTCAGGTGGCTGATTTGCAGTTAATAGTGTTCTCTGAGCTGGTTGGTTTAGTTGCCGAGCTTTCCTCGTCCTACTGGACAGCATAAAGTGAAATGTACAATTGGTGGATGGTGGCTAGCAGTGGAATGCAGGATGCGCATTTCGTCCTATTTGGGACTCGTCATCTGGATGCACCTGCATTTCTCAGTGAGTGATGATGTTCCCATCACCGAGGCTCAAACCCAGTGCCCATAGTTTCAAACGCCGAAGCGTTATCCACTAGACCACTTGGGCCACCAGAACTGACGAGTCCCAAATAGGACGAAATGCGCATCCTGTATTCCACTGCTAGCCACCATCCACCAATTGTATACTAATTAAATTCCCAGACATCGTCGAAGCATCTGCACAAGAAGCCGACATGTCAACCTGAGACCGAGCACTTCGGTCCAATCAATCGACGGGAAAATCAAAAATTCAATTCAATAAAGTGAAATGATTTAAATTTTTCATGAGTGGTATAACTGCATCTCCCGGTAACCATCTTTAGATATGTATTGAACATTTTCTATTAACTTGGATTTTAAACTTTCTGGTCACCTGATTTACTTTTTAATTAGTTGGTATATTTGGTCTATATATTAACGTGTTTGTTAGTTGCATACTCGTTTGAGTACCAGGCTTCTAGGAATTGCCTGGCACTTTTGTTGTTTCCTCTGTCTAAGATTTCGATATTATCCAGTCAAATTGATGTCCATAATTGTCCATGTGCATTGATATGAAAGAATATATATTGTGTCTTTCCATGGTTGATTTGTGTTCGTGAATTCTGATTCGAATGGGACGCCCACGTTGGCCGATGTAATGTCTGTTACAGTCCATACAGGCAATTTATTTTGTAAATGGTGTTAATTTTATCCCCTTTTTCTGTTGGATCTTTCGGTTTGCACAAAATCGAATTAAGTGATTTGACTGGCTTGTGTGCTACATCTATATCAAACGGTTTCATTATTCTAGCCGTTATTTCAGAGATATTTCTCATGTATGGTAGGATGAATTTCTTTTTGGTCTTTGATGATGGTTCCTTGTTGGTGTTTTGATTCGACTTTAAACACTTTTTGATGAAATTTTGTGGATAACCATTCTTTTTGAAGACCGTTTTTAAATATTTTTCTTCCATTCTTTTCAACTCTGGAGTGCTACAGTGTTGTGTTTGAATTCTTTTAAACAATGTCTGCAAACAGTTTCTTTTGTGAGTGAGTAATTGGATTATTGCTAGTATAGTTGAATATGTGATCTGCGTGCGTTGATTGTGTTGGTTTTCCTGATTAAGACATCTAAAAATGGGATTTTGTTGTCTAATTCTTCTTCTCCTATGGTGAATTTGATATCTTCAAATATGTTGTTTATTAATTTATGGGTATATTCTAAATCATTTCTCTTAATTATCACAAATGTACTCAGACTTTTGGTTTAATTATAGGTCGGGCTATTAATTCTAATCTTTGCATGACGGTTTCAGCTGTTAATCCTGATATGGGCGATCTCATAGGTGTTGAACATCACTGCGTTCTTATGTTTTCATCACTATAGGGTAATTGTTGCATAGTTTCTGTTGTTAGTTTTGGACTAATTGAAGTATGTATATAATGCTGTGACATCAATAAATGCTGTAAATGAATTCATGATTTCTAATTCCTATATATATATTCATTTTTATTTAGATACAAAAGCCAAGTGTTTAGCCAGTTATCGGACATCAGTTCAAATGCTCAACAAACCAAGCAATAACAATAATAATAGTCGTTCTCAAAATGAAAAACAATTTATCTCTTGTGAATTCATTCCAACTGTTAGTCCCTCAACGACTGACGGTGGTGATGGCGATGCACAATGCCATATATCATCACGAAGTAGGCCAGGGCAAACACCATCCTATTGGAATCATATGCATAAATTATGCTTGAATACAAAAATCACATCAGAATCACAAAAGGAGCGTGATTTTGTAGATTTGATGAAGACAAAAATTGAACAGGAATTTCTTCAATGGATTTTAGACATGTTAACTCGTGCAGATTTTAAAAGTAGTAAGTGTTACAATATATATATGGACAGTATACTCCTAATGTCTTCTTTTTCGTTTATTTTATTTCCTCGCTGGTAACTAATTTTCATGATGGATGGGAAGGTAGAGCACACAAACACACACACACACACACTCAGTCGCTGATTGAATTGCTTGCACCTAACTTCAGTTCGTGTTTGTAATCCGCTGAAATCCTCATAGTGTGGTGATAGCTGAAACGAAAGTTAGACACAAAACTCAGTTATCCAGAACAAATATTTTTATTGGTTACAGGATTTCATCATGAGCTGACATCAGTTAGAGAACCAGTGGAAAACCCATCAGGGAGTACTGGGCAGTCGTTTCGTCTGCCTAGTTTGGGACTCTTCATCAGTACACACTCGTTGAAGTTTGAACCCAGGACCTTCTACTTACAAAGGCTTGCTGATAGATCATTAAGCCACTGGGGACCCGATCGAATGGCCAGCCCATGAATTTCAGTGACTTAATGGTCTACGGAGATAGTTGGCCTTGTAACCAGAAGGTTCTAGGTTCAGACCATAATGAAGTGGTTGCTTACTGATGAGGGGTTCCAAACTAGGCTGACAAAATAGCTGTCTAGTACTTCCAGATCTTTGATAGCTCTCTGACTGATATCGATCTGTGATTAAACTTGAAAATGGAATAAAATGATTCTCTGAGATTCATGGAACAGTAAGATAAATACGTGATGAGAGTATGAGAAAGTCGTCATTAATCAGTCTAATTTACATGATGTCTACTTCCTTGATCTACAGTCCTATTTAAAGAATTCACTACTCCAATATACTTATTGTTTTTAAAGTAAGTGAAGATCTGTGCAGGAGATCATGTTTACTTTCCATTTTTATGAACTTCAATATTGGAGATTAGTCAACAGACGAAAGTTGGCTTTTGTTTTCTTTTAACTGGTCAGAAAGTCGCATCTACAACCTTGAGAAAATAAACTCATTACTCTCATGTGATCTGAACTTATTTCATTCATTGATGAGGGGGGGGGAGAATTTATCATTAAAGGCATTCCAGTCAATACTGATTTTACTTGAACTTGATTCTGTGCGTAAATAGGTTGTCGTTGTTTAATCAATACGTTTGTATAACCCTATAGGCTGTAGTCAAAATTATGTCACTAAGCTGAGGTCAGTACGTGTATACATTAAGGACTTAGTCTCTTGAACCGAATGTCTTTGTAGTAAAGCCTCTGTGAGTTTACTGTTATTATTATTATTGCTCCCTTGGGTTCCTAGTGGAACATAGGGCTTCAACTGCACGTCTCCACTTGCCACTTCTGTCTTCCTTCTGCTGTACTTTTCACCTGCATCCATGTTAGTTAGTCTATACTGTTTCAACTCCTCTTCACACGATCTCCGCCATGTCACCCTTGCACTGACGTCCCACTCGCCGCTTCCCTTTCGGCCTGGTTCCACTCGAGAAATGGCCTAACGCGCGATGTCACCTAGCGGCCTCCTCAGCGAGTGAGTGTCCAATCCATCTTCACTTTCTCCTGCATATTTGTTGGTTGGCGATTGGTTCTTGTTTTGTTTGTTCTCATAGTTTCTTGTTGGTGATTCTTTCCGGCCCGGCCATCTGATTTCCAGTAGAGAGCAAAGACAGTTGTTGGTGAAGGTCTGCAACAGGCTGTTGGAAATATTCTTTGTGATCCGCTCCCCAAGTTCCTGATTTGTATGGAGGAAGTGACTGACTTGACGTTTGTATTGAAAATCCCACCGGGGTTCGAGCTTAGGGCCTTCTGGTTACAAGGCGAGATCGTATACCATTAAGCCACTGGGACCCGATCCAATGGAGAGCCCATGAATTCTAACTTCTGCCGATTCACGGTATAGCGCAACCGCTAGCCAATGTCTTAAGTGATCATTTTTCCTCACACCCGACCTGCTGCACCCTACTGGTCATGACTTCCCACTGGAACCCCAGGTAACTACCAAACTGAATAGGACCAGCCACCAGTGAGCATCTCATTGATATTCAATTATCGGTTTGTAGGGATTTGGTTGATTGGTTACAGGATTTCATCATGAGCTGACATTAGTTAGAGAACCATTGGAACCATGTCGGTTCATGATGAAATCCTGTAACCAGTCAATCAAATCCCTACAAAGCAATACTTAAATATTTGTATGATTCAGATTGTGTGGGCTACACAATTATAAAGCGGTGGCTGCTGGTACTTTCCAGTTGTAATAATAATAATAATCTACTTTATTCCAAATCAGACAGTACTTATAATACAGAATGAAATTCTCAGCATTTGTCACAATACTTTGCATCTGATTCACTCAAAATATAAATAAAATTAAAACAAAATTAACTTGAGGAATTTGTTCATATTTACGACATAATGTCAAAAATATTCGAAGTACGAATTGAGAGTATTAAATATAATAATGATAATACAGTGACTTTGTTTCACACATTATTGTCGATTCATTTGGGAAATTTTAGCATGTTATCATTGAAGTATTGGATCTAATGTTCTCTTGATACAGAATGTATGGTGAGGGGAAATACAAAATTAACAGTTATAACACAGCTTAAACGATGTTCACATTTATGAAAAATGAATAAATAAAAACAAAAAATTGAGAGGATTATTCAAATAAGAAATACAATAACAATAAAGTTTGGTACAGTAAGGGTGGAGAAAATGGTTTATTTAGTAGCGCAAAGAAGGTTAGTTAGTTAGTTCATGCCTGACACTATTTTCATCATATAAAGTTCGCGCTAAATATGGTATAGTGGAATTTTTATACTTAGACGTACGTGCATAAAGTCTTTTGAAATGACTTCTTGTTTTACCTGAGGAGACACAAGGTTGGAGCTGCGGGTGCTGCGGTGGGTGCTCATAGTCTGACAAAATTCCTTTAGCAAATTTGTTGCATGACATCAAGTGCCTTTCAATGACATTGTCAACGATATGGCCCAATGGGATACAACTCGCCCTACTGACCGACAGTCTTCAGAGTTCTACGAAGTATGACATAGTCTTTTTTAAGCAATCTAGGAAAGAATAAGCAAGGGTGAACAATAAAGAAGAATAGGTAAGGTGCACGAGTTGAAAGACTGTAAGAGGAGGAGGGGTTGAGTTATGCCCAAGCGCCTTAACATCTTAATGTAAAAAGTCAGACGAAATATTCTTTTAGAAATCGCTAAGACATGGGAAGACCGGGATAGGTCAGTAGAAATAATTAATCCAAGATACTTAACTTCTGACTTAGTTTGTATATCAGTATTATCAGTTTTCCAACGGTCATAGGAACCAACAGCTTCTAAATGAAGCTTTTTTCACATCGGAAACTGAAATTAACAGTCTGACATTTGGAAGAATTTAGTAGTCGCCTAGATTGAAGTATGTGGGACTTCATTTCATTTGTTGCAGCTTTATTAGTTAAATATGAATTAATATGATTGTTTCAGTTTATTCGCATTTCTTTTTTTTCACGTATTAGTGTTCTCTGAGCTGTATAGTAAATTTGTGAAGCTTTCATCGCCCCACACCACTAGGCGACATCTCCAGCGCATACTTCAATTTGAAGTGAGCTTTTAAATTTCTCCACAAGTTTATTAGTCATCTCTCTTGGGGACCTGACTGTTTTTGAGTGTTTTAACACCCTCTAGGCTACTTGTATCGGTACTAATTGTTTCCTTCACCTGAAGTTTTGACCATTTTTGTGTGAGATTTCCTTCTTTTCAATTGGTAAATTTTGTCCATGTCAATGGGTCTATTGATTGACGATTCACTGGAATACTAGGCAGGCTTCTAAAAATTCTCTAGTATTCTTGTTGTTTCCTCTGTCTAATATTTGAACCTTGTCCTAGTCGAAGTGATGTCCTTGTTTGTCTGTATGCAGTGATATAAGGGAGTGTATGTAATGCCTTTTGACGGCTAGTTTATGTTCATGGATACGAAGACGAAGGGAACGTCCACTTTGGCCAATGGCAATGTTACTTACAAAAAGACCATCCAGCTCAGAGAATCGAGCTATTATCACAATTATCTCCATCATATCTAATTTTCACTTCACCGAAATGCTTGATTTCTGTTGACATGATGATTCCTAGGACCGTAGGGTTTGACAATATCTGCAGATTTTAACATCATGTTATTTTAATTGGTGTTGATTAACGCGCATAATACTAGTTACTAACTTAGTGTCTAATGGAAAGCTAATTCATTCATTTCTGCTTATATGTGTATGTTTCTGTGTGTATTTTATCTTTTCTTTTATTAAGACAAATTAGATTTAAAACGTGGTTTATTATTTGAAATTTGGTTACGTATCTATTCACCAAATCTACACGATTGCTTAGCAGCTAAAGGATATATTCCAGAGGAATTATTTTATACTTTAATTAATCGTAACAGAACCAATACGCCTTCTGGTGAAAGCGGTGAACATAATCATCAGACACTACGATTCTCTATTGATCTATTCGATGTTAATAGTAATAGTGGATGTTTAAATGGGAGGCTACAAATTAGTATGGATTATTGGTAAGCTTCAATCTGTATTTACATTTATTGATTTTTATATAAAAATTTATTGATTTATTTGTTATACCCACTCATATGCTGTTATTATTGAAATTTCTTGATAAAATGATTGGTAGATTCTACGGCGAAGTTCAACAACAGCGTCCTAGGAGAGCGAACGCTCCAATGACCTTGAACGCATACTAGTCGTTGACCAACGGCACCTGTAATTATCATGGCTGAAATATCAACGCTGTTCACCATCTAAGGAGCAAATTTCATCTAGATCACTTTTTTATGCACTGCTTTGACAATGTGTTATTAGCTCATTATGGTTAGGATTAGATTTAAGGTAAGTATTGGATTTAGGCTTAGGATCAGGGTCATAATTATCATTAGGGTTAGGTATATGGTTAGGGCTACGATTAGGGATAGATTAAGAGTTGATGTCATTTATTTTAACTCGTTTTATTGTCCACAATCCCCTTTTTAAGTAGCCATTGATCCTCCTACTGGAAACTATTGTAATTCAACTGGAGACTTTTTGGAAGGTTGTAAAACAGGATAAAAGCGTTAAAGGAGCCACAAAAAAGTTCACCTTAAGTTACCTCGGTGAATACATGTACAGCAACTGGTCAAACTGAAAAATTGATGCCCCTCATTCTAACTAAGACGTATTTTTTAAGTCATGTCAAAGAAGGGCACCCTGTTTAATATGTTTTCATGCATATTGTTGTAAGTGAAGATCATTTTTTGTGCAAAAATTCCTCATTTTTATGATTGGCCTGCTCAAGTCGCTTGTGCATTCGTATCCAATGGGACACTATTGTTGAACTTTGCCGGTTCTGCTTTACAGTGACTACTCTAGTATCTGTATACTGAAGACTAGATGGCCAACTAGAGATAATAAGCAAGAAAGAACTCTGTCAGATAGAGGACCAACCAAGAAGGTTTCTCCCTGACACATGTGTAGAGGGAAATGGAGCTGGATTGTGAACGTACGCTAATTAGTGAACCGTTGAGTGATATCACACCGCCAGCTTCTCAAGTAGCTCGTGAATAATGGGAAACGACGAGTTGTGTGTGTCTTAAGGTGACATGGAGGAGATTATGTGGGGAGGAAGAGAAATTTTATTAGGTATCGTTGAGCTAGCTAAAAAAAAAGACTGAAGAGAACAGAGGTGAATTGGTGTACAGCTGAAGCCTTCTCGGAACTCATGGGAACTATATTGATAGTGATAATATATTATAATAAACTATCAGTAGTCATGCACATTAATGACAACTTTTATTCACTTTGTTTTGTATTTTTCAATAGCCTTAAATAAATAGTTTAATTCACTTATTGCATAAATCAAATATAATGCCTTGATTGTATGTTGAGTGGGAAATTCTGTCTTCTTGAAGTTAATTGGTGCATGGTTACTAGCAGTTAGATACCATTTGAAACTGCTTCGTCATCTGGATGTACCAGCATTCCTCAGTCAGTGAGTGATGGTGTTCCCACCGAGGCTCGAACCCCCCCCCCCAGTGTCCATGATTTCAAGCGTCAAAGCGTTATGCGCTAAACCACTTCGACCATGACAGCCAATTCTTATGCTACGGGTCTTCTTAATTATTTAATTCAATGTATATTTTCCCGTCGATGGATTGGACCGAAGTGCTTGGTCTCAGGTTGACATTTCGGACTCGGATGTAAAGCGTAATGCGCATCCTGGATTCCACTGTTAGTCATCATCCACCAATTGACTTTACGTCACATGCCCAGACACCATCGAAGCATTTGCACAAAGAGCCAACATATCACCCTGAGACCGAGCACTTCTGTCCAATCCATCGACGGGAAAATTTAAATTGAATTAAATTCTCTGTTTCCTTTGCAATAGCCATGTTTGTTTAACTTTTAAGCATCTATTGATTGACCTTAAGCAGTTTTTAGTATTCTTATAGTCACATTATTATTCTGTATGAGATTAGGTGTTCCCTGAACAACTGAAAGTAACTTGATTTGTATTTAGCAGTCAACACTGAAACTTGAGACTCGTCAGTCAAATATGTCTGAATCACAATGAGTGATAATTTTCCCACTGGGAATTGAACCTAGCATTTACTATTCACTTGACTGAGGTAGGAATGTCATCTGAAGACGATGGAGGAGGGCTAATTATTGTAGAAGTTAAATCGGTTATTAATTATTGAAACTTGTGGAATTTCATTAAAGTAGAGATAAGGCTTTTAGTGATGTATGCTCTGAGCTGAATGGTTTAATGGCGAAACTCTCATTTTCCTTATGGACGACATATTCAGCTCTGATTAACTTCAGTGTAAATCAGTGAGACCTTCTAATTCAAGTAAATATGAAGTGTATTCAAATCTCCTGAGCAAAATGCCTACTCTCAATATTGTAGGCAAACATTTCTAATGAGTGGTTACCGAAACGTTCTAATAGGACGTATGACTTATGCCTCACACCATCTACCGTCATATCTTTTGTAGACTTTTAAAATGGCTTTTTGTGACTGTGGGAATATTCCCCATCAAAGCGTCTTACATTTTCGTCAATGTTAAGCTTTCTGCGTTTGAATAGTGAAATGAAATAAACGTAACGCCCTCCATACTTCATACATAACGATTATAATATTGATGATGTCAGGCATTCATTTGTACGCCTAAGCGCTTTAATTATTATTAATAGTATCTTGTAAAGTTTAAGGACATCATAGTTACACATTTTCATACATTTGAATAAAAATTGGGGTACCATGACATGCCTATGTAATCCGCTTAAAGTGGACATTATATCAACGGTAACGTCAACTACAAGTCTACTTGCGTGTTTAACCAATCATATGCTGAAAATATATATAAGGCTTTGGCTTCTCTGATTGGCTAATGGGACTGTCGACCTTGTCAGCACTAATGGCCTTGAAACTATGCACATTAAATCAGCTCTAAAGGAATTAAATTTGCCAAAATGTTTCTTATTAGTTTGTTATTTTTTTAGTCAGCTGTCAAGGAAGAGCAGTCAAAGCTACAACGAAAAAGAATTCAAAGATGGAACCGTGCTGAAAGTACAGGGATATAGAGTCACAATTTTGATAACTTCAGGGTTTTAAATAAGGCGTTAAGAAGACAAATTTCGCGAGATGATATCATTTCGTAGTTTCTTTACAACCACTTTACAACTAACATGGTTAACAATGATAAAATAAAGATCATGACAATTACTCAGTTAAATAAAAAACAAAAGTACATACTAATGACCAATCATATTTAGATAGGTCATGTAGTCCATGGTAGGTGGAGATTGAAGTCTATTGATTTTCGTACACACAGTTTAGGCTGTATGTGATTAATCCAAAGTGCTTCCATCACCTTCGATAACCAGCCTTGAATTTGAGTTATGTGAAATAATTGTGAAACAGTCAATAATATTGAATTTGTGACCAGACATTAATAAGTGTTTTGCAATAGATGATGCTGGATTTCTAGCCAGATTAATCGCGTTAGATTTTCGATATGATTTAGTAGCCATTTTGGAACATGTTCTTTCCGACGACATTGGAATATTGTGTTGGTTCTATCTATATAGGTATCACCGCAGCTGCAGGTCAACTTGTAGATACAGTTTGAAGTAGATTCCACAGAATTTCGTCCTTTAATCGTAGGTAAAGGGATCGAAAATGTTCGGCAAGTGAGAAAAACAGATTCGGCGTAGAATGTGCGTTTGATGGCTGACCGAAGTCTTTGAGCTGTCATCTGCATAATCTGGTCGCCCTTCAATGGTAAATTAATAAAGATAGCTTTCTTTGGTACAGAAGCTGTCTTTTCAAGATGTGGTCTATCCTTACCGTGACAATTGATGAAGGTATCTGGATAGCCATTAGCTAATAAAATTGAATGTGTATGTTAGGACGCTCGCCGATCATGCACATGGTCCGGGTTCGATCCGCGGCCGGCGCACTCCTTTACCTCACTTAATCAGAAATAATGCTGGTAAAGAGGAAAGGTTAGGCATGCGGCTAGCAACCCCGTCCTGTAAAATTAAAAATGAACACTGCTACAGAAACTTCAAGTCGCTAGCTTGGAGCCCTATGTTCCACTGGGAACGTGAAGGAAAAATTATTATTATAATTATATGTCAGGGTTTTAGTTAATTGTGAAAAGAATATAGCGAAAATATTCATTCAAACATCTATAAAAACAAAATAAATGAGCCAACAAAGAATATCCTTTTCGATAATTTCCTCTTCTCGCTCTACAATTTTATATATATATATATATATATATATATATATATATATATATTTATATATTTATATACATAGAATATTCTGGATTAGTAGTCAATAAAATATTAGTGAATATTTAAATAATATCGATTTGCTAGGTAAGATCACAATAGAATTACAGTTCATTAAAGATGCTTAAATTATAATAATAATAATAAAGTCATAGTAGCAAATAAAATATCAACTAAAATTAGGAAAATTCCACAAATATTCAGGATCATTCAAACCTAGATGGCCAAAGTAAGGAAAATGTCTGAACTAACTTCATAGGAAAAAGAGAAGACGTTCAACGAAGAGACTCTTTTCGGCGAATTCATTCACATAGGTGTACAGTCGCATTTATGTATAATTATTTGTGTATGTGTGTACATGAGGTTTATCAAGTTTAGATAATTGATCAAGTAATACAACAATGATCTAATATAGAAACAAGGTTAATTAGACAGCAACTAAAGTAAGACCGAGTTAGTAAGTTAGATGACGTAATAAAATTGACTAAAATGGTTCAACTTAGTCTCTACCTGGAATTACCTCTGTTGCTACCCTGACCTAAGTAATTAACCTTGTTTCTATATTAGATCATTGTTTTATTACTTGATCAATTATCTAAACTTGAGAAACCTCATGTACACACATACACAAATAATTATATATAAATGCGACTGTACAGCTATGTGAATGAATTCGCCGAAAATAGACATTTGTAAAAAATTATATTTGTAAAATCTCAGCGATATTGAAATGAGTAATTCCAACGTTTAAAGTGTTTAACAAAGGTAGATCAATATTTGTAAGTCTGAGGTCAAATTTTGATCACAACTCGTACAATTTTGTTTATTATACTTGTTAATATTTGTTTTATAAATCATGATTGGACAAAGTTTTTAAAAACTAAAGATGTTCCTTTTATATATAAACCTGTTATGTTAATTTCGATTAATTTCCCTGAAGAAGTTCGGACCAGATTGGCGAACACGGGAAACGTTGGAATTACTCATTTCAATATCGCTGAGATTTTACAAATATAATTTTTACAAATGTCTACTTCTCACTCGGCGCCCAAATATTATAGAACTATTCTGTCAAATCTTGATTACAGTTCATTTGATTCGCCGAAAATAGTCTCTTCGCTGAACGTCTTCTCTTTTTCATATGAACTAACTTCTTTTGGACGCATATATTAAGCTTCTTAATATGGATCCCAACAGCCAGCCTCAGCAATATTTAGTAAACGAACTCTTTCAGGCAAAATTGAGATGCATAGGTATGCGGTAAATGACTTTGAAAGCCACCTCATTGACATCGATCTTGTGTTCTGTATCCACAAGATGAGATAGAATAGCGCTATTTGAATAGATTTTGTTTGTCTTTTGCTTAACTACACACAGGTACTTACATTTGACACTACATATTTTGCTTAAACTTTCTTCTGATTCTTTCAATTTTTTTCCCAAATTTCAGTTATAATATTATTAATCAGTCTGAAGACTTTAGTAAAGGAACACAAATCAAACCCCCTGGTAGTAGTATACAAAATCAAACTGTACTACTTTCTAATCCTGTTGTAAATCATTCAACGAATCCAATATTAATTCTTCCGAGTAAAACACAATACAATCATCGTATTCAAATATGCCTAGATGAAATCAACCTCATGAAGTCATCTCGACCGACTGACAATGATTATTTCACTTCCCATAGAAATTCTTCCCTTCATCTACGTGTCCATTGTGTTCTGCTTATCCCACCAGCTGGATCAAATTCTTCATCAGTCAATCATCCATATTATCTTCATGTGATCAAGTCAACAATCAGTCAACCTATATATAATTCATTATATGCAAATGAGTTAAATTGTAAATTAGATGTACAATTGCCATCATCATGGCTAATTGCTTATCAACATCGAAATCCTATCCCCCATCATCAACATCATCATTGTCAACAAACTACTCCTGTGAATACCTCTTCACAAAATAGTTTTGAAATTAGTTTATTAGAGGCAATTTTAAACGGTGATCAATCTCATCAGGCACAGTATACTAGTCCTATTACAAAATCATGTATAGTGATTCAGGTGGATGTATGGTCCCAAGAGAATACAAGGAGAGCATTTGCGGAATGTGATCAAAAGTTGGGAAATTTTTGGGGTAAGTGTTGTTCCAGTTATCTGTAGTGTAGACAGAATTAAATTATTCTAGATTTTTGTTTAATGAAAACTTTTAATGGTGATGATGCTTCAAGTCTGTGTTTCCATATTATCATAATGTTATCTATCAATATGTGATCGAACTTGAAACCAATCAAATCTCTTCAAGTCAACACTTGAAAATTAATCTGATAATCCAGGTGAATTCAGATTTATGGAATATACGCTTCTACCTCTGCAGTGATTGACCTAAAATGTTGATTTTAATTGTGACCGTTTCCTGTCAGTTTGCATCCACATTATTATTACTATTTCCTTTACTTCCTAGAGGAACACAGGGATTCAACCGCACGTCTCCTTTACGTTCGGTTCTAGGCTAGAGTTTTCACCTGGCTCGAAGTCTGCCCACATGCTTTCATCTCCTCTTCACGTGAACTCCTACATGTCACCCTCCCACTGGACAGCCAACTCGCCGCTCCCCATTCGAGTTCCAACCGACCAATGGCCTTGTATGTGCTGTCATTTGATGGGTTTTTTCTCCGAGTAGAGCCGATCCACCTCCATTTCTTCCTGCATATTTGTTGGTGAAGGTCTGTAGACTGTTAGAAGCGGCCTTCGTGACGCGGCGCCAAGTTTCTGATCCGTATAGTAAGTAGAACTGACTTCACATTGAAGTTGAAAATCCGGATCTTATTTTTGATACTGAGTGTCTGTGGATCTGCACACACAGACTCGAGAGTAATGAAACCTTGCCTTTGCTTTCTCGATCCGTGCTGTGATATCCTTATCAGATCCGACTGTACTTCAATGCCATATATCTCTTCATTTCATTTGCAATCTGAGCAGTTTTTTCAGTTGCATACATAGTGCGAACGTTCCATGTCCCCACTCACACTTTTTCTTTCGCCTCAAGGAGACTCATCGTACTGAAGTTTCTGTAGCAGTTTTATTTACTGGGTGAAGTTGCTAGCCTAGTCTAATTACACAAATCTCAGTAATGAATACAAATTTCTAGCATTGGTTTGCAGGGATTTGATTTATTGCTTACAGGATTTCATCATGAAATGAAATCGGTTAGAGAACTATTGCAAAACCTTCAGGGAGTACTGAACAGGTGTCCCGTCAGCCTAGTTTGGGACTCTTCAGCAGTACACCCTCACCGTCAGCGTTCGAACCTAGACACTCTGTTTACAATGAAAACGTTTTATATAAGGTGCGTTTATATGATCGATTTAATTTGCTTAATGTACTTCTGATGTATTTCTGTTATTTCTGTTCTCATAACAGCCTTTTTAATTTTTACGAATCCTTTCTTAAAAAAAATAAAAATCTTTTTGTGTACACTTTTCTCTGCATCTATTTTTTGCTTCTACAGGATTATGTTACACTGACTTTGAAAACAATTCTGATGATGACAATACTTCTTATTCATCGCTTAATCCTGGTAAAGATTATAAACTTGTCAGCAGTTGTCGTATTCCTTTATCTGGATTATTATTTTCAACACATGGTATTATGCCATCACATTGGTATCCATTATGTTCATTTATAAGCGATAATTATTCATCATTATCATCATCGTCATTGTGGGAAAGTAAATTCAGTGGAGCTGTTCAATTGAATATGAAATTAATTGATCCAAATATGATTAAAATAGTTCCATGTTATAATACTACTATAACATCAAATTCAATTAATAACAATCATAATATTATACATAATTCTTCTATAATTCATTGTCTAAGAGATTGGAATATATCATTTAGTATTGAAAAGCTGGAGAATGGTCAAACTTCTGTGACAGCATTTAAAAATGAATCGAATTACTGGAGTGATGGTGTAGGTAAGCGAACACTTCTTGTTTATCGATTTATTGATTTACTTTTTTTTAGTACCTTACTCTGTTAACTTGGCTGATACAGTAGGTTTTATTAGATTAATGATGACAGCACCACGGAAAGATAACACGAGTTCGTTTGATTTCGTTGTACCTCCTCAAAATTTGCTTATTTCCTAAACAGTATCGAAATGTAAGTTACAAAATATTTCTGAACATACAGTGACATCGATTTTTGGATAGACTGTCTGTCTGTCTGTTTTCGACATAGAACTTTGCACAAATGTGCGGAAGTTCAAGTCGCCACATTCCGTGTAGCACGCGAAGCAAGAGAATAGAAGAAAGTAGAAGCAAGATAATAATTCCCAATGGTATGATAAATTCTCATTTCATGTAATTAAGAGTACATGTTGACCTCATGTGTTCATGTGTCCTGTTAGGGGAGGATGCTGACAAAATGCAGAGTCTTCTGAACACCTTGAGCAGCAATCTTCGTATGTTTGGCATGCAATTCGCCCCTACAAAATGTAAGATGCTGCTACAGGACTGGACCACGTCAACCCCTAACTTATTTATTATTTTTTTATTTTTGATTACAGCTTGATTCCACACCGTATTTTTGGTACAAGTATGGAATTTTCAGCGTGGATATCGGTAGCCCAGATTTCGCAGGCCGGCCATAGATATCAGGTGTGCGTCGGCGTGGGCTCGAACCCCAGACCATATGCATGGTCGGCGAGAGTCCTAACCACTGTGCCACCGACGCACTTAGCGATAGGGAGTCAAGTGATAGAACATGTTGACCACTTCACCTATTTGGGAAGTTGTATTAGCACCAACGGACTGATTGGCGATGAAATCTCAGCACGGATCCGAAAAGCTCGAGCTGCTTTCGCTGACTTACACCATCTCTGGCGTAGGCGTGACATCCGGTTATCAACCAAGGGACGTGTGTACTGCTCATCAGTTCGCTCCGTCCTTCTCTATGGCTCTGAAACATGGCCAATACGAGTTGAAGACATGAAAAGGTTGACTTCTTTCGATCATAGATGTCTACGATCTCTTTCTCACGTTAGGTGGTTTAATAAGGTAAGTAATGTTGACGTTAGGCGTAGAGTGTTGGGCAAAGAGGAAAATCAATCGACGAGGCTATAAAGTTACATAGACTAAGATGGCTAGGTCAGGTGGTGCGCATGCCTAACCACCGCCTCCCCCGACTACGGGCATTACTAGCTGATATAGGTGCAGGTTGGAAAGAGCCAGTGGTGGCCAAACAAAAACATGGCCTCATCAATCCATGAAATCCTTGACAGTTAAACTGAGTCAGGTAGGGAGATGCAGACTCCCAGGTTGGGGCCCTCGGGACTCTAGGAATCAATGGCTGGAGACAATAGGTGACATGGCTCAAAATCGTTGTCAATGGCGCAGATGTATTCAGTCTGTAATCTTTCATATTCCTTTCTACCATTACCCATTCTGTTTCACTCTTATACTTGTCAAACTCTGTTGATTGTCCTCACTCATCTTCTTGTCTACCTCTGTGTGGTATTTGGAAGGTGGCAACTCAAACTGGTGCACTTCGGTGCCAAGTTCTATGTTGAATCCAGACAGACAGACAGACAAATGTGTTCATAAGCCCGAAATGATGCAATTAGACAAATTATTCAGTGATAAAAGGCTAAGTATTTATAGTATATTCAAGTATTGGTTTGTAGGCATTGGATCGATTGGTTACAGGATTTCATCATAAGGCCGCATTGGTTACAGTACCATTGGAAAATCTGGGAGTACTGGTTTACTGTTCACAATACGCACCCGCTGCCAAAGTTCCAACCCAGGAACTCTTGGTTACAATGCGAGCTCGTAGACCAATAAACCACTGTGACGCGATCTAATGGACCATGAATTCTAACTTCTGCCAATGCTTTACCATAGCGTGACCACTAAAGAAAGTCATCGCTGGCTAGTATTTGTCCTCCTGCCCTGCTGGTCATGACTTACCACAGTTGGTCGCGCATGAGGACAAATACTCGCCAGCGACGATATTGGCTGGTGGTCGCACCATATCATGAATTGCCAGAAGATGGAATTCATGAGTTGGCCATTGGATCGGGGCCCAGTGGCTAAATAAATGGTCAGCGAGCTCACCTTGTAACCAGAATGTCCTGTGTTCGGACCTTGGCGGTTGGTGGTGCGAACTGACGAAGTGTCCCAATCTAGGCTGACGAAACAGTTGTCCAGTGCTCTCAGGTTTTCCACTGATGAAATCCTGCTTAAGGGAATTGCGAATAAAGTTCAGATTTGGCTTAGAAACAAGGATAGACTAGAGACAGAATACCAGATCGAATAACAAAGTGAATTTATACATAGTATGACAGAAATTTCAAGAGGGTGAGAGTTAAAAGTACAAGTAAAATTGTGAAATAGACAAATATTTAAGTAAATTTAGAAACTAAGTAGTGAGTTCAACCCAGTAAATGCAAATCAAAACTGAATGAAATGTTGCGCAACCATGAACTAAATACAAAAAACACACTAACAAATCAAAACAATTTCAGTTACCAGGGTATATTAAGAGATTTATCACGCTATCTTTTTGTACATATGGGTTGCGTTGCAATCTTTTGTTAAAAATGGATTTTGCGAAACAAAGTAACCTAGGTTTTCCTTGTATATATTGATTATTTTGAAAGCATGACTAATTTTCAGTATGAGTCTCGTGTCAATCAGGTGTCTATCGATTATTACTATTATAGATTATTACTACTATTATTATTCATTTGAGTTCCAAATGGAACATAAGGCTTCAACATTACATCTCCACTTCCTTCTAATTTTCTACTGTCCTCTTCGCCTGGCTCCACAAGTGACCATAATCTCACATCTCCTCCTCCTCCTAAACACGAGATCTCCTCCATGTCACCCTAGCACTGAAGACTTACTCGTTTCTTATTTGGGTTCCACTCGAACACCTGCTCTGCATTGTGCGGCATGTCATTGGACAGTTTCCACAATGTCCGCCTGGTCCATCTGCATTCTCTCCCACATATTTGTTAAGGCCAATAATTGTAAAATCCATCTGTCCTTGTGTTCTTGTTTAATTAATGTCAGTTATAAAAATAATAATAGTTATTATCTCACTTTACTCCAAAACAGACAGTACTTATAATGGAATTCCCAGCATTTGTCACAACATTGCATCTGATTTACTCAAAATGTAAATAAAATTGAGATTTAAAACAAAATTAACCTGAGGAATTTGTTCATATTTACGACATAATGTCAAAAATATTCGAAGTGCGAGTTGAGAATATTAAATATAATAATAATAATATAATAATAATAATAATAATAGGAATAACATTAAGTTTGTTTCAAATGGTATTGTCGATTCACTTTGGAAACTTTAGCATGTTATAGAGGCATTGAATCTCATGTTCTCTTGATATAGTAAAGTGAGGGGGAATACAAAATTAACAGTTATAACACAGCTAAAATTATGTTCACACTTATGAAAAATAAATAAATAAAAACAAAAAATTGAGAGGATTATTCAAATAAGAAATACAATAACAATAAAGTTTGGTACAGTAAGGGTGGAGGAAATGGTTTATTTAGTAGCGCAAAGAAGGTTAGTTAGTTAGTTCATGCCTGACACTATTTTCATCATATAAAGTTCGCGCTAAATATGGTATAGTGGAGTTTTTATACTTAGACGTACGTGCATAAATTCTTCTGAAAAGACTTCTTGTTTTACCTGACGAGACACAAGGTTGGAGCTGCGGGTGCTGCGATGGGTGCTCATAGTCTGACAAAATTCCTTTAGCAAATTTGTTGCATGACATCATGTGCCTTTCAATGACAATGTCAACGATATGGCCCAATGGGATACCACTCGCCCTACTGACCGACAGTCTTCAGAGTTCTACGAAGTATGACATAGTCTTTTTTAAGCAATCTAGGAAAAAATAATCAAGGGTGAACAGTAAAGAAGAATAGGTAAGGTGCAAGAGTTGACAAACTGTAAGAGGAGAAGGGGTTGAGTTATGCCCAAGCGCCTTAACATCTTAATGTAAAAAGTCAGACGAAATATTCTTTTAGAAATCGCTAAGACATGGGAAGACCAGGATAGGTCAGTAGAAATAATTAATCCAAGATACTTAACTTCAGACTTGGTTTCTATATCACTGTCATCAATTTTACAACGGTCATAGGAACCAACAGCTTCTAAATGAAGCTTTTTTCACATCGGAAACTGAAATTAACAGTCTGACATTTGGAAGGATTTAGTTTAAGACCATTTAACGAAGACCATATGCTAACTGCTGTTAGAAAGCTATTTATCTTAGTACAGTCTAGCTGGAGTTAACAGACTTTGAAATGATTAGATCATCGGTATACTTAACAAAGTTCATTTGTTTATTTGTAAGTCCAAAGGAAGTGTATAAATTTGCTATCGATACTTGTTTTAATATATAGTTAATATTGTGTATATTGATTCTCTGCCTATTATTTCCTATCTTTTATAGATGAATTTGGTTGTCAGTATAAACACTTTACAATATATCTTAATTTTGCACACATACCAAATATTAAACAGTTAATCAAAGAGACATCAGAATTGGATGGGGGTACTGGTGTTGGTGGTAGTACATTGCTTAGAAGCTTTCTTATGGAGGATAGTTTCAAGGCCTATGTGTTTGTACGCTTTCAATTTCCAAATTATGGTACACAAATGTCTCAACTGGTCTATTTGCCGAATTCTACTGATCAATTTGATGATTTGAAGCCTACAACTATCATTGAGGTAAACATTTAAGTGTAATTGTATGTATGATAAGCAATTTTTTTCTTTCGATTTAGATCTTGTCGCAAACAGATGAATCGTCCTTGCTGTGGGCTCTTCACAGCTCGCACCCTTGACCGCTTCACAGTGACAGAATCTAGGACTTTCGTCTGTAGTGGAACCGGTTCATGACAGCGCTATAACGTTAACTGATGAGATTTCGAATTCATAGGGGATTGGATTCCGACCCAGTCTGATTGAATGGTCAAAGGACTCGCCTCGTAAACTAAAAGTTCTTGGTTCTATCCCTAGGGGGAGGTGATAGTTGGGTTATAGGTGTGTATTACTAGGTTCATAAAGTGTTTAGCAATGTAACCAAGCTAATGTTTTGTAGAGAAGTGCAAATATAATACGTTTGAGATTAATATGATAGCTAAATGCCGTCCTAAAACACTTGTCACCAATCATTGTCTTTTTTATCGTCGTTGCAAATTGCAACATCCATCCAATCAAACAAAATCCCTACAAAACCAATACTTGAAAATCAATCTGATGCCCACTAGCGATTGCCTTATTCAGGAAGTAACCTGAGGTTCTAGTGGGAAGTCGTGACCAGTAGGGTACAGTAGGTTGAAGATGAAGCAGTAACTCATCGAAAAAGACACTGCGAAATTGTCGCACTGTGTCATGTATTGGCAGAAGTTAGAATCCATGGGCCATTGGATCAGGTCCCAGAGGCTCAATGGTCTACGAGCTAGCTCGCCTTGCAACCAGAAGGTCCAGGGTTCGAACCCCAATGATACGGGTGCAAACTGATGAAGAGTCCCAAACTAGGACGAAATAGCTGTCCAGTACTCCGGTGCTGGTTTTCCTATGGTTCTTTAATTGATGTCAGCTCATGATGAAATCCTCCATCCAATTACAACATACACTATTCAATTAATCTATCAACTTTGTGTCCTGTAAATTACCGACTTCGATTGCTACAAGTGTTGTTACTACATTCATGATACTTTTATGCTGTTTAAAGTTCTTTGTATCTATTTCATTCTGCTTTCTATAGTTTATTTAAAACAACTTAGAATCTGGGATGCTACATACTCAGTTAATCTATATCAGCACATTGTCTGTAATTCATATTCGCCTAAGACTGTGAGTAACAAGTCATTGAAATGCTTCAGCGAATAGTTTCATTATCATTTAGTTCAAATGCTTCTTCTTTTCTCCTGAAATTGAATCTGCGGTTTAATGAATTTATCCTGTGATTGTATGGAATTCTTTGGATAAATTATGTGTTGGAAATCCTGGGAGTGAAACGATTGCTTGTAGGAGGGCGATATGATGATTTGTGGAACATTGATCTACTGTGAAACTGGTCTGTTGGATCTCGTTGCCTTACTGTTTCTTGCTATGTGATTTGATTTACTTTGATGAGTTTGTTTAAGGTCTTTTGGATTTGATTGTCAAATAATTTGAATTGGATTTGTCGTGAGCTGTTGGCATACCCTTTTTTCATCTCTCAGCAAGTCATAAGTGTTCCTGGTGTATGACTCCTCTTTGGCGGCGGCATGTTTAAAACTTGGACTACCAGAAGTCTTCATCTTCATATTCCACATAATTCTTCTAGTTCACCTTCTTTGAATCTAATAAAACATGACTTCTAGTGATCATGTTTGTAAAATTGGCAGAAGTTGGAATTCATGGGCCATTGATTGAATCAGGTGCCAGTATCTTAATGGTCTGCGAGCTAGCTTACCGTGTAACCAGAAGGTCCTGGGTTCAAACTCCGTACTAATGAAGAGTCCCAAACTAGGACGAAAACAGCTGTTCAGTACTCCCTGGTAGTTTTCCAAATTGTTCTCTAACCGATGTCATCTCATGATGAAATCCTGTAATTACTATCATGAGTATTGGGAAACGCTTTACTACACAACCTGCTTATTTGCAAGTTTCTACTAAGCTTGAGGAAAAGCAACATCCTAGGTGGAAACATATCTCAATGCATGAAATAACACTGTTTCTGAATTATTTTCTTGAGTCTCAAAATGTACTCCTGAACTTTGCTTAAGGGGTTTTTCAACCAAATGTGGTGCATTTCTTGAGGCAGACAAAGAAGAAATATCATAAGAGATTGGTTTGTGCTTCAGGTTAAACAGCGTCTCAACCGATCGACTGCCAATCAATATTTTACTTGAAGATCCTGTACGAAGGGGAAATATGTAGTAAACTCTGCCAAATATTCTGTACATTATATATATATATATATGTATCGGTGGTACAGCGGTGGAATACTCGCCAACCACGCAAGTGATTCGGGGTCCTATCCGTGGTCACTGGACGCACTACTTTATTTCACCAGTAATAAGACTGGTGAAGAAGGAAGGTTCAGCTTGAGGCTAGTAACTCCATCCCTTAAAAATAAACACCACTTCTACCGAAACTTGAAGCTTCTAGCTTTGAAGCCCTATGTTCCACTCGGGACGTAAAGGAATCAAAAAGAAATATGTATGTATGAACGCTGTCCAGAATAAAGCTATTATTATTTTATTTGTCAATAATTAATACGGTTCTTTCATTTTCGGTTGGTAGTATAACGATCCTCCTTGAAATTCTCAGTCTTTTCAATGTGTTGAGTGTAGTATTTCGTATGCGAGATCATAGATAAAATAATTTGGTGCACCTCTTTATGAGTTTCACTACTACTTAGTCCCGGTGACTTGAGTGTTGTTTCTCGGAGGAAGCAAAGAAGTACGATTTTGTGTCATCTCCAGTATTGTTTATTATTATTATTATTGCTCCCTTGGGTTCCTAGTGGAACATAGGGCTTCAACTGCACGTCTCCATTTTCTTCTGTCTTCTGCTGTACTTTTCGCCTGCATCCATGTTAGTCCGTATTCTTTCAACTCCTCTTCACACGATCTCCTCCATGTCACCCTTGGACGTCCCACACGCCTCTTCCCTTTCGGGTTCCACCCGAGGGCTTGACGCGCGATGTCACCCAGCGGTCTCCTCAGCGAGTGTCCGATCCATCTCCACTTTCTCCTGCATATTTATTCGCTGGTGATTGGCTCTTGTTTTGTTTGTTCCCATATTCTGATCCGTATAGAAGAACTGACTTCACGTTTGTATTGAAAATCCGAATTTTGTTGGTGATGCTGAGTGACGAAAATTTCCAGATTGATTTCAGGTTGATGAATGTGTTTCTCGCCTTCCCGATTCTCGATTTGACATCCTCGTCCGCTCCTCCTGTAGTTGAGACAATGCTCCCCGAGATAAGTGAATGAAGTAATCTCTTTCAAATCCCTCCCGTTGATGGTGATTGGCACTGGACGTAGCTGATGTTGTTGTAGTTTGGTTATTTTCACAACCTCCGTCTTGTCTATGTTTACCTGGAGTCCTGTCTTCGCAGTCTGCTTCTTCGACCAGTCTGTCGGTTTTCGCTTGTAAGTCTTCGACTTTGTGTGACATCAAACATAAATCATCCACGCGCGAAATCTAGGTCTTCTAGGTTCTTCGCGTCGGTCCAGGATATTCCTGTCTTCTCGTTTCCCACTGTCTGACACGTAATCCAGTCCACCACAATTAGGAATATCATTGGTGATAGTAAGCACCCTTGTCACTTGACATGTGCTGTCGTCGTATAGCTGTTAAATAAGGTTGATGAATGTTTGGGGTACGCCATAGTACTCGAGTAATTTCCAAATTACTTCTCGGTCAACGCTGTCGAAGGCCTTCTCAAAGTCTATAAAGTTGAGGCAGAGGTTTGATCGCCATTCCATGCTTTGTTCGATGATGATGCGTAGAGTTGCAATTTGGTCAGTACATGATTTGCCTTTCCTGAATCCAGCTTGTTCTGGCCGGAGTTCTGTCTCCAGTGCGTCCTTTAATCTCTCCAGGATGATGCGACTCAGGATTTTGCTTGGTGTCGACAGGAGCATGATTCCTCGCCAGTTCTTGCAGAGTCCTTAGTCGCCCTTCTTTGGTAGTTTCACGAGGTAACCTTTCCTCCAGTCAGTAGGCACCTTTCCCTCCTTCCAGACCTTTTGCAATAATGGAGTCAGTATATCTGCTGTAGTCTCCGGGTCCGCTTTCAGTGCTTCAGGGGGTATTCCATCTGGTCCGGCTGTTTTTCCATCTTTCAGAAGCTTGATTGCGTTCAAGACTTCAGCTCTCGTTGGAGGATTGGTGTCAACTTTCAGTTGTGTGCGCGCTGTTGTTGGTATTTCTGGACGGGTTGCAGGTTATGGTCGGTTCGAGAGTCCTTTGAAGTGATCCGCCCATTGTTTGATCTGTTTTTCTTCCTTGGCAATTGGGATCCCTTGGCTGTCTTTTATAGGTTTCGCTTGTGTTGATCTCTTCCCGGATAGAGATTTGGTTATCTGATATAGTGTCCTCAGATTCGTTTTGCCTGCTGCCTTCTCAGCTTCAGTGGCCAGTTGTCGTAGAATCGTTCTTCCACGCATGATTCTTTAGTGATGTCGCGTAGTGTTTCCTGCTTTGCTCTGGCAGTTGCAGTGAAGGTGTCTTTTGTGGTTGTGTCCTTCAGTAGTTGAGTGTTGAACTTGCATTGTGGTCTATTTCCAGCTATCCTCGAGGCTTTTAGTTTCACCTTGAAAGTCCCTTCTACTAGATAGTCGTCTGAACCCACATCTGCTCCTCTCCTTGACCTTGTGTCCAGTAGGCTCCGTCTCCACTTTCTTGAAATTGAGATGGAGTCTATTTGGTTCTTGGTGTTTCCATCTGGTGAAATCCATGTCGTCTTGTGTATATCCTTGTGTTTGAACACACTACCGCCAATCACCAAACCATTGAAGGCGCAGAAGTCTGAGAAGAGTTCCCCATTGTCGTTCATTTCACCGAAGGCCTCACGACCTATGGTGAGTTCTCTTCCTGTGTTGTCTCGTCCCAGCTTCGCATTCATGTCGCCCATCAGGATTTTGATATCGCCATTTGGGACGTTGTCCATTATTGCTTGTAGTTGTCTGTAGAACGCCTCCTTCTTCTCTTGTTGTGAGACGTTTGTAAGCGCATAGCATTGAATGATTGTAACTTTCCTTCCTTTTGAGTTGAACCTGGCTGTCATTATCCTGGAGGAGATTGGTTCCCACTTCATGAGAGCTTTGGTTGCTGTTGGTGACATCAAGATGGCCACTCCCTCGGTGTGCTCATGGTTGTCCTCTGGGTGGCCGGAAAAGATTACTGTCTCTCCAGTAGGTAGTTGGCACCTTCCAGTTCCGTTCCATCTGCTTTCGCAGATTCCCAACAGTTCTATTCTGTACCTTCTCATTTCAGCGGCTATCTGGGCAGCCTTCCCAGTTTCGTACATTGTGCGAACATTCCAGGTACCCATCCTTACTTTTGCTTTCATCGAAAGAAGGCACATCGGCTGACTGGCTTCCCGAAGGCTTTCACCAGCCTGCGTCATTTCACTTCCCCGATCCCAGCGAAAAGTAAGACTATTGCTTATGTTTTTAGAATTTTTAATATATTTATTCGTTGAAGTTTCTGTAGCGATTTGGTTGTTTTACAGGGGTGGAGTTGCTAGTACCACGCCCCAACCCTCCCTCTTTACCCGGGCTTGGGACCGGCGAGAAAACTAGTGAGCTAGTAGCCTAGCAAGCTAGTATCTGGCGAGGTTCCAGTATTGTAGTTCAATCCTTTTTAAAGGAGTTGATACTAAATTTTCGATGATATTCGTCTTGATTTATTGAACAGGCAGTTATTGAGTGTTTCTTCAGTTTGTTATTTTACAGTCTCGATTAACTCCTTCCCAAAGAACACTTCATCTTTATTCTTTGTATTGTCTATTCACCAATACAATAGTGATGTTCAACGTTGCTAGAGATATTCCGATGTTACGCAGTTGTGGTCATTAGTCTGACCATTGAGTTTCTGCATTATTCAACTAATTCCCATTTCACTACTCATTTAGTCAGTTGCGTCTATACTTGGCACTTATTGGTAGATTTCGATTATGCAGACATTCGAGAAAAGAGAAGACTTGTTCTTTACTGAATGTCTGCATTTTCAGGTATTCCAGCTTGCGTTTTTTATTTCATAGGACCATGTGGCTTCAAGATCTGTGCAAATTTCAAGGCTTTGTTGGATCAAAGTTATAATTTAAAGTTCCAAGTATTCGAATTAATCATTTCCCAATGAGTTATACTGTAACAAAAGAAGACAAGGGCCAGGCAACAGATCGTATATTGAGAAAATCAACAGATATTTGTAGATTTTTATGGACATTATTATCAAGGTTATTGTTAGCAGAGAAGCAACCTCTGATTGGCTGTTTTCTTGTTCAAGGGTATTCTGTCATCTCTTTGTGGCCGTTTCTTAGGCAGTCCGGTGATATATCTGCGAATCGTATATCCGCCCACGCTAAGTTTGCTATGATTGGTTGGTGAATTCCTCAAGGTTAAGCTTTGTTATTGTTTTTTTTCTCATGACTCCCATTGGGGAAGTGAACATTGACGTCAATTGTTGTCTACAATCTTGTTTTACAGACAGCTATCACAACAATAGGTTCAACCCTACAGGTGTTTATAGCATACTTCAGCATACCAATAGTTAAAACGTTTATTAAATAACATGATAGATATTACATATAACGTATTATGTAAACATGAATATTTATACCAAACACATAGCTATTTTTACTCGTTTTTAAGTTAATTAGCATTTCCCGTTGATTGCTTATGCCAGACCGAAATGCTCAATCTTTGTGGGTATGTCGGCTGCTAGTATTATAGACGCTTTGACTGGACCTTAAGATCAATGTGATGTTATTTTTATTTGATGGTAACTACCAGTTAAATCTAGGATGTGTGTTTCATCCTGTTTTGAACTCATCAGCTTCATCGTCGTAACATCCGTACTAGGAGCGGACATGTCAACACGGACCTAGCATTTCCGTTCAGCATTATCAATCAACGGGAAAATCAACGGGGCCTAAACATCGAGTAATAGTAATAATAATAATAATAATAATAATAATAACTGACACCCGTCTTGGCGTCGAAAACAATGGCTACTGGGTTCGAGCCTCATTAGGAACACCACCACTCATTGTGGAATGTAGGTACATCCAGTTGAAGAGTCTCAGACAGGACAAAATACTCTTTCTGGATACCACTGCTGGTCACTGTCAACTAACCTGTGTTTTGTTTCTTTTTTGGTTCTTGTTTTTAGTTTAAAGAATATAAAGAGTTTGTCATTCCAGTTAGTTCAGAATTAAGATATTTTCTGTCTGAATCTTCACTTGAACTTCAAGTATGGATTATTTGGACAGATGAAAATTTAAAGGAGACTGATGTAAGCAGAAATGATATTGGATTTGGAATAACAGGAGAAGGGTACTCTTCATCATCCACCCATCGGTAAGACAAAACAGTTATGTTCCTATTTAATCTTATTTTTAATTAAAGGTTTTATTCATTTGTTATTTTGTGATAACTGGACTTTTTGTCTATAGAACTTACAGTATCATTCTAGTCATCATCCGCTTTGACTGACTGACTGACTGACTGACTGACTGACTGACTGACTGACTGACTGACTGACTGACTGACTGACTGACTGACTGACTGACTGACTGACTGACTGACTGACTGACTGACTGACTGACTGACTGACTGACTGACTGACTGACTGACTGACTGACTGACTGACTGACTGACTGACTGACTGACTGACTGACTGACTGACTGACTGACTGACTGACTGACTGACTGACTGACTGACTGACTGACTGACTGACTGACTGGTTTCAACATCGAACGTTGCACCGATGTGCAGCAGTTCAAGTCAGCACACAAAGCCAGAGAAGAAGAAGAAAGTAAAAATAAACTCAAAATAGGGACAGTAAAGAGAGATATGATGCAAAAAGATTGGTTTTTTTGTAAACTATAAGGCACAAGGAGTGGATACATCTGCACCAGCCATTAAGAATGATTTTTAGCCATATCACCAATTGTCTACAGCCTTCATTGGCTTTCACCATCCCAAAGAACTCAACCAGTGAAGAAGTCTACACCTCCCTACGTGACTGGCTGGCTGGCTTAAACTAACTGTTGTGGATTTCATTGACTGTTAAAGCCATGTTTTGGTTTCACCACCACTGACTCTTTTCCAACTGTTTCATCCTATATCAGCTAAAATTTCCTGTTGAAGAAGACGATGTCTAGGCATGCATGCGTAACACATGTCCTAACTTCACAACCTCGTCTATTGATTTCCGCTCCTTACCTAGCACTCGACTGATGCCTCACTTCAATATTGCTCAACCTATTATACCACTTAATATAAGAGATAGAACGCAGACACCTATGATTTAAAGACAGCCTTTTCAGGTCTTCCACCCTTAATGGCCAAGCCTAACAGCCATAAAGGAGAACGGAGCTGACTGATGAGCAGTACACACGTCCTTTGGTCGATAACCGGATATCATATCTACGCCAGAGACGGCGTAAACTGGCATATGCGAAACTAGCCTTTTGTATCCGTGCTGAGATTTCGTCAGCGATCAACCCGTTGGCGTTGGCTGATACAACTTCCCAAATAAGTGAGGCAGTCAACGTGCTCTACCACTTCATTCCCTATTTCTAAGCTAGCAGACGGTGGAGTCCAGTTCAGTCATCTGACATTAGGCCGGACCGAATAGCATGCCAAACAAACATCCCCTTAATCTAACCATAGCTCCACGCTGACTGATTAGGCTGAAATATTCCCCATGTGTTGACGTGTCGGCTCCTAGTGCAGACTCTTCAAAGATGTCTGAGGATTAGTGTGATGTTATTTGTTGGAAAGTGACTAGTAGTGAGATCTAGAATGTACATTTCGTCCTATTTGGAACTCGTCATCTGGACGTGCCAGCAGTCCCCAGTTGGGACACCACCAATCAGTGCTTTTCGGTGGTATATATACAGATGACGAGTCGCAAATAGGAAGGAATGCGCATCTTTCACTACACTGTTGGTCAACACCTACTAAATAACATGATGTTCTTCTAGAATCATCTGATTTGTTTATGGACCTCGTCAAAGTCCACCTATCAAATAAACAATTTAGCCGTTAAGCCAAATGATGCAACACTTCAGCAAACTTCTGAAAACGGTTTAGCAGTAATTCGAATAGAATAGTGTTTGATGGTTGCTTTATAGATATGCTTAAGGAAACTTCACTATACGACAGTTTATTTGTCCAGCTATAGCCTAGTCTATTTTTGAAAACGTGATTGAGTCACTGTAGTTGGTTAATAACTCTTGAACATTCAGGGGAAAGTATGACCAGTCTAATATATGCTACAGTTTTCTCTCGCTGAAATTGAACAAAACGTATCTAGTCTTGTATTTTTCCCTGCATGAAATGTAATCGGCAAGAAAGCCTCGTATGCATTGTATGAAAAGTTGAGGCTATCAGTCAACACCAAATGTCATAAATTATTGATTAAAAGGAGCTCAAAATGTTTTCAAAAAAGTGAGTTGAAAAGCTTCGTGTTCTTATGGGAGTGTAAGTGATTTTATTATTTCCGGGTTGCTCATAACTCAGAAGTAGATTTCCTCGTGAGGCATCTGAAACAGAAGGAGCATTAGTGTTGTTCGACTGGAGAACCGAGGTAGTAACTTATTTAGGCTGATTACTTACAGCATATTTTAAATTTTTTGTAGTTGCGTCCTTTAAGCCAGGATGTAAAATTTTCTGGATGGATCATTTTTAACCACTGTCTCCACAGCGAACAAAAAGCACAGCTGTCATGCTGGTCATCTGAGAGAAACACAATAATTTTGTTAATTCCTTATTCGCCAACAGTATGACTTCGCTTCCGCCCCCCCCCCCGCAACATAACACGAAGTACTGCTTTTAGTCCATAGAGCATTTCTGGCATGGTAAGAGTATTAATTCCAGCCAGATTAGCTCCATGGTTCAATGTGATATTCAAGCTCGACTGCCACATCAAGGTAACAGCTACCAGTCAGGAGCTTTAAGTATCAGCAGACTGCTTGTGTATACTTTTTAATTAATATTTTGTCTCCTTGGCGTAAATTTAACTTTATAGAGCTTTTATCTTTAGAAAAGTTATGAGATTTTAGTTTTTGTAACATTTTTCTCAGCTTGTATTCATATTCTCCTTAATTTATCTCTTTACTTATTTGGAAAGTTGCATCAGCCCCAAGAAGCTGATCTGTGAAAAAATGTTAGCATGGATACAGAAGGCATCTGTCAACTTACTCTATCTCCGGTATAAACGTCATTCCGGCTATCGATCAAAGGATGTGTCTACTGCTCAACCATGGTCTCCGTCCTCCTATGTGGCAATGAGGCATGGCATGACAGGTGTCTGCGTCCTATCACCCATTTTAGATATGATGAAGAAGATTTGTAGCTCAGCTGGATGATTTTGATGCGGTTGTATCGTCTGAGTCGGATAGTTAATCTGAGAAGCTTTCATTACCCCACCACTAGGCAACATCTTCAGCGCATACTTCAATTTAATAAAGTGAACTTTTAGATTTCCCCACGAGTTTATTAGTCATCTCTCCTGGCGGGTGACCTTGGACTTGATTGGTTGTTTTTGTGTGCTTTCACACCTTCTAGGAGGCTGCTTGTATTGGAACTGATTGTTTCTTTGACTTGAACTTTGACCCTCTGCGTGTGCGATTTCCATCTGATCGGTTAGTAGATTTTGTCTATCTCGATGTGTCTATTGATTGACGATTCACTGGAATACCAGGCAGGCTTCTAAAAATTCTCCGTTCATTCTTGTTATTTCCTCTTTCTAATATTTGAATGTTTGTTGTCCCAGTTAGATTGATGTCCGTGGTTGTCTGTATGTAGTGATATGAGCGAGAGAGTGGATGTCATGTCTTTTGACGGCTAGCTTATGTTCGTGGATACGAAGACGAAGGAGACGTCCACTTTGGCCAATATAGTGTTTTTCGCAGTTTTTACAATTTATTTTGTAGTTGATGTTAATTTTATCTTCTTTCGCTGTTGAGTCTTTTGGTTGACATAGAATTGAGTGAAGTGACTCTGTTGGTTTGTGTGTGACGTCACTTCCTAAAGAGGTTTGAAGAGTCTTCCAGTGGTTTCTGAGATATCCTTTATATATGATAGGTTCTACCATATATCTGTTTGTCTGTTTTCGACATAGAACTTTGCACAAATGTGCGGAAGTTAAAGTCTCCACACTCCGTGTAGCACGCGAAGCAAGAGAAGAAAGTACAAGAAAAGCATAATAGAAACAGTGAGCAGATGGGTGAAACAAAGGAGTAATAAAGAAAAACAAAACAGTTTCATTGGAGATCATAAGTCACAAGGAGTGGGTGCATCTGCGCTTGCCACTGAGAACGATTTTGAGCCATGTCACCAATTGTTTCCAACCATAGATTTTTACCGTCCCGAGGACCCCAGCCTGGAAGCCTGTCTACACCTTTCTACGTGGGCTTAGACCAACTGTTGTGGATTTCATTGACTGGTGCCAAGTTTTTGTTTGACCGCCGCTAGCTTTTTTCCAACCTGACCCTATATCCGCTAACATTGCCCGTTGTCGAGGAAGGCGATGGCTTGGCATACGTAACACATGTCCTAACCATCTCAGTCTTTGTAACTTCACGACTACCATCTATTGACATGGAGGAGATGAGAGATGAGGACAGCATAAGGTAGGACAAAGTGGAGATGCGTTGTTGAAGCCCTATATTCAACTGGAAACTCAAGGGAATAATAATAATAATAGGATCAGGATGGAAAAGAGCTAGTTGTGGTCAAACGAAGACATGGCTTCATCAGTCCATGTAATTTTGACATTTAGTTTAGGCCAACCACATTGAAAGGTGTAGACTGGTTGCCTGGTTGGGGTCCTCGGGATGGTAATAATCAATGGCTGGAGACAATCGGTGTTGATGCTAAAAATCGTTCTCAATGACTGACGCAGATGCATTCACTCTTTATGATATGCCATATGCATTAAACCCTCATTCTTTTCTATTTTGCTATTCTCTCTCCCTCACATATCTGCTTATTGTTGCTTTTTTGAGTATCGTTGTTTTCTCTATCTTTTGTCATGCTTTGTGCGCTACGTGGGGTGGACTGGAACTGCTGCACTTATGTTGAAACTATTCAGTCAGTCTCCTTAACATTTTGCTTTTTTTATTGGTCCTTTACGTTGCCAGTGGAACATAGATTGGGTTCAAGTTAGAGGCACAGTAGCGTTTGTTTATTACGGGATGGCGTTGTTAGCCTCATGTCCAACCATCCCTTTTTTTACCAGTATTATTACTGGCTGAAGATTCCTGGCCAACACCAACAACAACAGACAACAATCAGCCAGCATGGATGGAAGGAACCTGAAAGAAACAGCCTCCTTCACCTACCTGGGAAGCATCGTCTCAACTACAGGCGGAACTGACGAGGATATCAAAGCCAGAATTGGAAAAGCAAGACAAGCTTTCATTACTCTCAAATCTGTGTAGAGGTCAACAGCACTCAGCATCAAAAATAAGATCTGGATTTTCAACTCCAATGTAAAGTCAATGCTACTTACTATACGGATCAGAGACTTGGCGAGTCATAAAGAGCATCTCCAACAAACTTCAGACCTTCATTAACAGTTATCTTCGCTCAATACTCATGATCAGATGGCCAGAAAAGATCAGCAACAGGGTGGGATCTCTGGGAGCGAACCAGCTCAGCAGGAACCGATTGTGAAACAAATAGACAAGAAGAAAGGGAGATGGATTGGCTGGCCATACTCTGAGGAAACCATCAAGTGACATCACTAGACAAGCCATTGCTCGAGTGAAGCCCGAAATGGAAGCGGCGAGTTGGTCGTCAGTGTGAGGATGACATGGGGGAGGAGGTCATGTGAAGAGGAGATGAAAGCATGTGGGAAGACTTGGAGCCAGGTGAAAATGTTGGCAGAAAACCGAACGCAATGAAGACTCACCGCCGAAGCCCTATGTTCCTCTAAGAATTAAAGGAAATAATAATAATATACTGGCTTAGAGAGGTATAGGAGGTGCGTCCATTTGGGTGGGGATCGAACCCCGCACCACATATGTGGTTGGCTAGCATTCCACCGCTGTGCTACTGACACACAGTTTTCCGCTTTAGTGCTTTCATTAATGCGTTCCACAACGTGAATCGAACCACTAATTCGGAAGATTTTAACCTGTCTGATTTTCTCCTCATGTCTAATAACATTTTCATTTTATGTTTACTTCGATTGTTTGACTTGGAGTTATTTTTCCGGTTGTTGTTTTCTTTTTTTTAATTCAAGAGTCCCTGCACCACGTCATCTAGGAACTGCAATTATCCCATTGTATCATTTACTCTATCCTAAACCAAAAGCGCTGGACAGTATTCATTCACAGTCGACCACTGGCACTGGTACTGGTGGTACAACTTCACTAGATGGTGATTCTTCAGGATTATGTTGGTGGAATAATCACTCCAAATATAACAATATTGATGATATAATGAATTGCAGTGGTTTACCAGTACATCCATTATACGTTCAAATTCTTACCTTAAAAATAATAATAATATTAATAATGACAGTTGGATCTCTGTACAAATTGAAATGACAGGATCAAGAACTGAAAATTGTTTAATGGTGAGTGATTTTTCTTTATGAAAATACTTAAAACCAGTGATACTTGGATTCGATACACACACACACACACCGATATTACTGTGTTTGCCATTCATCAGTCTTTTTACCCATTTACTGTGTCCTGTTCTGGAGTGGGCAAAGTTAAACTTTAAGCACCACTAGCTGCCAGCCAATCAGCGAATGACCTCGAACGCACCAATCACGTGAAGAGGCATTTTTGTGTATGGAATACATGTATTTGTGAAAAAAGGCATAAAAACTGCATAAAAGTGTTACAGAGGATACCTTTCTCTCACATTTGATAAAAATAGCTCTCAGTTTTAGGTTGGAGTATCAACAAAGTATAATTCCATTGTGGGTAAAATTTGTTTCGATAAATTTTCAGTGATATTTACTGAGCAGTAGATTGTGCTCGAAACATGATCATCATCAGTAAATATTACTGTATAACACTGAGAATTTATCAAAATAAATTTTACCCACAAGGGAATTATACTCTACACCACCACAGTGCACAAGTGCTATTCTTAAATTAACAGAGTAATTTCACCCCATCCTATGCATTTGATTATTTAGTAGCTCTTCTAACCCTGGCAATATCCCCAATCTTTGCTCAACCTAACCCTAACATGAAAATATCCCTAAACTAAAAGTAATCTAACTTGAACCAACCCTGATGTCGCTTTTATTAGGTTAAACTAAACCTAACTTGTCCTTGGCTCAAACCAGGACTTAATCTTTCTCAAACCCAAGCTGAAACTTGCCAGATACCCATTTAATAGCATAATACTTGGATGAGCATATTTTATTGATGATGATGACAACACTGTTTCCCAGGTTTCACTGATTTGCTCAGTGAGCATTTCAGGGTCATTGGTGCGACGCCGCACTCCATTGGTATTTAGTGGTGATAAAAATTTTAACTTGCCCCTGGAGTGTTCCAAGCATTTTGTAGGCGATTGGAAACTTAACTACAGTTAGCTTAGGTATTAAAGTATCGTGTGCTAGTGGAAACTTCCTCCCCAATGATGCTTTCACCGAGCCTTGATTATTCACATGGGTACTTATAAACTAACCGTGAGCGGCAGTTTTGCATGAGCATGCAAAGCAGCTACCAGGCTAAGGTATTTAGCTTTTGATTGAGAATGAGGTGTACGATATTTGTCTGGAAGATGCCGTCAGTGAATGTCGTTGTGTTTGTGTATATCACTGGTAAAATCGGTCTTCGAATCCAACAATGTTACAGTCTTCACATCGATGGTGTTTCTACAGTTAAGATTCGCCAATCACCACAATTCCAACAGGATGGTGGAGGTCTATTCTTTGAGCATCGGTTTGTATTGTAGGAGTAACTGTGCCTGAAGGACGGTTGAAATAGAATCAGGGGAAGATTGGAACAAGAGGTAGGTGATGTTTTTAGCGGATGACTGCATGTACTTCATGACTGGATCACCCTGCCATCCATATTGTACGCTGAACTCGTATCAGGTTGAAGGTTTGTTGTTCGATGTCATTTTGTGTTATTGTCAAATCTTCGTCCATGGAATTCATTTGATTAAAATTGTCCTAGACTTTTTTATTAATTTGTGCGATTCCCGATGATGAGTCCCAAATAGGACGAAACGCTTGTCACCTACTCTTAAACTGTCTATCAGACTCTTATTCATTTATCATTTTAATTCATCTAGTTGTTCTTTCACCCCTTTTTCTTTACTGTATTAATTTTGCCATTATAGTCAAAACGTTATCATATGTGTAAGATGAATAAATTAACGATACCTGATATTAATGGACAACTTGGATGGAATTTAAAATATTCTCGAAGATATCCTGCGACAGACGGTATAACATCATTTAATGCAATCAATAAAAATTATGGCTCAAATCAGCATATACATACTACTGATTTGTCTGCAGAAAGTAATCATATGAGGCGAAAAACAACCTCATTTCCTGCAGAAATTATCATTGAAAAAGCCTATCATTTACGTTTACCTCATCAGTAAGTTTATTGGTTGTTTTTTTACATATTCGTATTCTTTATAGACCGATGGGGACAAATGCTCATCAATACGGTATTTTCAAGTATGGGATTGTAGGGATTTTGTTTGATTGTATGGAGGATTTCATCATGAGCTTGATATCAGTTAGAGAATCACTGGAAAACCTTCGAGGTGTCCTGGACAGCTGTTTCGTCAGCTCAGTTTGGGACTCTTCGTCAGTATGCACTCACCGCCACGGTTCGAATCCAGGACCTTCTGGTCACAAGGCGAGCTAGCTCGTAGACCATTAGCTCACTAGGACCCGATCCAATGGTCTATGAATTCTAACTTCTGCCAATTCACGACACAGCGCGACCATTTCATAATATCTTCTTCTTCTATGAGTTACTACCTCATCTTCAACCTGCTGTCCCCTACTGGTCACGGCTTCCCACTAGAGAACCCCAGGTCACTGCCTGAATAGGGCCAGTCACTAGTGAGTATCAGATTAATTTTCAAGTATTAGTTTTGTAGGGATTTTTGTTTGATTGCATGGAGTTTTCATAGGTATTATTAGAACCACGGAAACCCCTGGTGGGTGCGTACTGATGAAGAGTCACAAACTAGGACAAAACAGCTTTCCAGTACTCCCTGGTGGTTTTCCAGTAGGCTCTAGCCGATATCGCCTCATGATGAAATCCTGTAACAAACAATTCACTTCATGGCTTCTAATATCTATAAAAGATGCAAGATTACTTCTTATAAGTGTGATTTGTGTACCACTTATTATACCACAGAGACAACCCAATTTTCTTTCTTTTTCTTCAACTATGCTTCTTACCATCATACCAGGCAGAGATTATCATTGTCGGCAGGTTTAGTTACTTATTTTTGAAGTTCACTCGAGAGTCTACATGAATCATTTTTCGCAAAAAATCTAAATGACTGACTGTCGACCTTTCGCGTTAAAATATCTTTCAAAAGGAGGGTTCTATTCATTTAATTGAATTTTACACATTTTCCCGTCGATTGATTGATTGATTGGACCGAAGTGCTCGGTCTCAGGCTGACATGTGTAGGCTTCGTATACACCCAGTGGCTGACGAATCCCAAATAGGACGAAATGCGCATCCCAGATTCCACTGCTACTCACCAATCCACCAATTATATATAGATTCTATTCAGTTTAATGGGTATTATTAGCATATTATAGATATTACGTCATGATACATTTGTTGATGAATTACAGTCTATAAATGTGTAATATCCCTCAACTTACCTTCCTCCTTTTTCTCTTTTCATTTTACAGCAATAAATTTATTCCTTCTACTGAATCAAGTGAGCAAAGTGAACCATACTTCAAATCGCTTGATTATAAACATGATAAAAGAAAATCCAAATACTCGGTATTTGTTACATTCCCTGTTGATGGGACTCTTGGTTTCATGAGTGGTAGCAGCAATCCAGTAAATAAACATACCTCCGCCGCCACAACCACTACTACTGCTACTCCTGTTGCTGCTGCTGTGGTCCTGGTGCTTCCATTGGTACTGTTGACGATGAATCCCTATGGAGACAAATATCCAAGTGTGCTACAAATCCTAATTCATGTCGTATTGCTGTTACACCAAAAGTGAAAAATTTAGAATATGCTCATTGGAACTACTGTCGATTTATGCGTATACCATTGGAGCTGATAAAACCTTCGTGTAGTCAAGTAAGTGATTGATTGAAATCACGAGTTTATTGGTGTGTGTTGTGTGTGTTTATATATCAGGGTCAAACTAGAAATTATGGACCAAGAGATTTCGGCAGATGTTCTCAGGCCATTATATTACAAAAGGTTTAGAAGGAAGGATAGGTAACTACCGATTGGAATAAAGGCTACCTTGTCTGTCACTTTGCTAAGGAATGGAGACTGAAGCCTCTGCAAGAACTGGAGTGGAATAATGCTCTTGTCCATACCAAGTAAAATACTAAGTCACATCATCCTGGATAGGATAAAGGATGTACTAGATATAGAACTCCACCAGCTAGGAACAAGCTGGACTCAGCAAAAGCAAATCATGTGCTGATTGAATTGCAGATCTACGCATCATCATGGAACAAAGCATAATAAAATGGCAGTCAAGCCTCTTCCTCAAATTCATTGACTTAGTAGAGGCCTTCGACAGACAGCGTTGATCGAGAAGTAATTTGAGCATTTGATCTGTGTACGTTAATTTTCTATATATTTGTGTTTCTAAATTTCTTGTGTTAGTTCTCCAGATTAAGACATCTAAAAATGGGATTTTGTTATCTAATTCTTCTTCTCTTATGGTGAATTTGATATCTTCAAATGTGTTGTTTATTAATTTATGGGTGTATTCTAAGTCATTTCTTTTAATTACTACAAATGTATCATCAACGTAACGTACCTGCCCAGATTTTCGGTTTAATTATAGGTCGAGCTATTAATTCTAATCTTTGCATGACGACTTCAGCTGTTAATCCTGATATGGGCTATGATCCCGTTGGTGTTCCCTTTATCTGTTCATATATTTGAGTATTGAATTGGAAGTATGTTGTAAGGCATAATTTTATGAGTTCTATCCAAGTTTTCAACTCTGGAGGGCTACAGTGTGTTTGAATTCTTTTAAACAATGTCTGCGTAACCGGAAAACCCACATCGTACACTTCAGAACTATTTATAGTGTTAGCCTGTTATAACCCATTGTTTCCTTCATCGTTTTGTGTTACTTAAGGCCTTCTCAACTTCTATAGCAGTTACAAGTATTCTCATTGTCCTGCCCAAACTAATTTCATGTTACAGGGGCTATATCTATTTCTCATACAAGCTGCAACTGGAATAGTTGATGAATGAGGCATAACTCGAAGCTAAATGATGAAAGTACTCCTCATCACTTTGATATAACACTTAGCATTTTACAGGAACACTGACTACTCATCTTCTTCGACGACTGCATTTTTAGTATATCTCTCCTGCTTTCGTTAACTTTTGCATTCTGCCTATTATTCTTTATTGTTCCCCCTTAGTTTTTCCAGGGCTGGCTACTGAAGAAAGACTATACCTTATTACGCAGAATTTAAACGTTGTCAGCAGGGTAAGCAACGTGCCACATAACCATCTTGTTAATATTCTGGTCGACAGGCACTTGGACTCATGTGAAAAATTGGCTAAATCCATTCTGTCTAACTCACACCACCCTCTTCATTCACAACTCTTTCCTCGTATTCATCAGGTTGGGCCAGAAGCCTATATAGAAAACTATATCTCGCACTAGCAAGTGCAAAAACTCAACCATACCCTACTTAGCTCGTGTTCTGCGCGATAAAGAAAGCATTAGGCGCGATACCTATAACTTATTAAATAGTCAGTAGAACAATTGGATCTAGTCTTTCCAACCCATATCATTTATAGGTACAAAGTTTTCCTTTTCTCTCTCTCTTTTTTCTGTTTTGTGCTGCTTTGTTTCTTTCTTACAAACTGTATTTATAACATTCTTCTTCGTTCTTTCACGCTCTGTATATCTCGACCTTTTTGTTACCGCTTACGCTAGTAAATATACTAGTATCTACTTTTCTAACACCTTCAAACACTCTGTTCAATTTCGGCTTTGCTACCGACATGCCAATATGTTGTTGTCAAAACTAACTGAGATTACCCTTAATCTATGTAGAATTTTAGTTATAGTTCATGTACTAACTGGATCCAATACTGTATGTAGTGAAATACTGAGAATTCCATTCTGTATCACAAGTACTGTTTTGGAATACGGCAAATTATTATTACTTTTATTTATCTTTTCCACGCAGGGTTTAGTATTTCACGTTTGGACTGTAAATGATGATGAATCCACCAACAACAACAACGATGATACTGATCATATTCCCAGATTGATTGGTATAGCTACAGTTGATTTAACCACCTTATCCCACCTGTTTACAAATCCAACTCGAGTGAATTCCACGCCTAATTCGCATAATGAATTTAATCAAATCTATGGTTGGTATCATATTATCGATCAGAATACTGGATGTCCATCTGGTCAAATTTTGATCGGTGTCAAACCGTTGATTAATAATACTGGTGAAACTGATTTCAGTAGTATATCATTAGATAATTATAATAATTATCAGGTAAGTGTATAATAGTGCATTACTACTTCTACTACTACAACGACAGAAGACCAAGGCCAGACAACAAATCGTTTATTAAGAAAATCAGTAGATATTTATAGATTTTTATGTACATTATTATTAGCGTTATTGTTAGCAGAAAAACAACGTCTTCTGATTAGTTGTTTTCCTGCTCAAGGTTATTCTGTCATATATCATTGTGGTCGTTTCTTAGACTGTCCAATGAAAATTTGCGAATCATATATCCTCCAGCACTAGGTCTGCTGTGATTGGTTGTTGAATTCCTCAAGGTTAAGCCTTTATATTGTTTTTTTTCTCATGACCCATATTCAGGTTGTTACGATTGTCGTCAATTGTTGACCCACAATCGTGGCTAGCAGACAGCTCTCACCACAATAGTTTTTTGTTCTTTAATTTTTCAAAATGTGTAATACTGTGAAGTAAGAAATGATTAGTTGGCCACTGGGTGGTTTTCTCTGACCATATTTATTTTATGTGTATCAACAGTTTGCTTAAGTAGCTAGCTAGCTAGCCGGAATTCCAAGTGATTTAAACCAATTCAACTGTATCGGCTGTGTCATTCTAACTGCAATGTTGATTAGCTCTCGAGCTTAAATGAGCGCGTAACGGCAGAAGATAGGAGAAGTTGTAACATACTTTTTTTTACTGTGGGAAAACTCATCATATTTACATAATATTTGTAAACATATCAATAGTCGGCTAGATCAGTGGACAATCGACTGCCCTGATTGGTTAGTAATTGGCCAGGTCTAAGCAATGACCTTGAGTCAATCGTTAACCAATCAGAACAATTTTTTGTTCATTGATAAAAATGTATATGATGTTTTTCCTTAGGTAAGATTTGTAACCAATTCTCTTACAACCTGCAGTTACTGTATAACTATGCTTTAGTTACTTCTGTGTGTTAAGTGTTGTTACATCTGAATTACTTTGTCATACCAGTTATACCTTTTTTCTGTATTTCGATTGGACACGTTATGCATCTAGCCTTTCCTTTTTGGTACGGGCTGAATTTTATCAGTGGTATCCACTACATTTTCGTACCAAAATAACTGACTACAGATGACATGTCAAGAATTTCGACCAAGCATTATTAATTAGTGATACATATCCATTTTTATTTATTAATCAGGATTTCCTATGCATCAGTTAACACCACACCTTTATGTCTTTTCACACTGTTAGTATCTGAATTTTATGATCAGATTTATTTTCAAAATTATGGTGTTTAGGATTAGAGTTTAGTTGAAGAGCACCCTGTTGAACTTATTGCTTTTTCTTCTTTCTGAAGATTGAGCTGCTTTATTCGACCTATTGGAGTTATCAGGTGACTCGACAGCTGCGGATTTAGGATATGTATTCTGCTGCAGACAATGGAGAGTGTAAACACGATGATTGTGCCAATTACATAGTTTCCTTGTTAATTTAATTCGATTGCAAAATAATTCAAATGAACTGTCGTCAAGATTTGACAGAATAGTTCTAAAATGTTTGAGCGCCGAGTGAGAATTAGACATTTAAAAAAAATTGTATTTGTAAAATCTCACCGATACTGAAATGAGTAATTCGGCAATCTGGTCCCAAACTTCTTGAGGGAAATTAATCGAAATTAACATAACAGAGGTTTATATATAAAAGGAATATCTCTTATTTTTCGAAAACTTGTTCAATCATGAGTCATAAAACAAGTATCAACAAGTATAATAAACAAAATTGTACGAGCTGTGATCAGAATTTGACCTCGGACTTACAAATATCGGTCTACTTTTGTTAAACGCTTTAAACAGAGTGTGCATGGGTGTGTGAATAAGCAATTGTAAAACATTTCTTAACGTCTTCATAAGAAGCTTGGACCAGATTGCCGAACGAAACGTTGGAATTACTCAATTCAGTCTCGCTGAGATTTTACAAATATAATTTTTTACAAAGCCTAGCAATATGCAGGTTAATTTCAGTCCTTATTGAAGCTATGCTGAAAACCTGTGATCTACAAATTCCTTTTTCATCTAATTTATTAACTTCATTCATTGTTGAAGACAGGTCTTTCTCCTTATTCCACACTTTCTTGGTTCTTGAACATGACTTCAATTCAGTTACCAATCTACAAAAGATTATACGTTTGAAGTATTTGTGTGGGTTTGTGTGCTTATTTCGGTGAATATTAAAAGGAAATCATATCAGCAACTAATCCCACAGCTATCATATCCATTCGGTGTTACGTAGAATATTTAACCAATCAGATTCCATTATTATGTCATGTCCTGTCATTCCTACTTGTTTCCAGTAGAACATTGGGCTTCAAGCTTGAGCTCTGAATCTCCACTAACAGTGGTATCTCTTTTACAGCCTGGAGTTGCTAGCTGCTTGTCTAACCTATCCCTCTTTGTCGGACCTATAACCGGTCAAGGGAGGTGAAAGTAACTACCGACCGGGAATCGAGCCCCCGACCACGTGTATGGTTGGCGGCGATTCTACTGCTAAATCATCAGTCATATGTGGCCTTTGGTTGGTGGTTCATTTAGTTGCGAGACTACTGACTGCCCTTTATATAGTAGTTCAATTTTTATCACTGTCTGTCTCTCTTCTTTTCTTTCAGACTAAACCTTTTGAAAATTATTCTGTTTTTCAAGAAGGTTTTCCTCCAATGCCAATGTTATATTCTGATTGTATTCGGTCATCAACTCATTCCCTTTCTGATTGTCATCTAGCCAATCCTCCTGACAAGATGTCTACAAACAAAGAAGAACCTTGTCAATCTGAATTAAATCGTTCTGTACTATTTGAAAATTTGAGGTTTGTTATAATGTTAACGGTTGTTTGTTTTAAGCAAAGTAAAAAACGCCTTTTGATAGATTTGTTTTACATTTGATAAATGCGTTTACATTCATATACCTAATCTGGATAATATGTTATGCTCTTTGCAGAACTCCCTCTCTCTCTCTCGCTGTTGTTCCTTTGTGTTCCGAGCTGAACATAGGGCTTCGAACTTGAAGCTTCAAAGTTTCAGTAGTCATGGTGTTTTACTTTCTTATGGGATAAAGGTCGCTAGTCTTACCCCAACCTACCTTCCTTACCATACTTACTATCATCTGGCAAGCTACAAGACTGACCAGTTTCAACATAGAAATTTGCACCGATGTGCATCAGTTCAAGTCGCCAAACTCCATGTAGCACACAAAACAAGAGAAGAAAGTAAAAAGAAACGCAAAATAGAGACAGTAAAAAGAGATATGTAAGGGAAAAAGAACAGTAATATTGAAGAACCATGTAGTTTCATTGGATATTATAAGTCACAAGGAGTGAATGCATCTGTGCCAGCCATTTAGAACGATTTTGAGCCATCTCACCGATTGTCTACAGCCATTGGTGTTTACCGTCCCGAGGACTCCAACCAGTCAGGAAGTCTACACCTTCCTACATGGCTGGCTTAAACTAACTGTTGTGAATTTCGTTGACTGCTGAGACCATGTTTTGGTTTGACTACCACTGGATCTCTCCCAACCCGACCCTATATCAGCTAACATTGCCCACTGTCGAGGAAGGCAATCGATGTCTAGGCATCTGTAACACATACGTAGGCTACAAGAGGAGGTGTAGCAGTCAGTCAACCGGGAATCTAACCTGGACCACGTGCATAGTTGGCGAGTACTCTACCACTGATGAAAAATGTTTTAGGAATATTTCTGGAATTCAATCAGAATACAATGAAAAACGGTCAATAGGGTTTAGTGAATCACACTGATTTACTCTTATGGTGTGGTGGTTCGGAACGGGGGATAATCTTCGGAGATTAATGAGCCTAGACTTCCTGCTTGTTGATATTTGTCAGTAAGGAGGATATCTGCACCCTGAAACGGACTAATATCCCTTGGTAGAGATTCCTATTTACATCACCTAGTGTTTTTGTGGTTACTGATATTACCACTGGATCATTGTGCCTCACGCACTTGTGATGGCGATTCGCCTTTACCTTGATGATCCACACTGCAAGATTCACTGTGGTAGAACTAAGATAGCAATAATGACTTAGTCGCATGACACCACTGGTTACACTCTGGGGAGATTTCATCTATATCATAAGTGGTCAGGCTTATTGGTGTGAATAATTTTGAACTACTCATATATAAGTCAGTAGTATAGAATAAGTGTGTAGAGATACTTGTGCTTAACATCATATACCACTGAATAGTTGCGATAAGTGATTGCGTGCCACTCACATCAACCAGTAATACTGGCGCTAGGCAAAGTGAAGTGATCAGAACACTGGACGGTTGTTACATCCATTTGAAACTGAGCTCATCAAATGTGTTTGCATTTTGATTAAGCTCGGAGAGCCTGAATCGGTCTAAACCACCCGATTTTCATTATGAATGGGAATTATTCAACTGTGTGCACAGTCTGGTTACAGGATTTTATCATGAGCTGACTGACATCAGTTAGAGAACCACTGTAAAACCACCAGAGCGTAATGGACAGCCAGCTGTTTCGTCAACCAAGTTTGGAAATCTTCATCAATATGCACCCACCGGGGTTAGAACCTAAGAACTTCTCGTTACATGGCTAGCTCATAGATCATTAACCTACTGAGACCCGATCCAATGGTCAGCCCATGAATTCCAATTTCTGCTAATTCACGACGTAGCGCGACCACTAGCCAATGTCTTCTTTGACGAGTATTTGTCCTAACACTCGACCTGCTGTATCCTACTGGTCACGACTTCCTAGTGACTTAATGATCTACGATCTCGCCTCGTAACCGGGGTGCCCTGGATTACAACCGTGACGGTTGGTTCGTACTGATGAAGAGTCCCAAACTAGGAAGAAAGCGCTTTCTAGTGCTCACAGGATTCCCAATGACCCTCTAACCGATGGCAGCTCATGATGAAATCCTCCGACTAATATCGATTTGTTAAGATTAATAAAATTACAGTTCAAGATAGATGTGTAAATCACAATAAAGATAAAAATGCAACAATAAATAGAATATCAAATAAAATTAGGGAAATTTATAAAATAAATTAAGAATCTTTAAAACCTTGATGGCCAAGGTAAAGACATTGTCTTAACCAACTTCTTTTGGATAAAGAAGTTAAGTTTCTTAATGCAGATACGAACAGCCACAGCAATATATGGTAGACGAACTCTTAAGATTAGTTGGAATGTGACAGATGACTCTAAAAGCCTGGTTTGTATCAATCTTGTATCGGCGAGATAAGATTGAATAGATCTATGAGTGGACCTTGTTTGTCCCCTTGCTTAACCAAGTGGGTTGGTGTTGGAAAATCTGACGAGAAACACGCCTAATTGTACGACCTATGTAATTGGCTCCAAATATAGGTGCAGTCATATTGGTAGATACACATAGAAGAGGCGAAATTATCTTAAACTCCTGAACGCGAAATAGGGGTGGTTTTGAACACAGCATAATTCAGCAGTACTCTGAATGCTCCTTATTCTTTAGGTATTGTGTTACTACCTCACTGATATTATCAACGAGGAACTAAAATTGTCAGAACAAGGCGTTTTCCGAAACTGTTGGTACTTTAGCTCTATATTTCAGTTGGAAGACTATTTCCGTATACACACATTATTAAACATTTAAATTTAGATGTTAACGTTAAGGTATTTTCGATGGGAGTTTTCTTCATATAAAAATACCCAAGAGGAAAGTATACTCCTTACTAACTGTGAAATTTCACAAAAAGCACATGATGACATTCATGAATTGTACTTTTACCAGGGAAGAGTTTCAGCAATCTAGATTTATACAGATGACATTGTTCTTTGAGGTAATGATACTGACGAAAGGTAGAGTATTCAGAATACTGTGAGTGGAAATCTAAGTAGGTTTAATATTCAATTTTTCTCTGTCTTATACACGAGGATGCTACAATGCAGGACTGAGTGTGCAATGGTTGAGTGTATGGACCACTTTACTTATTTGACAAGTAGTTGTATCACGTCTAATGGACTGAGTGATCTCACTGTGAATACAAAAATCTTGTGTGACATTCAGCAACTTACATCATCTTTGCCACAAAACTGTGGAATATCTGGTTATCCATTAAAAAAGAAGTGTAAACTTTGTAATGGTTCACACAATCAATCATTCCTTATGGCTGTGAGATATTAGTCGATGTAAAATGTGAAGCACATTTTTGAAGACTAGCTATTTGTTTGCGTTTGAAACTATGGGCACTGGGTTCGAGCCTCGGTGGGAACATCATCACTCACTGAGAAATGCAGGTACATCCAGATGACGAGTCCCAATTAGGACGAAATGCGCATCCTGGATTCCACTGCTAGCCACCATCCACCAATTGTATATAAGTAACTTCGTTCAATCTCTCAGGTGAATCGCAGTAATATCGGTGTACTGATAAGTTTAAGAGTGAAGATCAAGTAGGCGGCTGCAGTTGTGAAGCCTTGGATAACAATCATTGTTTCTTGTAGCATTAAATTAATTTAGTTGGAACCCCTAAACTTTTGACATTTCTCCCCTCTGTTCTGATGTGTGCTGTTATGAAGTGTTACAACTTGAACCTACTGCACTTTAGTGCGAGTTCTACAATAGGAAAGTCCAGTTTCACTTTCGATGCCTAGGACACATGTGTTACACGCATACGAAGCCACTGCCCCCTCCCCTCCACAACGACCAATATTAGCTAACATGGAATTCAGTTGGAAAAGAGTTAGCGGGGGGGAGTTGTGAAATCAAAACCCAGTTGATGAAGTCCTCAGGATGTTAAGAACCCATGGTTTGATACTGTTTGTGTGGTATAGCTCTAGGCTATTCTCAGTGGAGCAAGCGTATTCATTCTTTGTAATTTCTTAAATCCATTAGACCTTGATGTTTTCCCATGTTAATCTACTTTCTCCTATAAATTTCTGCTCGCTATACCTCTGTTGGTATTAGATATTTTTATTCCTTACCTTTTCTTTCCGAGTGGCTTTGAAGTTTCGGTAGCAGTGGTGTTTAGTTTTACGGGATGAGGTTGCTAGCCTCATACCCTAACTCTTCCCTCTTTACCAGTCTTGTTACTGAATTAGTGAGGTAAAGGAGTGCATCTAGTGGCCAGGGATGGAACCCCGAACCACCTGCGTGGTTGGCGAGCATTCTTCTACTCCGTTGGTATTAGATGGTTGGAGGACTTTGTGCTAGTCGGCACTCACCACTAGTCGGCTAGGCGTATCTTCAACCTTGAAGAAACTCATATCCCTTCTGAGACTTGAACCCGCGTCACCCAGTAGTAAGTGCTGAAGTCAGAGACGTTATCACTGAGCAGTTATTCGGGCTGACGATTGACCTCTTGTTCAGATTCACATTCAGATGATAAGGACAGAAGGCTCTTGTGGCCTGTGTTAATCCTTGCAAAGTATATCTCTGCAGAGATCTAACTTCTCTTTGAAAGCGTTCACCGATGGAGCTGATACTACTGAATCAGGTAAGGAGTTCCAATCGTTGACCACTCTGTGAGAGAATCTAAATTCTGCACGTATTTTAATCGTCCTTGGTTTGAGCACCTTATTGCGGTGACCCGTAAATGTATCTTAGAAGGGGAGAAAAGGTTAGAAAGGTCAGTTCCTAAATCACCCTTAAGTATACGGTATGCTAAAAAATTAAGTCGCCTCTCTTCCTTCGGTATGATAACGGGAAGAGATTTAAATGCTCCATCCTCTTATCATAAGGAAGGTGTGAGATACCACTAACTAATTTTGTTCTTACTCTCTGTACTCTTTCCAGAATATGTGTGCCTCCTTTTTGAAGCATGGATTCGTCGCTTGTATGCAGTATTCTAGATGAGGCCTGACATATGTTGCGTAGAGTATTTGGAACATGCCCTCGTTTAATCATTTGAAAGTCCTTCGAATTGCCCATAGCATTCGAAATGCTTTAGCTGCGGCTGCATTGCAATTTGCAGTTGTCTTCAAATCATTGCTGACAATGATTCCTAGGTCCTTCTGTTCGTAAACATCAGGTAGTTCTGCGTCCCCTAGGGAGTACGACGCATAAGACTTCTGACCTAAGTGCATTACCGCGCTTTTCCTAGCATTTATTTCCAAACTCTTGTTGGACTATATTCGATATTTTTGATTGGACATTAGTCAGTAACTAATGTAATGTGTGTCTAGTCCTATCTTTAGGGGGAAAAGACTGAATTCGATCAGTCAAGAAGTAGACACATTACAGTAGTTACTGACTAGAGTGTCCAGTTAATTCTCTCGTTCTTTTCTCAACCATTTTGTTCTACATGGATTGCGGCAACTTTTGAATTGCATCAAATCTGTGCAAAGTTCTCTGTTGAAACTCGCTCAATCAGTCAGTCAGTCAGCCAGTTCAGAGAAAGTTGACTAGAATGCTATGAAGCACTGTGTGACTGACCCAATCAATAACAACTTTGACAACACTTAATATAGTTGTGTGTTTTTTTCTTCCTATAGGACTCGATTAAATGAATTAGATGAAATGAATAATCGATTTAAAAATCGACTGACAACTTTAACAAATTCAAATGAAAAATTTTTTAGTATAAGTCATGAAAATCTACAAAATAAGGAGGTGGCAGTGGTGTTATCTCAATGTCAAAATGACAGAGTCACTAGCAAATCACAACCAGTGTCATCAAGACAAGAAGAAAAAAGTAGTCAAATTGCATCTGTGAATTATCACTGTTCACTTCCTTATTCAATATCCAATAAAGCAGAATTACAACCTCGTTTATCAACTTGTAATTATCAGTTATCTAGTCAACCTGATGTGCACTGCGGTAATGAATATTTGGCGGAGAGTGAAAGCCTTACACATACAAGTAGGTTTATGCTGTGATATACTTACGTATTTTATTATACTGTACTTTTTGCCAAATGATATTATCGATACTGAAGACCAGGTGGCTGGCAGTAAGTACTACAATGAACCATATGTATTATTGATATAGTGATAAGACATGGGCACTGTGGTAGAGCATAACTACATTATGGATAAGATTTTATTTTGATAAATCACACAGTGGAGTGTTACACAGTAATATTAACTGATGACCACATTTCGAGCACAAACTATTGCCGCTCATAATCATATCAAGACACTGGTTACACAACTTTTTTCCTTCATTCATATAAATGTAAGGAATCGATTAGATATTGGAATAAAACTTCAATATAGGATAATGTGCATTCAGAAATAATAATAATATGAGTGATATTGATCAATTTACAATCAGATGGGAAATACGACGAGTGTTTATTATAGTCATAATAAGTAACTTGTTAGAATGTTGTGATGTACGTGAATTGAAATAGAATTTTAAGATTACTTATAATCCTCTTCTGATTTGACTGACTGGTGGTAATAATATCTTCGATACATATTCCTGGTGTTTGTATTGAGTCATTTCTGTTGCATGTGTTGGGTGTAGACTCGATGAACCAGGATTCAGTAATCAACCTTTCTCTTCCACCTACATAGATTACTTCTTAGAATCTTAATTCTCTCCCACCGTATTGTCTGGTTTTGTGTTAATGCATACAGTGCAATTTCTGAGCTTTTTTTTCTAAGTTACTTATCTTCTCGGGGTCAACCATTCTTCCCTTAGCCACTAAATTCTTATGTTCCGACAATCCGATTATCCCTGATCTACTACTTTGACCTGTATAGTTGACCTTACAGTCATTGCAGGGTATTTTGCAAGTGATACTATTTGGTTTAATTGGGTCTACCTGGTCTTTTAGCCTACAGAGATTGTCTCTGAGTGAGTTTGTAGGTTTGAATGCCACCCTAATTCCTGCGTTATTAAGAATCCTACATAAGGGGTAACTTAATATGATTATGAGCAATAGTTTGTGCTCGAAACGTCATCAGTTATTATTACTCTACAACACTGTGTGACTTATCAAAGTAAAATCTTATGTATACTGGAGTTACAACGAACTACTAAAGTACCTATTGCCCTCCAAATATACAAAAGGAAATGCTGATGAATTTGTGGACATACACTGAGGGAAACTGTCGAGTGATATCACGCACCAAGCCCCCCCCCAAGTGGTGGTGGAACCCGAATGGGAAAAGAAAAGTTGGGCGTAGGTTCAGTGTTGATATTGAGGAAAAGGGGGAGGAGGAGATCGTGTGAGGTGGAAATGAAACCTTATGGAGGCAGTCGTGAAGCCAGGCAGAGAGCACAGTGAAGTATCATTGAATGCTTGTCTTGATTTTCAGACACCCTTCTAACTGATTTTGACATTTCACCTGACAAATCAGAAAGCCGATTATTTAAATCCCCTTCCCTCTTAACGTTTTATTTCACCAGCATTGAAGCACATCAATATACTTACTTACTTTACTTCGGCTATCTCCTACGGGAGGATGAGCCGGCTTCATGAATGTCTCGAATCATCGCTGCCCAGGCGCGGCAATTTGTAAGAGAGTTCATGAAGTTTCATGGGAATTTGGTACGAGTGATGCCCCCAGCATCGCTCGGCCTTTTGTTTGAGAGTGCAGCTCTAGCCTTTACACAGCCAAGTGTGACCTACAAGGCAGTAGGAGTGGAGTAAGGAATCCACTATCCATTGGCAGCCAGTGACCGGAGTTCGGTTCATACGCCTTTTTGAATGGGGCCAGACATCCAGGACATCCAACAAGCCCTTTGTCCATACGTCTGCCGGTGAGCTCCAGTGAGCTTCATACGCCAGTCGTTGGAGGTTTGGATTCAGGGTTTAGCCATCTCCCCTAGACCGTCATCCAATGGACAGTCAACCCGGTGGAGAGCGCCGGGCATCCGCTTTCGCCCTCTCACTTTGGTGAGAAACACCTCCGCCACGTGAAGGCAGTGAGTAGGACTTCCTCAGGAGAGGCTATGTAAGACGCCCGGTCATATGGGAGCATTTCAAGAGGTGTGCGGAGGGGTGGCCAACCCGCAGCGCAAGGCACCCACCCCCGACCATCCTGAGGCTTTGGAGGCACATCAATATATCAGTCTGGCAATATCTAAAGTTATCTCAGATAGTCTAAGTGTAGACTTCTTTTGAGATATCTGGGATACTGATGTTCACAGTCAAACTTTCTGCTAAACTAAAGCAAGCTTTTGAGTTCCGCTTGGCAAAGTTAAACTTCAAGTACAAGTAAAGTACCAACGGAAAAATGCTCTTGGGTGCATCAATCACATGAAAAAAGATATTTTTACGTATAAAATGCATATATTTATGAAAACAATGTTACACAGGATACCTTTCTCTGACATATGACAAAAGTGACTCCCAGTTTTCTATAGGAATATCAATGGAGAAGTTAGACCCTACTCTATATACACGCATTCATCTAAGTGGCTGGAAATAACATCCCCTTGAGATTCATTATTGGCTCTAATCCTGTCCTTTAACCTCCCCCCCCCCAAAACCCTTCAATGGATTTGGTGTGTGTCCTTGTAATAGGATCCACAGTCATGATCTCCGATATCAGTTCACGTTTGAATTCTAAAAGCTTAAACAGGTCAGAAAATAGCCTTAGATCAAGTTAAAAGGACATATTGAAGACCGAAATAACAATGACGGTCACTAAACCAAATAACACTGGTAACAGTACACCTGCCCCTACTGGTATCAACATAAAGATTACCAGGGAAAGTTTAGTGTGATGAAAAATTGATTCTGAACCCATAAAGGTAGGTGGTTTCTGAACTCCCTAATTACTATGGTTTCCACAAACTTTAGAATATGCTCGCAAACACGGTTTATGCAGAGGTTTAAAAGACGTGTAAACATCAATTGTATGTCCTGTCTGTATAGTATTTTTCGCAATAGAGAGGCATCAGGTCTCCTATTCTCACCATTAATGGGTTCTGGAGATTCTGTTTGCTTCTGAAGCCATTTAGCAATATGCTCTGAAGCATCAATCTTTTTTTACTATGATATTTATTATAATTAACAAACAAATCTTTAAACCAATCATATACTGGTAAATCTTGTCCTTGAAAAATTGTATTACATAATGTAAGGTGAAAGAAGGGATGACTAATTGTGAGTTAGAAAGGAGACAGAAGTCGGCATAACGTAATAAGCGTGAGATGATGACTAATCAATAAGCTCGTGTAAAATGAACAGGAACTAGTGGAAAGGCTATAAAGTGTTTTTGTATAAAATCTGTATGAAAAAGCAATATTATTAATAAACAGTAATAGAGTGGTAATAAAATGTGGGTGATGGGAATAATAATGATAATGAAAGTATTAACAATAACAATAATAATAATAGTGAACTTACGAAATAAAGGGAGGAAGCAAAGTTGTATTAAGAACTTTAGTCTGGCCATGGTAGGGCAAGAAAATGTATGTATCACTTTTGAATGCAGAGGTCCGGTTTCAGATCTTGAAACGTACTTCGGAACGTACTTTCCAAAGAACATCGAAAGCAGCTGAAAGAACTGAAGGATAATGAAAACTTGATCATTACACGACCAGATAAAGGCTCCGGAATCGTCTTGATGAACAAATCAGACTACATAAGCAAACTCTCGGTGATACTATCTGATGATAAAAAGTTTCAGAAACAGTCTCCACAGAAAGATCCCACCGAACAGACGGAGCTCCAGCTAACAAAGATATTGAAGAAAATGAAAGATAAATCCATTATCAGTTCAAAACTATACGAACAACTGCGCCCATCTGGTTCTACAAAACGCGCATGTACGGCTTACCCAAAGTGCACAAACAAGACGTCCCACTCCGCCCAATACTAGGTATGATAGATTCCCCATATCATACAATCGCGAAATGGCTGGTGGAGATTCTCGGGCCGGTGAAAGAGAAGCTGTCAAGACACAACCTCCGTGACACATTCGACTTTGTTGATTCAATTAAGAATGTCAATGTGGCAGAAAAGAAAATGGTCTCCCTGGATGTCGTGTCTCTCTTCACCAACGTTCCACTGACAGAAACCGTATGTTTCCTTTGTGACTACATTCAATCCAATAGCATCGATGTCGGTATACCAATCCATTACCTGAAAGAACTGTTACTTCGATGCACCTTCAACGTATACTTTAGTTTCAACAAGGAAATATACAGGCAAGTAGATGGAGTAGCAATGGGTTCTCCCTTAGGACCCCTCCTAGCCGACTGCTTTATGGCTAGCTTAGAAAACAACGCCTTATCACCAACTATCAACGACCTCCATCTCTACAAGAGATACATCGATGATACTTTCATTATTTGTGATGAGAACTGTGATGTAAAAAAACTACTTCAAATCTTCAATAATGCCCACCCAAACATCGACTTTACACTTGAGACTGAATCCGACGGAATGTTCCACTTCCTCGACGTCTATCTGACAAGAAACGCCGACAACTCCCTGAAAAGGTCCATATACAAAAAGCCTACATGGAATGGACAATTCATCAACTTTCAAAGCTTCGTGCCCCTGAGCAGAAAGAGGAACCTGATATACGCTCTTTCCTTGAGGATTCGGAAGATATGCAGCGAGGAAGTGGTTGAAGAAGAACTGCGTAATCTTCGAAAAACCCTGATGGAAAACGGTTTCCCGCCCAGGTTCATAGACAAGAATCTCAAACCTAAGAAGACTTCCGAACAAGTCCAATCCGTTCCAAAGAAAATACTTCTGCTTAATCTAGAATTCAAAGGTGATATTGAAGCAGAAATCCTTCGCAAACGCCTCTCCAAATCGCTGAGGAAAACATACTTCGCCGCGAGCCTACGACTGACGTTTTCCTGCAAGAAACTGTTCAGCCAGAACGCGAAAGACAAGCTGTCGCATTGGGCCACCTCAACGTGCATATACCAGTTTACTTGCTCTTGTGGAGCTGAGTACGTTGGCCGTACCATGAGCCGACTTGAAAAACGCGCTCGTGAACACTATCAAGCCTGGCTAGTAAAAGGAGACCAAAAACGTGTAAACAGTCCAGTGACAGAACATCTGGTCAATTCAGGACATTCAGCGCCATTCGAAAAATCCTTCAAAGTAATATACAAGATTCAATCAAACCTATCAAAGGGAGTGAAATCAAGACATCTGGGCATAGCCGAGGCGCTAGCTATACAAAAGCTCAAACCCACGCTTTGTATCCAAAAGAAATACGTCCAACCCCTGTCCCTGCCATGGCCATCATAAACAGGTAATTTTTTAGTAATGACCATCCCATCGCCTTTCTTATCTAAACTTCCTGTTTATTCATGTTATTTTAAGTTTTTCTTAATCCCTGTTTACACTACCATATTTTCATACCCGAACTTCGTGTTTATTTTGTCATTTTACTATTTCTACATATTTAATCCCTGATTGCATAAACAATTATTCATCACAGTTTTTATCCAAACATCCTGTCTATTTTGTTATTTCTACATTTCTAACCCCTAATTGCACAATGTTAATCTTCTTATTTATTATGATGCTACTTTGTTTGTTTTACCCATCCCCCCGTTTATTATGGCATTCTAATTCCTAGTTTTAATTTTTATTAATTTGACCCTTAACCGGAAATTATTCTGGAACTTTCCCATCCATTTGATATAAATACACGAATGTACAGCCTAGATGATGACTTCATCGAAGGGGAAATTTTCTTCGCTGCAATTGTCTTTTTAATAACTCCTATGACCCAATGTGTAGATCTTGAATAGCTAATGCTTTAGCTATGTATAGATGGCGTAACCAAAGTCCCTTGATATTTGATATAATATGATGTTTTCTGGATGGTGACTAGCAGTGGAATCTGGGTAGCATGTTTCGTCGTATTTGGGATTCATCATCTGTTTCAACCTGCAATCCCCAGTGATCAGTGGTGTTCCAACTGGCGATTGCCGATACATCTAGCAGACGAGTCACAAATAAGACGAATCGCACGCATCCTTGATTCTCCTGTTAGTCACCAGGCACCAGATGGGATCATGATTAATCCTCAGGTATCGCCAACAAAGCAACATATCGGTCCAATAGAAGCAATCAACGGAAAATACGGTATTAACTTGAACAAATTTTTTTTCAAAAGAATGGATACTGAATAAAGAATACTCTTTCCGATAAGTTCATCATCAGGTTCTACAGTTATATATACATTATAGTGAATGAACGAATAAATTAGTTTCAAGAACAACATTAATGTTGCTGTTTAAATAACATCGAATCAATAATATTGATAGATTACTGTGCTCAATAGCATCAACATAAGATAAGCTGAATATCAGAAGAATTTGGAAAGATAATATTACGAATTCATGAATTTATAGTCTCTACTGAAGGCCGGCCAGGGCAGTAGTAGTGAATGGACTTGCTTCTTTTGAACACAGAGCACTGGTTGTTAGAGGCGAATTGCAATAGCCTCTGATGTTTGGAGCATGTGGTGCTTCGATGATTTTGGTAATCTATTAGGCACCCGGTAGATTACAGGGAAGGATTCTTCCATGCTGGCTGGCTTTGTCGCGGGTTTGCACGAGATGGTCCAATATCGAACTGTTAATGGTTTTAACTACACCTTTACTTAGCCATAGTGGGAAATGTTCTAGAGTGACCACGAAAAATCAAGTCCCCAGGGCAACGGCCAATATAACTCTCCCCACAAGCGCAGTTGAATTGGTAGATACAATTTGAAGCGGCTAGTCTAAGTACTTCATCTTTCAATCGAGGTAGCATTGTCGGTCGTGTAGAGAGTAAGACGTGTAGTTTGCCAGCAAGTAAAAGTTCTTTGAACCGATTTGCTTAATTTCTTCGTAATTATCTCACTTGGTATATTGCCCGTGAATTGTAGTCGTATATAAACAGGCTTCTTGTTTACGGATAGTGAGTAGTCCTTTTCCGCTGTTTTGTCATGTGTTTCTTGATAAGTTTTTGGGATAGCTATTTTCGATCAAAGTATCATATACAATGCTTAATTCATCTTCAATTACTTCTTCTGAGCATATAGCTCTAACTCTGTGGCTGAGGGTCTTCACTAAACCTTTTTTGTACTTGATAGGAAAGAAGCTGTGAAAATCTGTATATTGTCCTGTCCAAGTGCTCTTTCTATGCAAATTTTTTTTATGCTACCATCTGGTTTTCTTGTAAGTAGGGACATCCAGGAAGACAATTCTGTCTTGGCATGTGAATTTCATAACCGAATGTACTTCATCGAATTCAGTAATTATTGTACTCCTATCAGAACGGTTATCACAAAGAATGAAGGTGTCATCCATATATCGGCAATAAAATGAGAGCTTACTGATAAGGTTGTTCAGAGGTCCATTTTCTAGCTTACTTAGAAAGATATCAGCTAAAATGGAACCCAATGAGGAGCCATCGCCACCCCGTCCACTTGTCTGTAAAGTGTGCCGTCAAATTTGAAGTTTACATTCATAGTACATCTTAATAACGATTCTTTTAGGATTTCAGTACGGATGCCAATGTTTATCGACAGCTTGTCCACTTGTTCACATATGTAATTAATTGTTTCTATTAGAGGTATAACGATATTATGTCCAGAGATATCATGGTTTTGTCCTTGATGATGTTAATTTCTTTTATTTTGTCTACGAATTCAAATACATCTTTGACGCTATATTTAACTATCTTATCATGCAAAGGTTTGAGAATATTTACTAACCATTTAGCTAGAGCATGGTAGGGCGAATTTTGCATATCAAGTATTTACGGGTAAGTCTTAACGGTACTCCTGGTTTTTATGCACTTTAGGTAGACCATACAGTCTTAGCGTATATGTGCCCGTTGGTCTGTGTGTGTCGGTGGCACAGTGGTTAGGACTCTCGCCGACCATGAACATGGTCCGAGGTTCGATCCCCTGCCGACGCACACCTGATATCTATGGTCGGCCTGCAAACTTTGGGCTACCGATATCGCATGCTGAAAATTCCTTACTTGTACCAAAAATTCAGTGTGGAATCAAGCTGTAAACCAAAAAATTTAAAAAATATAAACTTTCAGAAAATATCTGCTCCTCCCTTAGGATTTTGTTTACTCATCTGCTGTTTATTGAATCATACCGCCCCCTCCCCTCCCGGCATCCATATCTATATATGTGTGTATGCCTTTCTGTCTCTTTCCCTCCTTAGATCGAATTTTCACCAAAGCACCTGATTACTCTTTTCACGAAATCAAAGATGATGATGACGACCTGTTGAATCAATTAAAAAGTCAAACAAATAATTTTAATATCAATAATTGTTTATTATATGCTGGCGAGAAAATTATCAATTCTGACGCTGATAATAATAATAATAATAACACAAATTCACATCAATTACTACACCTTCGCAATGTCTGTAATAAAGATAATCAGCCTAATATTGAAGGCGATAATAATGATCAATTTAACAGTGGGAACCGTTCATTAACAGTAGATGATGCCGATGCGGACGTCGACGCCGACGATAATCATAGTGATAATGATGGCATAAGTAATGCAAGTGAAGATGACGGGGATCATCATCAATCAGACATTTCGATAATCTCACCCCTACCTGGTCAATGTTCTTCAAATCTATTTGATGATATCGATGGTGACGATGAATATCAGCAGCAGGATGTCAGTAATAATTGTGGTGATGTCGTCTCTAGAGACGTTGTTTATCCTCCTCAACATGATAGTGAAGTGACAGAGGAATTAAATTTGAATAAAAGTTATAATTTATCACATTTTACAATTAATAAGAATGAAGTGATGACGATGACTCACATACATGTTGTAATCATGTATTGACACAAGATCATGATGATGCCGTGGATGTAGATGACGATGATGATGGTGGTGGTGGTCAAGAGGTTATATCTGAAACTTTAGCTTCATCAGTATCACTGCCAGATGATGATGATGATGATGATGATGAACAGGGGAGGATTCAAATGTTGTTTTGCACGGTGATGGTGATGATGATAATCCTTCATATACTACAACTGCTACTCGATCGACAATGACACAATCACCTCCACCACTTAATCATGACGATGATTACCAGTCAATTAGACAACCTGAACTTTCATTAACAAGTAGTCATAATATTCTACAAAGCAGTAGTATTCAATTAAATAAACAAGATGAATTCTATAAGGAGAAATTTATTCATAATATCATGTATGAGTAAGTGTATTTTGAAACGGTTTCTTTTGTGTTTTTTTTCAAGTATTAGTTTTGAAGGGATTTTGTTTGATTGGATGGAGGATTCATCATGAGCTGACATCAGTTAGAGAACCACTGGAAAACCTGCAGGGAGTACTGGACAGCTGTTTCCTCCGTCCTAGTTTGGGACTCTTCGGTGGTACGCACCCACTCCATTAGGGTTCGAACCCAGGACCTTCTGGTTACAAGGCTAGCGAGCTCGAAGACCATTGAGCCACTGGGACCCGATAGAATGGTCAGTCATGAATTATAACTTCTGTCAATACACGACATAGAGCGACCAGATCAGGTGGTAATTCATCAAAGAAGACATTGCGAAATGGTAGCATTGTGTCATGAGTTGGTAGAAGCTAGAATTCAAGGACCATCGGATAGGGTCCCAGGTTTTTTTTGTATTTCATGTAAGTTAAGCGATTAATAATCTCCTAAATTTAAAATTAGGTTCCTTTACTCACGAATGGAGTAGAACCTCGCCTAGTTAACTAGCTTGCTAGTTTTCTAGCCGGTCCCAAGCCTGGGTTAAGAGTGAGGGTTGAGCGGGGAGCTAGCAACCCTACACCGCAAAAGTTATCAAACTGCTAGAGAAACTTTAATGCACAAAAAGTACGTTAAAAATACAAAACATTCAAACAACAATCTTATTCTTCGCTGGAGTTGAAGATGCGAAATGACACAGCGGACTGATGAAAGACAGCCTGCGGGAAGCCAGTCAGTCAGCCATGTGTCTTCTTTCGATAAAAGCAAGAATAAGAATGGGGACGTGGAATGTCCGTACAATGTACGAGACTGGGAAGTAAGCGATGAGTGGGTCGTCAGTGCGAGGGTGACATGGAGGAGGTCATGTGAGGAGGAGATGAGAGATTATGGGCAATCGTAGACCCAACTGAAGAGGACGGCAGAAGATAGGACAAAGTGCGATGTGTTGTTGAAGCCCTATGTTCCACTCGGAACTCAAGGGAATAACAATAATAATAATAATTCACGAATAAAACCTAAATGATTATGGAAAACGAAGAAGTGATGGATCACCAGGTTTCGAGGTGACTACTTCATCACTACTGTGTATCTTTCAACGTCTAAATCCAACGTCCAATTTGTCAGTAGGCTGTACTAACCGAAAAATGGTGTTATTTCAAACTGCGGATATAACACACTGAAGTTTGCTTCTCCCCAGTAATTGTTAATCGCATCCTTTCAGATGTCAGCTAGTTCTGTGGTTAGCAGTTCTCATGGTTCAACTAAATCCTATTTGACAGTGGAGCATTATATTCGACTAAAGAAGATCTTTAAGAACAAAGTATGCTGGTGATGGTGATTCTAATCGAGGTTTTTATTTTTCATAATCGCTGCTTAAAAGTATCCACTGACAACGACGCGACTACTGTGAATTTTACTGAAAACTAACCTTGTTCACTACTGAATACTAAACTGATTTAAGGATAAAACTTAGGCGCTGTGGTGGTAGAGTATAATTTTGATAAAACCACACAGTGTTATACAGCAATGTTTACAGATGACCACCTTTCGAGCATTGCTCATAATCATATTAAGGTACTCACACATAATTTTTTTGCTTAATTTTTACACATGAGAAAAAGTGATTAGACATTTGAATAAAATCAATATACGACTTGTGTGGAACAGAAATGAAGCTAAAGTACATTCGGAATCACTATTAGTGTTATCAGTAAAATACAATAGAATGGGAAATAAGACGAGTGTTGTTAGTCAGTAAGATGGGAAATAAGATATAACGTGAATTGAATACATTTTAACATTATTTATTATCCTCTGATTTGACTGGTAATAATATCCTCCATATCTGTGGTATTTGCGGTGAGTCACTTCGATTGCATGTGTTGGGTGTGTAGACTTGATTAACAAGGATTCACTAATCAATCTCTCTCTCCACCTACGTACACCATTTTTTAGACTTTCGACTCTGTCCCACCCTATTGTGTGGTTGTATGTTAATGCATGCAGTTCAATCGCTGAGCTTTTTTCTAAATTACTTATCTTCTCGGGGTCAACCATTCTTACCTTAGTTAAATTCTTATGCTACGACAATCTGACTATCCCCTATCTATTGGTCTGATTGACCTATGTAGTTGGCTTAACTCACAGCCATTGCAACGTATTTTGTAAATTATATTATTTTGTCTAATTGGGTCGACAAACAGGGTCCTTTAGCCTACAGAGCTTGTCCTATCTGAGTGAGTTTTTAGGTTTGAACGCCACTCTGATTCCTGCTTAATTGAGATTCCCACGTAGGGAGGGTTTCAGGTATCCCCTCCTTGCAAAATACCTTACAATGGCTGTGAGTTAAGTCAATTGCATAGGTCAAACTAGTAGATCGGGGATAGTCAGATTATCACAGCATAAGAATTCAGCTAAGTGCAGAATTAGTGACCCCACGAAGATAAGTTGTCTAGAAAAAGGCTCAGTATTTGCATTTCATATACTAACACACCACCTCACAATAGGGTTTCATTCATTTCTTCTGTACTGCTTAAATGAATTACTACTGAGTACTGGTGCGCTGTTGTGACCTGTTAGACATAAAAAAAAACAGCTGAGAGAAGACACTAAAAGTATTACGAGTTTACTTAATGAAAAGTTGACTAAACAGATGATGACGCTTATTCTGAAAACCCATTTTGCATCGTATTCATTTTTTTGAAACAGTGGCAAAAAGAGTTGATAAACTGTGACCATAGGTTGATAAAAGCCCGAATACCTCTTTAGTTTCATTCAGAAACCAATCAGTCAGTCCTTCACAAAGTGACGAAAAGAAAAAGTTGCTAAAACGTAACTTGATTGGAAGACTTCCTGACCCTACTTCGAGTTAGTAGTGATGAGCGACAACTGGGAAAGAAATTAAGACTGAATTAGCACCAGGTGGTAATACCTTTTAAATGTTTCATCTAAGAGAGCTACGGTAGCCTTTTCTACTTTCCACTTTTACTGAAGACCAAACTCTCATTGACTGTTAACTCTAAGTTTCTTGGTGGTGACTTTGGTGTTAACTAAAGTTGCTTATTCTTACTATTCTCTTGGGCTCCTGATGGAACAACACATCTCCACTTTGTTCTATTTGGTGCTGTATTCTTCACCTGGGTTCACGATTGCCCATAATCTCTCACCTCCTCCTTGCAAAACGACCTCGTCCATGTCACCGTCGCACTGACGACCACTTGAAACTTCCCATTCAGGTTCCACTCGAGCGCTGGCCTGCATTGCACGTGATGTTATTCGACAGCCTCCTCAGCGCATGGCCGATCCATCTCTATTTCCTCCTACATATTTGTTAAGCAGTCGGCTCGTGGATAGTTTGTTCATCACCAGGGTTTCTTGTTGGTCAAAGTCGTTATCATTTATATTTTCATCATTGGTCTAATTAGTGTGTAGTGACTGGAGTGTATTGTTACTACAGTAGTTGACATTGTGATTACCGATTAGAGTTAATTCATTAGCACCTTAGCTTCGTATAACTCATGACCAGTTCAGTCGCATTATCGGTCATTCCAAATCTGTCGATGAAGATAGAGTTCCAACTTGTGTGAACAAACCCCAATATCAATATTACTCTATTTTATGTTTCCACTATATACATAAGCAACTGTATTGTGAGTAAACAGTAACTCACTTAGTTTACTATCCAGCCAGTCTTAAGCCCAGAAAAACAGGAAAGGTTGGGCGTGGGGCTATCAACGTAACCTCGAAAAACGAGTGCATTTTCTACAGAAACATCGATGCGCTGAAAAAGTAGATGTTCTTTTAAGGCCCAATGTTCTATTCATAAGCTAATGGAACAATTGAGTGGGTCAAAAATCATATTTTTACAGGATTTCATCATAAGCTGACATTGGTTAGAGAACCATTGGAAAACCTTGGAGTACTGGACAGCTGTTTCGTCCTAGTGTGGCACTCTTCAGCACCCACCATCAGTGTTCGAACCCAGGACCTCTCAGTTAAAAGGCAAGCTCGTAGACCATTCAGTCAGCTCAATGACCTATCCCATGAATTATATCTTCTACCAATTCATGATTTTAGCTCGATTGGCACTAGACAGTGTGTCATCGTTGGAGAGTATTTGTCCTCACTCTCGACCGGTGGATCCTACTGGTCGATCATGACTTCGCACTAGAACTCCAGGCAACTTCGTCCTGTTGACAGTGACTAACAAGCTTCAGGCTATATATTTCAGGAGGTATCTTATAGGGACTTAATCTGTTTCAAGTTTGATCACGGATTCAGTTCAAAACTAGGATGAAACAGCTCTTCAGTATTCCCAGCTGTTTTTCTTCAATGGTTCTCTAACTTCTCATATCAATCCTTGAAAGTTTTTTTTCTAAAATTCAAAGCAGATTACAATTAAGTCGGTCTTGTTCTTTATTCTTCCTTTTTTTCTGATAAATATTACTTTAGATTAAATCAAGAGAATAGAGGAGATGATGATAATACAGAAGAAGCACCGCCTCGTGATGATGATGAAACCTTAGAAGAGGACTTGAAAATCAATAAAGATGATGATATACCAGAAACTAGTAGATGGGATGAAAATCCTACTAGCAATAACAGCAGCAGTTGTAGTAATATAGAACAGCAACAATTATCAACAAGCGATTCAAAACATTTGATGCTTATCCCGAATTTCTTTCCAATGACACCTCGAATAGAAGAAATATTCACTAATAGATCAAGTGATTTGTTGGTAATGGATAAAAATTCAACTCAGGACGATAATAAACATGACAACAGTGAAAAAGTAAGCGAAAATTTATTTCTCTAACACTGTGTGCGCTAAAAGATCTTAGTGCTTTTCTTTACCTTTGTCATCTGAAATGGTATCTGTTAGGGGTGCCAGCCCAGTATCCTACTAATGGATTTACCCCCCCCCCTAGCTGAATTAAGCGACTTGTTACCATCAGGGAATAAACTCGTTGACTTAGAATATGCAGATGGTACAGTTCTTTCTCCTCGGTGAAGATATTAATAAAACACAGGGACTTATGAATACCTTAAGCAGCAGCAATATTCGAATGTTTGGCATGCTATTCGTTCTTGTCAAATGTAAGATGATGCTACAGGACTGGACTACATTTACTTCTAGCTTAAAGATATGGAGTGAAATGGTTGGTGGAGCGTGTTGACCTCTTCATTTATTTGGGGAGTTGCATCAGACAAAACTATCAGATTGATCGCTGACGATTTCTCAGCACTGATACACAACGCCTGTTTGGCATACTCCAACTTAAACCACCTCTGGCTTAGTAGACGTGATATCCGACTAGCTGTCGACAGCAGGACGTGTATGTGTGTGTGTGTACTGCTCAGCAGTTTGCTCCGTCCTTCTTTATGTCTGTGAGACATGGCTATTAAAAGTGAAAGACATAAAAAGGCTAGCTGTCTTTAACCACAGGTGTCTGCGTTCTATATGCCATGTGCGTTAGTTGATACAATACAGTGAGCAATATTGAGGTTAGGCATCGGCCGAGTGCTAGGTAAAGAGGGGAAATCAATCAATGAGGTTGTAAAGTTACACCGATTGAGATGGTTAGGACATGTGGCACGCATTCCTAGCCATCGGCCTTCCTTGATGGGCAATGTTAGCTGACATGCAATCAGGTTGGAAAAGAGTTAGTGGTGGAAAAACCAAAATACGGCATCAGTCCATGAAATCCTTGACAGTCAGTGTGAGTCAGCCACGTAGGAAGGTATAGACTTCCTGAGTGGCTGGTTATGACCCTCAGGATGGTAAAAACCAATGAAGGCTGGAGATAATTGTCGGTATGGCTGAAAATCGTGCTCAATGGCTGGTGCAGATGCATTCACTCTTTGTGATTTATCATATCTAATAAAATTCTGCTGTTCTCCCAGATTAATATTCTGTGTGCCTCACACTTCTGTTTATTATCTCTTTCTCTCTCTTTCGAATCTTTCTTCTCATGCTTCGTGTGCTACATGGCGGGAGTTTCCCAACTCGAACTGCTGCACATCTGTGCAAAGTTCTCTGTGTTAACCAGTCAGTCAGTTTTCTTCATGTCAGTTAGTGTAATTTTGATGTGGTTTTGTTCTCTGAGCTGGATGGTTAGTTTGCAAAGCTTTCATCACCTTACTGGGTGACATCTTCAGCGAATACTTCAATTCAATGAAGTGAGCTTTTAGATTTCTCCACGAGTTTATTAATTATCTCTCCTTGTGTGTGACCTTGGATGCGATTGGTTGTTTGTGTGTTTTCACACCTTCTAGTTTACTTGTATTGGAACTGATTGTTTCTTCCACTTGAACTTTGACCCCTTATGTGTGAAGTATCTTTCTTATCGACTGGTACATTTTGTCTCTCTCGATGTGTCTATTGATTGATGATTCACTGGAATACCAGACAGCCTACTAAAAATTCTCTGGCATTCTTGGTGTTTCCTCTGTCTAATATTTGAACGTTTTCCCAGTCGAATTGATGTCTGTGGTGGTCTGTATATAGTGATATGAGGGAGTGGATATCATGTCTTTTTTTTTATGATATCCACTCCCTCATTTCACTACACACAGACAACTACGGACATCAATTCGACTGGGACAATGTTCAAATATTAGACAAAGGAAATAACAAGAGTGCTAGAGAATTTTTAGTAGGCTGTCTGGTATTCCAGTGAATCATCAATCAATAGACACATCGAGAGAGACAAAATGTACCAGTCGATAAGAAAGATACTTCACACATAAGGGGTCAAAGTTCAAGTGGAAGAAACAATCAGTTCCAATACAAGTAAACTAGAAGGTGTGAAAACACACAAAAACAACCAATCGCATCCAAGGTCACACACAAGGAGAGATAATTAATAAACTCGTGGAGAAATCTAAAAGCTCACTTCATTGAATTGAAGTATTCGCTGAAGATGTCACCCAGTAAGGTGATGAAAGCTTCGCAAACTAACCATCCAGCTCAGAGAACAAAACCACATCAAAATCATCCACCTGAGCTACAAATCTTCTCTATCATATCAGTTAGTGTAAATTTGTCAATGACTGGAGTAGACACCAAAGGCAAATGACCTCGAACCAACCAACCAGATCGTTCTAGTTGAAAAGTGGGATTTATTGTATATATATATATATATATATATATATATATTTAATAGAAATCAATTATACAGAGTATATATCTCTAATATGCTGCAAAAATTGTTCCCAGTTTCTCAAAGAAGTGTCTATGGACATATCAAAGTAATCACAAAAAATACCCATTTATTCATAAGTAAAAACACAGTTTTGTTTTTGTTCAGCGAAGAAATTTCTTTTCAACGACTTCATCTTCAAGCTGTACAGTCGTATTTATATTATAGAAAAAGTTAATAAGTGGCACTAAATAATTGCTCAGTCAATATACGCATATGTGTGATAAGAATAACGATAACTAAAATGTTAAAAGGGGTAGAGTTGAAGTGGATAAACTGCAGAATTATTAAAGATTGTTTCATAAGTGAATTGATACCAAAAATATCTTAAAAATGTCAATTGTTGTCTAAAAATTTTAAAAATTAGGAGTACGATTACGATAAGAATGAATATGTGAAGTGAAGTGGAATGAATTCAATTGGTACAATAAAATAAAAAGTACAAAGAAAATTACTATGACCAAGGTAAAGAAAGGGGTTTGACAAAACGCTTTTGAACACATAATTTAGGTTTCTGTTCATGTATAGCTAAAGCTTCGGCTATGCATAAGTGAAGAAAACGTAAACTTTTGGATCGATAATTTTGAAAAATGAATCATGTGGGGATAAATGACCAGACTCTAACAGGTGATCACAAATAGACGACTTCGCCGTTCTATTTTTATTTTGATTTACAGCTTGATTCCATACTGTATTTTTGGTACAAGTATGGAATTTTCAGCATGTGATATCGGTAGCCCAAATTTTGCAGGCCGACCATAGATATCAGGTGTGCATCGGTGCGGGCTCGAACCCCGGACCATGTGCATGGTCGGCGAGAGTCCTAACCACTGTGCCACCGACGCACTACGTTCGCCTTTCATTAACCAAACCGGATAGTGTTCAGCTACACGTTTTCGGAGATTACGCTTACAACGTCCAATATAATCAGCTCCACAGGAGCAGGTAAAAGAGTAAATACACAGAGATGTGGACAAAAGCGGTAATCTATCCTTGACGCATTGTCTAATCAGGTTTCGCCTGGTAAAAACTAGTTGCAAGTCAGCTGCAGGAAAAGTGCGTTTAATACATTTAGATAAACCATTTTTAATCAATTCCGAAATGGTGTCACCTTTGAATGTTAGACTCATAAACAGTTTTTTCTTTGGCACTGTGATTTGTCTAGGGACGGATTCTTTCTTGATGTTACGCTCAATAAACCTTGTAGGATAAACATTGTTAAGGAGATTTGATCGAAGGTTATCTAGTTCCTTATCGATTGTCTCTGCAGAGCAAATTTTACGAATTCTGGAGCATAAGGAATGAATAAGATTTCTCCTTCTCCTTAAAGGTACCCAACTGTTGAAGTTAGTGTACTGTCCAGTGAATGTTGGCTTTCGATAAATCGACCTTAACAGCGTTCCATTCTCTCTTCTATCTAACTTAACAAACTAATGTCAAATAAAAATTCATCTGAGCGGCTGTATGCCATATCATTTCGGGTACCATTTACCATTCTGAAACGTTCTCTAAATGGGCCCAGAATCCTTCAGTAGAATTTTTGTATGAATTCTACTTATAGAACCCACTAAGTTGGGAGAATGATTGACTTTTTGGTGAATACAACCTAGTGATGATAGCTGCGAATAATCTCTTCACTCGTCTATATGAACAGTAGTGCTTGGGAGGACTAGTCATTGTATTGTTGACATTGTTTGGAATGCATTCTACTAACTCTTTTTGAAGATTTGTATCGTACAGTTCCAGCACCCACACTTGGTGTGTTCTCCTACCGTGGTGATTCATTTTTCGTTTAATAAGTACTGTTTCATCAATATAAACGACGACACCAACTCCTCCAAGTACAGAAGTAATTCCATTTATCTTTTATCAGACAGTACCCCGACAATGTTGACACCACTGCACTGTTCCCTATTTCTGCATCTGTAATAAATGCTAGTTGTCTCAGTAGCCATTTATGGCATTTACACAATACTTTACTAAGGCGGAGTTTCGGTTTCGAGAGAACTCAACAACAACTCTTAAAGACTTCATCAAATAACAAGTAATTCCATCTGAATGCATAAACATCAGTAACCCGGTAATTCTTCTGAAGAGTTATTATTATCCCTCCATATGTGCATGTTTTAGTCCTTCCTATCAACCCATTTTCCAAACAGGTCAAGTCAAAAATCAAATCAGGTTAAAACATGCAGTGATGTACAGCGATAATGTGTAATGCTGAGTGGTCTGATTGGTTGATTCAATGTCACTTGGTTTTGGTGTCAACTCTTTACTGTTGCCACTCAAACTATAGTATTTTCTCACTAATGATAAATTGTCGTATATTTAATAATAGTTCACTTTCGTTCAAGGTGATATAACACAAAGCAAGCAACCTGAAGATAAGTAAACTACTCTGATGCCCTATTGGCTCGTTATCCAAAAGTTATTTGTTATTACTTCAAAACCCGCCTTGGTAATCCAATTTATAACCAAGGTCCAATTTACTTAATAATATTTTCGACCTCTTCTTTGTGTTTTTTCTCCCTTTCTTACCCACACCTTTGTGTCATCTCCCTGCCCATTATTTGTGACCTTGACCTGTACACAATCTGACCCGTATTATAATATGTCATGTTTTCTTGCCCTTACCCGGGTGTGTGTGGTCAGAATGTCCGAAATGTGTTGCTCAAATACCTTCATTACACATTTCAGATAAACTAAGTCTTCTTATTGTGTTGTCGGTCGAAAGCGATAGTATTGTTTGTTTACGAAGTGGGGGGGGGGGGGGGAGTTTCTAGCCTCACACCCAACCTTTATCCCCCTGTCTCCCGAGCTTACTTATGGACTAGGAAACTGGGGAAAGTTTAGAAGAGCGTTGGTCGGGCGTGAATCGAATCTCACAGACTATGTTTGTCAGGGTTGGTAATCATTCAACCACTGAACCCACTGGCAAACTCACATCCTAGTGTGCACTTAGTTAACCTGAAGTGTTTAAACAAAGTTCAACCGATTATATTACACTATAAATTATTCCTACTTAAATTAAACGACTGTGGGATGTACAGTATTTAATTTATCAATTTACCTTTTGTCTATTCAGAATATTGTAGATCCCTTGAGAAGTCGATTGAATGCACGTTTATCAGAAGCTGTTCATACAGTGAACAGAAAATCATTCACAAATATGCCAAATACAACAACAACAACCAGTGGTGATGGTGGTGGACGCGGTGGTAGTAGTAGTAGTAGTACAGATATGATAATCACTGATACTATTACTGCTTTAATCAATAGTGGGTATAAAACAAGAAGTTTAAAAAAAGCAGAACGTGTTTTTAACATGACATTGAAATAACAATTACCCTTTTTATTATGCTGATTGATTATCGCTTTTAGTCTTGTTATTGACTTTTATTACTGGGAAACTTAACCCCTTTTTTAAAAAACAAAAATTAATATTTTCTAACTTATTGCTTCGTTCTTCCTTTATTCTGTAAAAAGTATAATATATATATATATATATCCTTTTATTCGCTATAAAATAATGCAAAGAGTTATTGACAATCTTCGACTTTTATAACAACATCGGATTGAGCGAAGAAGTATGCATTCCTTTTCAATTAGTTCTTCATCATCCGCTGGCTCTACACTAACAGATATAGTTTTTTGCATAAACGGGCGAGTACACACATTTTCCCAGATTTGTGCCCTTGAAATACAAACGAAATCTGATAAAGTGTTTGGTTTACAGAGCAAGAGCGATTTGCTCGGACGAATGCCTTGATGAAGAACTTAATAAGTATTAAACGGTTGCTAAGTGAAAATGGTTCTCCTGAAAAGTTTAATAATAAGAATATGAATCTAAAATCAAGGCAGGCCAAAGTACCAACAGTTCCTGAAAAGGGGCCTTATTCTTACAGATGCAGTTCCTTGGAGACAATACTAGCGAGATACTAACGCAGCGCCTTAGAAATGCGGTAGATCAAAAGAGCATTCCCTGCTGCTGAATTAGGCTATATCTTAAAGACCACATCTCTTTTGCATTCGGGAGTAAAAGACAAGCTGCCTAATTTCGCCTCATCCATGTGTATCTACCAATTTAACTGCTCCTGTGCAATGAGCCAGTTTCATAGGCCATACAATTAGGCGTGTTTCTCGTCGAATTTCTGAACATCACCCTGCACAGTGGTTAAGCAAAGAACAAACCAGATCTATTCGCAGCGCTATTCTATCTCATCTTATGGATACAGAACACAAGATCGACGTCTACCGTGCTTTCAGGGTCATTCACCGCATACCTATTAATCTCAGTTTTGCCTTAAGAGTTCAATTATTAAATATTGCTGAGTCTGGCTGTTGGGATCCATATCAAGAAGCCTAATTTGTGCATCCAAAGGAGGTTAGTTCAGGCATTATCCTTACCTTGACCACTTAGGTTCGAATGATTCTGAATTTTTGTGGAATTTTCCTAATTTTAGTTGATATTCTATTTGCTATCTTTATTATTATTATTATTTTAGCATCTTTATTGAACTGTAATTTCATTGATCATACTTTACAAATCGATTTATTTAAAATACACTAATATTGTTATCCACTAATATTCTAGAATATTCTGTGTATATAACCACACATATAACTGTAGAGCCAGAAGAGGAAATTATCGAAAAGGATATTCCTTGCTCAATTATTTTGTGTTTTGTAGATGTCTGAATGAATATTTTTGCTATATCAAAGTGCTTTACCAATCAAGTGGTTATTTTAATTAACCAGTTTTAAGTATTGACGAGGTGAGTGAAATTAAGAGGTTAAAGGTCATCAAAACAATTAGCTGATAGATGTTTGCAGCAATATATCTCAGTTTTGAATGAGGGAGAGGTGAAAATTAATTACGGAATTCAAGATCACTTCATTCTTAGGGGGTTAGGCAACAAGCTATTACACAATCGAAAAATTTGTAAAATAGCAATGATGAGAAAGAAGAATAGGATGACTCAGAAGAATTACATAAGATACAAACAAGTCATCAACTAGACGGTTGTACATCCGTGTATTTATATTAAATGTGGTCAAAAGGTCAAATTAACACAAAATTACTAGTGTGGTGAGAGCAGGCTGCTAGCCGATTGGTTGGCACTAATCTACGTTAAGGTCTAGGTCACTAATATGGGCCGTGAATATGAACAAGCCTGAGTCAACAACCAATCACAGCAAAGTTAACGTGGCAGAATATGAGAGAGAACTCTATTTGTCAAGGAATCCCGAAACAACCAATCAGAAGCCTGCGTTTGTCTACCTAAACAACCAATCAGATGACTGCGCTTGTCTATAATAATACTAGGTGTATTAAGCAGAAGGTAAGTAGTGGTACTATACCAAAAATATTTCAGGCCATTACCTTTATAAATTTAGACAAAACAATCCTATGCTCACTAGTGATTAGCCCTATTCAGATAGGTAGTTACTTGGATTCCAGTGGGAAGTCGTGACCAGCAGGTCGGGTGTGAGGACAAATAGTCGTCACCGATGACATTCGCTACCGGTTGCGTCATATAAGGAATTGGCAGAAGTTGAAGTTCATAAACTACTGGATCGCGTCCCAGCGGATGAACGGTTTACGAACTCGTCTTTTAACCAGAAGGCATGGGTTAGAACTGCAGTGGGTGCCTACTACTGAAGATTCCCAGACCGGGTCGAAGAAACAGCTCTCCAGTACTCCCAGGTGCTTTTCCAATGTTCCTCTAGCTGATGTGAATTCATGATGAAATCGTGGAAACAATAAGAAGACACCCTGATTACACACATGCATATCTATATTAACGGTAGCACAGAGTAAAGGATCAAATGCAAGGATCAATATAGGTAACTGTCTCACATAATAGGTAGGAAAATGAGGTAAAAACAAAGAATGGAGACGTGAAAATATCATTAGGTAAAAATAAATCTTCATTTTTAAAATTGGTTTACCCAAGGCATGTCAAAGTGCGTCGGTGATGCAGTGCTGGTAGAATACTCGCTATCCACGCCTCACATGGTCCGATATTCGATTCCAGACCGACGAACTCCTAAACCTCGATTAGCCGGTAATAAATTTAGTGAAGAGGAGAAGTTACGAATGAGGATAGCAACCCCCATTCCCATTATTGAAACTTCACCTCTCCAAGCTTGAAGTTCTATAGTTCCACTTGGGATGCAAACGAATGAAAATAGCCATACATAACACCATCATGTCTTTTTTGATGTGGTTTTGTTCTCTGAGCTGGATAGTTAGTTTGCGAAGCTTTCATCACCTTACTGGGTGACATCTTCAGCGCATACTTCAATTTGAAGTATGCGCTGAAGATGTCACCCAGTAAGGTGATGAAAGCTTCGCAAACTAACTATCCAGCTCAGAGAACAAAACCACATCAAAATTATCCACCTGAGCTACAAATCTTCTCTATCATATCTACCATCATGTCTGTGCATAATTTTGAGATTCATCCGTATACTTTGACAATGAACAGCCTCATTTAGTGCCTTCATTCTGGATTAGATAGATATATGAATGGAATTAAGGTACGAAAATGATCGTCGTTTAGGGATTTAGAGTCGGCCAAGTTAAACTTTCGACACCACTAACTACCAATCAGTGAATGACGTCGAATTATCCAATGAGATTCACGAACGTAGTTCAATGTTGTTATCATGAATGCCTCTTTAATGTGATTGGTCCGTTCAAGGTCGTTTGCCGATTGATTGTTAATGGTGTCGAAAGTTTACCTTTGCCTTAGAGTCATTACATTTTCCGAATTCCCATTTACACATTAAGACAAAACAACGGATTGAGCAAAGAAATATGCATTTCTTTTCAATTAGTCACTCATCACCCGCTGGCTCTACACTAATAAATACGGATGTTTACATCAACATTTTTTTTACCAGTCAAGTAGTTATTTTAGTTAACCAGTTTCAGGTATATGCGAGGTGAGTGAAACTGAGAGGTTAAAGGTCATCAAAACAAATAACTAATAGATGTTAGTAACAAGATATCTAAGTTTTGAAGGAGGGTTGAAATTTAACTACGGAATAAGTTGATTCCTAGGTGTTAGCAACACGTTATTACATAATCGAGAAATTTGTAAAATAGCAAAGATGACTCAGAAGAGTTACATAAGTTACAAACAAGTTAATTGAATAAGCTAGAATTGTAAAAATTAACAAAGTTAAACGACAGATATAAGGGGAGGGGAAAAGTTGTTTTTAAAAACTTAATACATATTGTGTTGGCCATGACATGATCTGGCGTACAGATTTGCCTTGTTCAGATGAATTCCGATTGCCTCTGCTGTATGTAAAAGTCGTACTCGTAGACCATGGCGAGAGGTTGAATGAGATACGATAAATAACTTAAAAAACTTTGTTAAAGTCAACTCGATGTCCAGCATCGGCAAGATGAGCTAATATTAAGCTACGTATAGCTTTGTTTAGACCTTTGCCAAATCAAGATGCGAGGTGTTCAGAAATTCGCCGATGAACTTGCCTGATCGTAAGCCCAGTGTAACTAGCTCCGTAATGACATTTAAACTGGTAAATACACATGAAAGAGGTGAAACAGGGCAATCTGTCTTTATTTCTTGAACTAAATATTGGTTGGCTACTGAATATACAGCATAGCTTAGCTGTGTTGAAAGTTGTCTTCATCCTTATATGTATTTATGCGCTATTGAAATCAACTATTATGATGATTTTCGCGACAGACGATTTTGCACAGTCAACTGAATCAGACGATTTTACTTACCCTTGAAGCCAATTAGGAATGTATTCCGTAGACCTAACCTGTAGGGATCATCAGTAGACCCTTCATATCTGCGCGTGAGGACGCGCACACACACGTATGTAAATTGGTAAACTCTGTCGGACGTGACATTACCCTCCTCATACGAATTACTAGGGGGTTTATTTTACTTCAACGTTTTCCAACCTACTTTTTTCTCGCTTCGTTCTCTCTCCTACCCACTTATCCGTGATCTTGACCTATAAACATTTTGACCTATATTGATTAAATTTTGATCTTTTATGCTCTGTTGCCTTCTATATAACCAGTGTGTGTGTGATCAGAATGTCCCAGTAGAGTCAATACGTTTGAGATAAATTACGCCTTCTTATTCGTTTTTTCCTATACCCCCCGCCACCCATTATCAGTAGACCTTTGGATAAAAGCCACTTACTTCGTCTACCACTAATACCACCACCAAAACTTCTGGTATCCAGAAAAAAACAAAGAACAGAAATAAGAGAGATCCAATCAAATTTATTTTGCAAAAATTACAAATAAAGTTCATCCAAATAACAAACAAACAGGCAAGCAAGCAGCTACATTTATTGCTGTGAAGGACACCTTTTTATAACTTTACATAAACCGACGTATATTATTCGGAAGACTTAGCAAGACAACACTACACTACTCAGTTAGTAGCTTCTACCGAATAGTGTGTACGACTCTGCTTTACGACAACAATGTGGCGAATTGAAACAAGGTGTGCCGGATGGTGGAGTTCCACAAGTCAACTTTGGATTGAATTCACAAGCGAATGGTATACACAAGCTTTTAGCACCCATAGCTGGTGCACCAGGTTCGACAATGACATTTCTATTAATAAAGACAGGGGGAAAAAGGTGTATGCAAATGGATGAATCTATGCGGAAAATGAAAATAAGAGCACAAAATACTCAACAGTGATTGTGTCTTATAAGGCGAAAAAACATACCGTTAGAGTGTGGTTTTGACAACAATAGTTAAACATAATGGCTAAGTAAATCATTTCTCTGGAACTTTTAGGAATACTTTGATCGGATAAATGTCAGTGACTAGTGTTTGTTCGCTGCAGATTCAATTCTATCAGTCGGGTTTGCAATGTGGCCAACATACCATTAGGTGGCTCACCATCTCCTGCATATTGATTTGATGATATTAGTTGGTTGTAGGCAGTCGGTAGGCAGGAAACCTTGAACCACCTAGGTTTCGTGCTAGTTGGCACTCACCACCAGTCAGCAAAGCGCGTATCTGCAACCTTGAAGGAACTCATGTCCTTTCTAAGATTCGAATCCGCGTCAAGCAGTGCTACCTGCAGTCAGAGACATTACCACTGAGCAGCTATTCAGGCACGCGATTGCCTCCAACCATCTAATATCATCAAATCAATGTGCATCGTGATGGCAAGCCACCTACAATGGTGGCTACATTGCAAACCTGACTGACAGAATTCAGTCTGCACCAAACAAAGGACTAGACACATCACTCTAGTTCCTAGTGCTCAATCAAAAATATCCAACACAGTACTACAATCGCAATTTCGAATAATCACTCAGTGGTAATGCCTCTGACTTCAGGCAGCACTGGGTGACGCGTGTTCAAATCTCGGAAGGGACATGAGTTGTTCTTTTAAGGTCGCAGATACGCCTTGCTGACTGCTGGTGAGTGCCAACTAGCACGAAACCTAGGTCAGGCAAGGCTTCCTGCCTGCCGATTGCCTCCAACTGTCTAACTTCTTAGGGATATTTTCATATTTGAAAATATACCGAACACAAGTCTTTTTGATTTCCACTGAAGATCTATGTATTTGACCAAGAAAATAAGTCAAACTTATTGCCAAGACGTTTCCGAATGAATTCTGTCAATTAAGTAAATTAGTTTAAGATAGCTAAAGCAGTTTACTTGATTTCTTTTTCATTTCTTCACGTCTTCAAACTGGAAGCTTTGATGTGTTTCTTTTTATCTGCCTTAGTGTTGTTTTTAAAGGATGCTATTTATTCGACTCAAGTTCAAGCTTTCCTCTTATTCTGGTTTACTGTCAGCTAGTAGAAAACCTACATGAGATTTTTAGGAAGCCATCGGTCAGGAATCGAATCCACACCCCTCACGTGGTTGCTAATGTGCATTCGTACTGCTGAACTCCCATGAAAAATCATTTAATTAATTCCGATTTTTTAGTGAACTAACTGATGATAAGAAGAATAACCTTATAAATCTAAACATAGTATAAGTAACTATCTACTGTACTTTCACATTAACCCTAGTTACTTAGTGTAACCAGTGCGTCAGTGGCGCAGCGGTAGAATACTCATGGACCACGCATTTGGTTCGGAACCGATCCTCGAGACTGATGTACTCCTTTACCTCGCTAAGCCATTAATTGGACTGGTATAGAAGGAAGGCAGGACATGAGGCTAGCAACGCCATCCCGTAAAAATAAAACACCACTGCCACCAAAGCTTCAAAGCTCTAGCTTGAAGCATAAATGAGTAGAGTCAACAGTTTCTGAACCATCTATATTACACTCATCAGTTAGTGTCCCAAAGTACTAGCTATCTTGTCAGAACTAGACCCTGTGTAGGTGAATTGTTACTGGCAATGCCTACCGGCAACTACCACCACAAGCGTAATGCGAAGACTACAGACAGATTGTGTATTGAATGAAGATTTTCACGTTTACTAAAATCCATTACGGGAAGTTAAAAAACCGTCAGTTTAGTGCAGCTTTCACTTATAAGTACATGTGATGTATAATCAGACATGTCACATGTTTATGGTGAGACTAGATGAAGGTAGTCTGGCCAGGAAGTACCCGCATTGGTTTTCTTCACTCTTGCAACACCGTTGGCCATATATACATTCTTTGGTAGTCCCACTTCTGGCTTAAGTAGAGCGGGCTAGGGGAAACAACAAGCTTGTCTTGCTTTTCCGATTCTGGCTTTGATATCCTCGTCAGTTCAGTCCCCCTTTGGTTGAAACGATGCTTCCCAGGTAGGTAAAGGAGGTTGTTTCTTTCAGGTTCCTCCCATTTATGCTGGCTGATTGTTGTCTGTTATTGTTGTTGTTGCTGTTGGCCACGAATCCTCATCACCTCTGTCTTCTCTATGTTCACCTGATGTGAAGTCGGTGGCACAGTGGTTAGGACTCTCGCCAACCATGCACATGGTCCGGGGTTCGAGCCCACGCCGGCGCACACCTGATATCTATGGTCGGCCTGCAAAATTTGGGCTACCGATATCCATGCTGAAAATTCCATACTTGTACCAAAAATACAGTGTGGAATCAAGCTGTAAATCAAAAAAATAAAAAAAAGTCCTATCTTGGATACTTTTTCTGCCAACTTGTTGCTTTTCACCTGCGTATCGTTCAGTTTGTGGGAAATCGGACATACACCACATCGGCGAAATCCAGATCCTCCAAGTTTTTCGTGAGGGTTCATTTTATGCCTGTTTCCTCGTTGCCCTCTGTGTGTCTGTCGCATTATCCAATCTACCGCAATCGGGACTTAATCCAGTCTTTATTTCGAAGGATTCCGTAAGTTTCCCGTTGTGGATTACTTTCCCATTAAAAGTTAGTCTTACAGATGGAGCTTCCTCTACTTCGTAAAATATAACAGGCAACGAATGCAATTAACAAACCTTCCTGTGATGCATGTGTACACGCGGGGAGCAATACAGACACACACACACGCAATTCGCTAAAATCAACCATTTAATAGTCATAAGTGTAAAAACAAAACTATATATATATATATATATATATATATATATATATATATAAAGATTTACAACATCATAGAACATACCTGGCCGACTCGTGTCGAATTACTTCTTCACAATCTCTATCACAACAGAATGGAGCTAATGCAAGTGACTTTTTATCTAATGCAGTGCATAATTCATTCATATTGTTAACAGCAATCACATGATTCGATAATGAATCCAATGCTTTCTTGTACATTGCATTATGAATTCCGTCTAATATACACGGTAGTTTATGCGTTAACGTATCCATTGGCACATTTACCTACTCAGCAGAGTAGTATTATACGGAAGAGGGGAAAGAAAAAAACAAAAAGAATTAAGGTTATTAAACAGGCACATTTGGGAAATGTTGACAACAAGCATTCCGTTTTATTCTTTTCCGCAGTAGTGCACATCACAGCTTGTGTGAATCACTGACTAACCGACCGAGTTTCTACATAGAACTATGCACAGAAGTGTATCAGTTCAAATTGCTACACACTCCATGCAGCACACAAAGATGGCAAAAACAGCATTTCAAAAGGACCATATTCCGAATTATTGTTATAGATATAACATGTGAATGGTCATACCTTCTTCAGTTTGACTTATACATCCTTGGCAAGATGTATCCACTTATCCGGTAGATGATTTTAGAGTTGGTTTGCAAGTTCACATGGAGGCTACAATCGTTCAGGTATTCCAAAATACAGTTGTGGGAGAGTAACTAATTGATGATAAATTTGGATAGCACACGCTGAGTACAACTGACATACCAACTCAAGAAGAAAGTAGCACGTGAGTGGGTAACAAACCTTGATGTGACTATCAATGGCAGTTGATTACTTTTTCTCCTTTCTCATTGTTACATTTGTACTCCTTCAACGGAGGGATTTGAAAGAGGTTACTTCATTCACTCATCTAGGGAGGGAGCATTGTCTCAACTACAGGCAGTCGGAACGGACGAGGATGTCAAATCGAGTGAGAATCGAGAAGGCGAGAAACACATTTACATTAACCTGAAACCAATCTGGAAATCTTCGTCACTCAGCCAGCATCAACAACAAAATTCAGTCGGATTTTCAATACAAACAAAGTCAAGTCAGTCAGTTCTTCTATACGGATCAGAAACTTGGCGGGCGGGTCACAAAGAATATTTCCAACAGCCTTTGCAGACCTTTATCAACCAACAACTGTCTTCGCTGGCTCTATACTGAAGATCAGATGGCCGGGCCGGAAAGAATCGCCAACAAGCAAACAAAACAAGAACCAATCACCAACCAACAAATATGCAGGAGAAAGTGGAGATGGATTGGACACTCGTGGCTGAAAAGGCCGGCCTCTGGGTGACATCGCGCGCGCGTCAGGCCATTGCTCGAGTGGAACCAGGCCGAAAGGGAAGTGACGAGTGGGACGTCAGTGCAAGTGTGACATGGAGGAGATCGTGTGAAGAGGAGTTGAAACAGTATGGACTAACATGGATGTAGGTGAAAAGTACAGCAGAAGACAGAAGCAGTTGGAGACGTGCAGTTGAAGCCCTATGTTCCACTAGGAACTAAAGGGAATAATTATAATAATGAAACTTCACTCTGTTTTAACTGAGCTTTACTCAGTTTTGTCAACTATGTTACGTAACTCTAATAAGACACCATTGGCAGTTTAACTGTTGGACTGAGGCAAAAAATATATTAAAATCAAGATGAATATAATGCACAGAATCATTTGAACCACTGAGAGTTTCTGATCACAGTTTATCATAGCCAATTAAAACTTCAAAAAAAAGTTTTGGAAATGAGACAATTTATGATCGATAATGCCCACTAAGTCAGACAGGACGATAAATACCCGTTGAATTAAATAAAAATCACGAATTAGAATAAGGTGGAATTCATATATTGATCATTGAATCGAGTCCCAGTGGCTTGATGGTCTACGAGGTCACTTCGTAACCGGAAGATCCTGGGTCTAAACCCCGACTGATGCGTACTGATGAAGAATCCCAGAATAACTGGACTCCCATGTGGTTTTCCAAGGGTTCTCTAACTCATGTGAATTCGTGATCAATCACGAAGCAATTATATTTAAACAAAAAATATCTGATAAATACCAGAACTTACTCTTTCTGCATTGTGTCGAAGTACTAAGCATACTTTCTTTTCAGCGACTTCCTGGGGACCAATTTCCAGGCGGATAGGTACACCTTTCAATTCCCAATGGTTGAATTTCCATCCTGGTGAGACATTATCACGATCATCACAGTGAACACGGAAATTTTTATCTGATTGACTTAACTGATGAAATACTGAGTGGGCGGAAGATAAGAGAGATTCTCTTTCCTGAGCAGTTGTCTTTGCAGTAATACCACACGGGACAATTACAATCTGCAAGAGAAGAAAAGCATAAATACTGTAGAACTGACATCTTAACTTTTGTCTCCTCTTCAAAGTATCATTTTTTTAATATGACTAAGGCTGCTTAACAAAATAGTATTCATTTACTGATAGGCATAACAGAAATACATTATAAGAAACTTTTAGCGTAACTACTGATCCACATTTTCATGATCTAACATAAAACACATAATCGCCCGGTTGAATTTTACGCGTATATTTGAATAATTTCTCGATCGTCGAGCATTATTATTATAACCAAACTACAGACTGAATGATGCACAACCGATAGGTAGCTTGCTACCTTGGCGTGGTAGTCGAGATACACTGGCTGGAACTAATGTTCCTTCGGGGTTTATCATGCCAGAAACATAGTCTGGGGATATTGGTAAGACTGAAAGCGGTTACCATCATAATGTGATTCGTTCACGCCATGTTGGGAGTCGGTGGACGACGGGGTTAGCTAAGGTCGACTCCGAAGACTGTACATCCCCGCTTACCTTTTTTCATTACAGTTAGATTCCTCACCGTATTTTTTGGTACAGGTAAGGAATTTTCATCATGTGATATCGGTAGCCCAAATTTTGCAGGCCGACCATAGATATCAGGTGTGCGTCGGCAGGGATCGAACCCCAGACCATGTGCATGGTCGGTGAGAGTCCTAACCAGTGTTCCACCGACGCACAAATTAGAATGATGATGATCCGAAGACCACCCGACTAGCAAAACCTACGCGTCTAAGCGAGCCCGATTAGGGATCGTCGCAGACTTCAACACGCCGAAGTGCAAAGGCGAGTCTCCACCTGGAGCCATGGCATTCTTGATAACCCTGGTCCCGGCGCCAAGTAAGTTTGCAGCAGTATGTAGCTGCCAGTAAGATAATAGGACGCACACAACTCCAGAAACCACTTCAAACAGACCATGTGTGACCAACCTCAAGCAGCTTGTCCCCTGGGCAGCAACACTAGTGCACCTTCTGTTTCAGGTACTGAATACTAAAAAAAACGATTTTCGCTGTTGAGGAGTATCAGATAGGTCCAAAACGGTTAGCGAAGGGGGTTTCAGTCTAAAATGTCATCCCATTTTCCTTTATTTCTTTCAGATCTGTTCATACTCAAGTGAACCAGAGGCGATAAAACGTGACCAAGTTGAGAGTCACTGAGAAATAAACCAAAAGTCATTATTAGATATAGAAAATACAAGGTGATTATTTAATTTTCAACTTTAGCACAGTATGAAGGAGAATATGTATTGTTGCTTTGACCACCACTTCATTTCCAACCAAGTGGATGATGCGTTCATTCAAATTACTCTCCAGATGCCAAGAAATTCCAACAGTCATTTGAGCGATATAAGCAGCCTTCACTCCATTATGGATAAGATTTTATTTTGATAAATCACACAGTGGAGTGTTACACAGTAATATTAACTGATGACCACATTTCGAGCACAAACTATTGCCGCTCATAATCATATCAAGACACTACTCAAACAACTTTTTTCCTTCATTTATATACATGAGTGAAATTCATGATTAGACATTTGAATAAAAATCAATATGTGATCATGTACATTCAGAAATGATAATAATATGAGTGTTATTGATCAATTACAATCAGATGGAAATAAGACGAGTGTTTTATAGTCATAATAATGTAACTTGTTAGAATGTTGTAATGTGTTTGAATTGAAATAGAATTTTAAGATTATTTATTATCCTCTTCTGATTTGACTGGTGGTATTATTATCCTCCATATTTCTGGTATTTGCATTGAGTCATTTTTGTTACATGTGTTGGTGTAGACACGATGAAGAAGGATTCAGTAGTCAACCTCTCTCTCTCCACCTACATAGATTACTTCTTAGAATTTTAACCCTCTCCCACCCTACTTTGTGTGGTTGTGTGTTAACGCATGCAGTGCAATTGCTTAGCTTTTTTCTAAATTACTTATCTTCTCCGGTGGGGTCAACCATGCTTACCTTAGCTGAATTCTTATTTTACAACAATCTGATTATCCACCAACCTACTAGTTTGACCTATATAGTTGACTTAACTCACAGTAGTCATTGGAGGGTATTTGGTAAATTATATTATTTTGTTTAATTGGGTCAACAGAGTCCTTTAACTTACAGAGCTTGTCCTACCTGAGTGAGTTTGTAGATTTGAATGCCAGCCTAATTCCTGCTTTCTAAAAAGTTACTTATTTTGATTGACTATAAAAACACTCGTCCTATTTCCCATCTGATTGTAATTGATCAATAACACTCATATTATTATCATTTCTGAATGTACATTATCACATATTGATTTTTATTCCAATATCTAATCGATTCTACACATGTATATAAATGAAGGAAAGAAGTTGTGTGAGTAGTGTCTTGATATGATTATGAGTGGCAATAGTTTGTGCTCGAAGCGTGGTCATCAGTTAATATTACTGTGTAACACTCCACTGTGTGATTTATCAAAATAAAATCTTATCCATAATGGAGTTATGCTGTACCACAGTGCCCAAGTTTTACACCTATATCAATAAGCCGTCTTCATACAATGTGTGTACGTTATTAACAGGTGTGTAGATATGCATGCAGTCATTGACTGACATTTCAATTAGATTATCTTAATAATTCACGAAAGCTGTTCATCACAAAACGGATAGTTCCACAGGTTTAACCATAAATAATAACAATAAAAGTTATTCCCCGATATAATAATTATCATTTTACCTGAATAGGTGCCACACGTGGTGGTAGTACAAGGCCCTTATCATCACTGTGTACCATAATCAGAACACCTAGTGTACGCGTAGTAAGACCCCAAGAATTTTGATAAACATAAGCAGGTTTTCTAGTCACTGGATGCTCGTAGGTGACATCAAACATACGACTAAAATTCTGTCCTAAATGATGTGATGTAGCGCCTTGAATTGCACGTCCATTCCCGTCAATATAAATTTCCACAGTTGTTGTATAATCTGCACCAGCAAATTTTTCACGTTCAGTTTTACGACCTATAATGAGAAACAAAACAGACAAAAGACTTAACTTGAATAATCTGTGCCAAGAATACCGGATCGATTGATAGCATATTGAAAATCGTATATAACTAATATCAGCGACATGTGTGGTGAGGGCTGGCCGCTAGCCAAAATTGGTAGATAGTAATTTACGTCAATGTTTACGTCCCAGTATTGGTCGTGAGAAAAGAACAAGAACAAAGACTAACTCAACAACCAATCACAGCAGACTTTGCATAGGCGGATACAATTTGCAGATAGATAATCTGAACTTCAAGAAACGGCCACACAGAGATGAAAGATTAACCTTCAGTGAGAAACCACCAATCAGAAAACTGTGTTTGTTTGCTTGAATAAGCTATAATAAGGTACATGAAAATCTCTAAATATGTGTTGGTTTCCTTAATAAACGATCTGTTCCCTGGCCCTTGTCTTCTGTTGTTACATAATAACTTGAAGTCTTATCGAACTATATTCAGTAGGAATCTGTTACATAACAAGTAAATCTTTTTGAGTTCATACAACAACAACAGTAATAATAACAACAACAAAAGGTCAATCATTTTAAATCTCATTGTGTTTATTACCTTTGACTACAGGTACTGCAAGTAAGTATTCATATACTTCAGCGTAGAGATCCAGGATAACACGAACTTCTGCTTCAGCGTCAGCTTTTTCTGCATATGCAGTATGTCCTTCTTGCCAAAGAAATTCACGTGTACTGGATAGATAGAGAAGTAAAATTTAAGAGAAACACGAAGATGAAGTAATACATTATTAAGCTGAGTTCATTAGGTGTACACAAGAGTTACATATAAAGGTACATTAATGCATAAAGAAAATTTGAGCAAAGAATATTCTTTTCGATAATTTCCTCTTCTGGCTCTACAATTATGTATAAACAAAATATTCTAGAATAATCGAGTGGAAACCAAATGCGAATCGACGAGTGGGTCGTCAGTCCGAGGGTGACATGGAGGTCGTGTGAGAGAGAAATGAGAGTTTGGGCGACCCTCGACCGAGCTGAAGAGAATAACAGAGAATAAAACAAAGTGGAGATATGTTGTTGAAGCCCTCCCTATGTTCCACTCAGAACCAAAGGGCCAAGGTAAGGAAAGCGTCTGAACCAATTTCTTTTGGATGCATAAGTTAGGCTTTTTAATTGTAGATTCCAACAGCCAGCCTCAGCAATATGTAACTGACGTAATCTCAAAGTAAAATTAAGATGAGTCAGTATACGGTAGATGACTTTGAAAGCGATGTTAAAATCAGTTTTGTGTTGTGTATCGGCGAGATGAGATTCAATAGATCTATGAGTGGACCTTGTTTGTGGGTGTTGGTGTTGGGAAATCCAATGATAAACACGCCTAATTGTATGCCCTATGTAAGTGGTTCCAAAGGACCAGTCAAATTAATGGATACACATAGAAAAGGGGGAATTAAGTAGTTTATTTGTAACTCCTGAACGCGAAATAGGGGCCTTGTCAAGAACCCATATCAGTTAGAAAATCGATGAAAAGTATGACAACCATTTTGTCCTAGATTTGAGGCCCTTTAACAATGCGCGCCAACCATATCTCCCAATTATTGAACCGAGTGTCTTTGGACTACGGGATGACGTGGTACTGTCGAGGGTTGCCCACCCTCATAAGTCACATAAGTCCTATTCAATGCATTCATGGGGTAGGAGTGTTACGAGGCTGAATGAGAACTTACAACCAAACTTACTGGATATCCAAGTCTACCTAAAAAAATTGAAAACCTTGATTCCAAACCTTTAATGTACATGGACTGTAAGATCTAAAAAAAAGTCGAATGGAGTATGAACCTGTTTTGGTCACCAGAAAAAAGCATGGGAAACTTAGTTCCAGCACTGTAGCGTGGATCAGACAACTTCAATCAAGTCAGAGGCTTTGGAGGTGGTGACCTTAAGACAGTCATCATCTAGCAGTATCCCAACTCTCTCGTAAACTATGAGATTTTGTGTGCAGCATCTCTTGGTGCCTATACACCTGTTGATCGTTGGAGCCATCAGATTCGAACTCGATGACTTGTAAATTCTCACTTCCTACTAACTAACTAAGTAATTCTTTCTGTAGTGGATTTTAAATGGTGAAAATAAATGATCATTGCTTAGGAATCTAATTTTATAGGTAACAATGTTTGCGAAATCAACCTGAGTAATTGGAAAGTTATTTATTAAAATAAGAAACGCAGTAAGCATACACTGGCATAGCTACACTTAACTTTACTAACTTATTCTTACAGTAATTACAGTAATGAAAGATCCTATAAATTTTATGATGCCTGTGTAGAAGTAAACAGAGTTTGCACTAAATTGATTTATGTCTGTCTGTCTGTTTTCGACATAGAACTTTACACCGATGTGCAGCAGTTCAAGTCGCCACACTCCCACCATGTAGCACACAGAGCAAGAGAAGAAAGTAGAGGAAATGCATAATAGCGACAGTCGACAGGGATATGAGACAAAAACAATAGTAATAACGAAGAACAATATAGTTTCATTGGAAATCATAAATCACAGGGAGTAGATGCATCTGCGCCATTGAGAACGATTTTGAGCCATGTCACCAATAGTTTCCAACCATTGGTTTTTACCGTCCTGAGGACCCCAACCAGACATCAGTTTACACCTTCCTACGTGGCTTAGACTAACTGTTGTAGATTTCATTGACTGGTGACATGTTTTGGTTTGACCGCCGCTAGATATTTTCCAGCCTGACCCTACATCAGCTAACATTCCCCACTGTCGAGGAAGGCGATGACTAGGCATACACATCTCTTAACCGTCTCAGTCTATGTAACTTCACAACCTCGTCGATTGATTTCCCCTTCCACCTTACCTAGCACTCGACCGAGCCTAACCTCAATATTGGTCACCTTATTATACCGCTTCACACGGGAGAAAGAGCGCAGGCACCTATGATCGAAGACAGCTAATCTTCTCATGTCTCCCACTCTCAATGGCCAGGTCTCACAGCCAGTTAAGGAGGACGGAGCGGACTGATGAACAGTACACCCGTCCTTTGGTCGATAGCCGGATATCACGTCTACGCCACAGATGGTGTAAACTGGCATTCGCGAAACTAGCCCTCTGTATCCGTACTCAACTGAGATTTCATCAGAGATCAACACTCTGGCGTTGGCTGATACAACTTCCCAAATAAGTGAAGCGGTCAACGTGCTCTACCAATTCAATCCCTATTTCTAAACTAGGAGTCAGTGTAGTCCATTCCTGTAACATCATCTTACATTTGGCGGGAGTGAATCGCATGTCAAACATTCGTAAAATGCAGCTTAGAGTGTTCAGAAGACTCTGCATTTTGTCATCCTCCTCACCTAGAAAAACTATATCATCTGCATATTCTAAGTCAACGATATTATTCCCTGGTAGCAAGTCAATCTCTGAGTCTCTGAAGTGAGTTAACGTTAAATCCATTTATACATCTATGATGAAATTGAATAGGAATGGGGATAATGGGCATCCCTGACGGACACCACTAGTCGTCACCACTTCAGATGACAACTCGCCGTAAGCTCTCACTCACCTGGCTGCATGAGTTGATTTATACAAGAAAATACAAGAAAAATTGATTTCTATAAAGAAATATCTTAAAAATACTCTCTCAGTCTCATATATACAGAACCAATTTCAAGAAAGGGAATACATACACTGTGCCTATAATCAATCAATCAAATATACACATAAAGCTCATATTAATTTACCGAAGAAAAGGTTGAGGATGTTTAAATTCCCATCGAACAACATTACTCCACTGATTGATACGTAAGGGTAGATCACGATGTGATTGAATCCATTTAGCAAATACTGGATACATAATTGTTTCACTAGTCGGACGAATAGCAATCGGTTCAGCTAGATCTGAATCACCTGATTTTGTCACCCAAGCTACCTATAAATGACAGCATATAAATATACCATATGAAAATAGATAACTCAATCAATATTACCTTTATACAGAATGTTCAATAATAAACTGCAGTTTTATATCCCCTAAAATTACAAAGTTCTTCAAAAGAATCAGCATGATGTGAATAGAAGGCGATTTTGTACAGATAACTAACTGTCAGTGATGGCACTGAAAGATAGTTGCATATTATAAAGGTTTTAAAGAAGTTCAAAAATGGAGGATTTCATTATGAGCTGATATCATTTGGAGAACCATTGGGAAACCTGAAGGGAGTACTGGACAGCCGTTTCGTCCTAGTTTGGAACTCTTCATCAGTACGCACTCATCGGAGTTCGAACACAGGACCTTCTGGTTACAAGGTGAGCTAGCCCGTAGACCATCAAGCCACTGGGACCCGATGATTCTGACTGAATTCTACCCGTCAAGTTTACAAGATTGCAGATATGCTCGGCTAATGACTGTCGACATGCACGAAACCTAGGTCAAAGACTTCTTGCCGATTGCCTTCAACCATCTGACTACAATAGTGTCTTTCGAAGAAGACCCAATATGTTTTATAGATGATGTTGATTTTATGTTCTTTCATTGTTGAATCAGTTTTATTTATTATAATATAGAGTGGGGCAATTGTGTTGTTTAGGGAGCGACATCTATCATCCCAAAAGGTTTCAAGTGGTCGTCTAGCAATGATTTTAGAAATACTCTTCATATATGGTAATATATTCACTGGATTCTTTGAATTAAGAGTTGAGAAGACACAAACTGATCACAATCACAGTATAATAAGCTCCTCCATAGTGTTTGAGCTTCTAACTGAGCATTCGCTCAGTTCATTCTGCATACATACTGTTATGTACTGGTGGAGAATTTAATAGTCTTGACGCAAGAAAGACGGAAATCAGAAGACCACTAGGTTTGCGATGATACTTCCATTTTCCAAAACACCAGGAGAATCAATGTCACACAAGTGTGAGAGAGCAATTTAGTGTGAATGTCCGAACAAGTGTGTGAACACAAGTGTGAGAGCGAATACTCAAAATGAACAAATCAATAGACAGTCTTAACATGATTGGCTAATTATAATGGAATATTGATCCATATATACCTAGCAAAATATATCAGACTGTCAAACAAACACACATATTATACGGATACATATCACCAAGAATAGACTGTCAAACAAACACACATTATATGGATACATATCACATACACATCAATGCGCTTCAATAACCCCCGTGAAAGAAATAAAAAATAAAATCCAACACTTACTTCAGGTGCAAAATCTGTCACATGATCTTTTTCACGTTCCAAAGCGGATTTTGATACAAACATTGGAAAATAAGCATTTTCTACACCCATCAACTTTAATTTTTCATCCATAAATCGTTGAATCGACTGCCACATATGATATGCCCATGGACGCAGGATATAACAACCACTAATATCATAATAGTCTAGCAATTCAGCTTTTATAATCACTTCAGAATACCATTCAGGGAAATCTGTCTCCTTGGAAGCTTCAATAGCTAATCTGTATGAAATAGATAAATAGTAATTGTGAATAAATATCATTAGAAAGTAGTGATTACTGTAAAACAACAAAATATTTAGTCCTTTTTATGAAGGAATCATAAAAATGTTGTCACACAGGTGCGACTGTGTTGTTAACACGCTATATGACAATACTGTGCTATGTGCTGTAGTCCTTCACGCCGATTTCAGCTTAATGAACACCAGTCTTACCTTCCAGATCCGACCTAAGCTGGTTGGCTTTTGATATCCCTATCCGTGCTACCTATGGATGAAATGACGTTGGCCAGCTAAATTAAGAAATCTCAGCACGGATACAGAAGGCTGGTTTGGTATTTGCCTGCCAGCTTACACCATCTCTGGCATAGACGTGATATCCGGATGGCTGTCGACCAAACGACGTGTGTACTGCTAAGTAATTCACTCCGTCCTCCTCCTTTATGGCTGTGAGCGACACATGACCACTGAAAGTGGAAGACATGAGTAAATTAACTGTCTTTATGTCTGTGTTCTTTCTCCTGTGTAATTTGATATAATAGGAAGAGTAATATTGAGGTTAGGCGTCGAGTCCCGGACGATAACTGCTACCTTGTCGTGGTGGTCGGGCTTGAATACCGCAATGACCCAACAAGCTGAACTGACTGGGACTCTGTCTCTACAGGTCCTACCATGTCAGGAAGGTTTTCTGGATAGCGGTTAAACTAAAAGCAGTTACCATGGGGTACATGGGCTCCAGTTTCCAATCGGATCAAATGGCGTATGAACCCATATGGGTCACCGGCAACCATGGGAATGCAGCTCCTGACGCTGCTCCGCTGCCTTGCGGATTAGACTCCAAGTCAAAGGCTCGGGGGTGGTCCCTTAATAAAACCACCTGCTTCGGTCTGGGCGCCCGGGCAGTATCTCAGCCCGCACACAATGAATGAATTAAAGCAACGAACTCCCATTGAAACTCAACACGCGCTAGTAGAAATGATTCCAAGCAATATTGATCCCTCAAGCAACTTATTTCCTTCCTACCTTACTTTTATTTTTATACATAGTTTCCTGTATTTTACCTTTTCTAACCTTGGCTTCTTAACCTTCGACAGCCTTTCGCCTTTGTCGAGATTCCCAGCCTATCCGTGTCGTTTCGAGATGTTAGTGAGTAGTCCTCAAAATGGTTGTTCCCAATGTGACATCTAACACAGATATCCTGAAACCGCGTGCTGCGTTCAAGCTGGCTACCTACAATGTTCGGACGCTGATGCAAATCGGACAACAGGCAGGGTTGGCAAGAACTTTGGAAAGCCTCGCTATCGATGTCTGCTGCATTTCGGAGACCCGCATTCAAGATCCCAGTGAAGTGCTTCGACTATCCTCTCCATCTGGAAGTTCTAGTAGTATGTACCACCTGCGCTTATCCGGGGACCCTGTGGCGTCGGCATCCGGCGTAGCTGGTGTCGGTGTCGCACTGAGCGCTAGAGCCGAAGCTGCACTGCTCGACTGGATTCCCATTAACAGTCGTTTATGTGCTGTGAGGCTGGAAGGTTATACGAAAGTAAGGAGTAGTAGGCCAGATAGGCGGTGTCTATTTGTTGTCTCTGCCTATGCACCGACGGATTGCAGCCCGGATGCAATGAAGGATGAGTTTTACTACCAACTGAGCGATCTCTTGAAACAGGCGGGTCGGAGGGATATCGTAGTGCTGGCTGGGGACTTGAATGCACAGGTGGGGCGTCTAAGCTCAGAGGAGAATCGTCTAGGTGGTCAGTGGGGACTACATGGTCGCAGGTCAGATAATGGGGACCGTCTTCTGCAGCTTTGCGCGGATCACAACCTATTTCTAGCTAGCACCAACTTCCGGCACAGCCATCGCCGTAGCGCTACCTGGCGTCCTCCCTCTGCGAAGCAAGCTTGGACTCAGATTGATCATATCGCGGTCAGTTTCCGGTGGCGAGGATGCATACAAGACTGTCGCTCCTTCTGGAGCACATGCCTGGACTCCGATCATGCGTTAGTGTGTGCCAAGTTCGTCTTGCGATTTGGTGGGGTTCGTAAAAGCCGTCGTCTAAGCGTTGATGTGAGCAAACTAGTAGCACCTGCTACTTCTTTGAAATATCAGAATGAGTTAAAAACAATGCTTGCCAGCAACCCCCCAAGTAGTATAGATGAACATTGGCTTCATGTGCAAGGTGCCATGCAAAAGGCGAGTGTAGCCGCTTGCGGCTTGAAAGAATGCTCCGCTAACAACCACTGGGTTTCTGCGAGTTCCTTGCAACTCATGGATGAACGCCGGTCCATTCCGGCTGGCAGCGAATACAACAATCAGCGAAAGGCGCTCACGCGCAAGATTAGACAGTGTTTACGTAAGGACCGCGAAGCCTGGTGGTCAGAACGTGCGTGTGAGATGGAGTCAGCTGCTGCATCTGGCAACAGTCGGAAGCTGTTCCAACTCATACGAGCCACCGGCAGCAAGAAACAAGGTGTCAGCGAGACGGTCTGTGAGGCAGATGGCACTCCAATTACCAGCCTGAAAAGACGCCTGGAACGCTGGGCAGAGCACTTCGGGAAGCAGTTCAGCTGGCCACCAGCTTCAGTGTCTACTATCATTAGCCCGAGTGCTCCTTGGTCGGTTAGTACCGACCCACCCACCGAAGCGGAGGTCCGTAAGGAACTCCAAGTTCTGAAACGCCATAAGGCGCCCGGCCCAGACAAATTACCCCCGGCTCTTTTTAAAGATGGTGGCGAGACTCTCACAATGGCTCTAACTGGGTTGTTCAGGAAGGTGTGGGAGACAGAGAGTGTACCATCAATGTGGAACGAAGCCATTATCGTCCCCATCTTTAAAAAGGGTCGACGTAATTCGTGTGACAATCATAGGGGTATCAGTCTGTTACCAGTCGCGTCTAAAATATTGGCTGCTGTCTTGCTTCGCAGACTGTGCAAAATACGTGAAGGATTGATTCGCGAAGAGCAGGCTGGGTTTCGTTCAGGTCGTGGATGCATTGATCATGTGTTCACCCTTCGTCAGTTGTTGGAACACCGCCACACGTATTGCAGGCCAACGATCGTTGTGTTTCTTGATATTAGGGCTGCCTTCGATTCGTTGGACAGAACTGTGCTCTGGAACTGTCTGTTAGAGAGAGGTGTACCTGAGAAATTTGTTAACATCCTGAAAGCCCTATACAGAAACACCTCAGGTAGAGTGAGGGCATACAACCAACTATCACCACTGTTCCCAACCAACAGTGGGGTTAGACAGGGTTGCCCAATCTCTCCATTTCTCTTTAACTTTGCCATCGATGACATTCTGGAGTCAGCTCTGAAGGATGTGCGTGAAGGTGGTGTAGATCTGCTACCTGGAGATAGACTTTTCGACCTCGAGTATGCAGACGATATCGTCTTACTGTGCGATAGCATGCAGGCTGCCCAAATCGCACTTAATCAGTTGGCGATCAGTGTCTGTAAGTATGGTATGTGCTTTGCGCCGTCTAAGTGCAAAGTACTGTTACAAGATTGGCAGGAGCCTGTACCTGCACTCACTCTTGCGGGTGAACCGCTTGAAGTTGTTGATAAGTTTGTGTACCTGGGTAGTTGTGTGAGTGCTGGCGGAGGGGTGACGGATGAGATTTCCAACCGTATAATGAAGGCTAGGGTGGCATACATCAACTTGAGCCACCTCTGGCGCCGTCGCGACGTTAGCCTGGCTGTCAAAGGTCGGGTATACAATGCTTCGGTGCGGCTGCCTTGCTCTACGCCTGTGAAACCTGGCCTCTCCGAGCTGAGGATGTGCGGCGACTCTGCGTGTTCGATCACCGCTGTCTCCGCAGGATTGCTTGCGTTCGATGGCATCATCGCGTGAGTAATTCTGAGGTTCGGCGGCGTGTGTTTGAACACAGTGGAGATCACCATTCATTGAATGTCGTCATCTGGAAACACCGGCTCCGGTGGCTTGGACATGTGCTGCGAATGTCACCCCAGAGGCTTCCGTACAGGTCTCTGCTCCTACCCCTGGGACGGGATGGAAAAGGCGGAGAGGTGGTCAGTCCATGACGTGGCGTCGTGGGATGAAGGATTTTTGTGCTAGATTAGCATCGGTTGGTGTGTCACGACTCCCTGGTTGGGGTCCGAGAGATAGCTCAAATCGATGGCTCGAAACGTTATCGGATATGGCCAAGAATCGTAATCAATGGCGAATGTGTTGCGATTTCCTTCTTTCTTCCCTTCCCGATGATAGTTAACGAACACTGTTTGAACTTGTTAAGCATGAGTGTTTTCCTTCCAGATGAAGTTCTTTATCCGTTCTTTACTTTTTTTACTTTTGATCTATGTTGTTTTATTATTATTGTGTGGCGCATCCTTCTTGGTGCCATATTGTACCAAGTTTTTTATGCGTTTAAATAAATAAATAAAATAGGCGTCGAGTGCTAGGGAGGTGGGAGGGGAAATCAAATAATGAGGTTGTGAAGGTATATCGATTCAGATGACTAGGATGTGTGTTACGCATGCCCAGCCATCGGCTTTGTCAGCGGGTAATGTTAGCTGACATAAGACGGATCAGGTTAGAAAAGAGCTAGTGGTGGTCAAACCGAAACATTGCTTCATCAGTCAATGAAATCCACAACAGTTAGTTTAATCCAGCCATGTAGGAAGGTGTAGACTTCCTGATTGGTTGGTTGGGATACTCAGGAAGGTAAAAACCAATGACATATGTCCTAGCCATCTCAATCAACATACCTCAACAAACCCATAGATTGACTTTCCCTGTTTACCTATAACACTTGACGCCTAATCTCAAATATTGCTTACCCTATTCTACCACCTAACACAGGAGATAGAACGCGTCAAATAATCAATACGATATGGAAAAAAAACTTGAGATTCACCTGATGATAAAACATTTCCGACTGATGTAAGTAATTGAAAACTACTCACATCAACCACAAGTTCGAAGAGATCAAAACTACAGAATGGCCGTTTAACTTGTTTGAGGAGTGAACTCAATAGCAGTGTACATGGATGAATTCAACTCAAGGAGCTTAATCAGATCAAACTACCTGCTATTCAGGCGAACTATTAATAGAAAGAATCAAGGCAGGCTCGTATACCATTTAGCCACTGGGACTCGATTCAATGACCTGGGTTCGAACCTCAGTGGCTGAGTACTGTCGATGATTCTCAAACTAGGGCGAAACAAATGTTCAGTACTCCCTGGATTTCAATGGTTCTCTAACTGATATCAATCTGTGATCAACTCGTAGAAACAAAACTAATTCTTACAAACCAACCATAGAGAACTAATATGATACTCGCTAGTGACTTGCTACAGGACAGAGTTCCCTGGAGTTCCAGTGAGAAGTCGTGACCAGTGAGGTGCATCCACTCAAATGAGAAGATGGATGTCCCACCGATGACACTGATTGGTGGTCGCGCTAAATGCATTACGATTTGGTAAAAGTTAAAATTCATGGGTCATTAAATCGGGTCCCAGTGGTTGAATGGTATACGAGCTTGCCTTGTAACCAGAAGGTTCTGGGTTCGAACCCCAGTGGGTGCGTACTGCTGATGATTCCCAAAACTAGGAAGAAAGAATCAAATTTGTCATTCGCACATTACATTACAGTGAGTTGTTCACTTTGGTTTCTTTGGGAAACAGAAGCTATTCCCAGATTACATACATCATGTGATCGCTTGATACGATAAATGGTCCCAAACAAGCAAAACAGCCCCTCAGAGTTCAAATCACTTAGACCTGTCTAGCGATGAATACTACCACCAGTTGACGTGAATGCTTTCCGATTATTCATATTACTCCGAAGTATATAATACCATCCGGTTGTCTCGCTTGCTTTCTTGATTGGCATTCATGGGTATCAATCAGATCACATATTGTAGCCTAAATAATTTCGATCACCATAGTAAATCGAGGTAGGATTTCACCTTGCACTGTGTAATTTGCACATGATAAAAATGCTTCTAAGATCAACTTAAGAATCAGAATTTAACTGAGATAAGATAATGCAAAAAAAAGTGGAACTCACTTCGACTGTTTCTTAGTACGAGAATTACCCCCGGCATCCTTTTCTTTCTGAGTTCCATTTACAGCTTGTTTAGATTGTTCACATTTTGTAACAGATTGATTCGATTTTTCGTTTGACTTCTTTACAGCTGGTTTGTTAATCGTTTTATCGACGGTAAGTACTTCTACTGGTTGTGGTGCTGCTTCTGTTGTCGTTGTTGCCGCTGCTGTGGCTGCGGCAACTGCCGGTGATGCTGATGAGACGGAGGAGGAATCATTTTCTAACAATTTCTGTTTCGCTTTCAATTTACCCTCTTTTCGAGCTTCTTTTTTCTCAGCTTTCTTTCTTTCCAGTTCAGCTGCTTTTGCCGCCTCTTCTGGTGTCATGTCACTTTTAACAACCTACAATAACAGAAAAAGAACAAACAATACACACATTTGGTGATAAGGGGAGGTGTGTGCGAACAAGAGAAACTTTATTTCATATGGTTATATTCTCTAACCTGGATGATTTCACCGCGAAGTCTACACTGAACATCTTCAGAACAAGCTTAGCTTTATTAAATCACCCAGGTCACAGAGAATGGAATCTACATCACTGTCACACTCACCTGAGCTACAAATTGTCACTAATTATTTCAGCAATAGACACACTATCCTAGAATTTTAACAACACTTCAAAATGAATGTATGATTATTACTATATCTCTCTTGGGTTTCGAGGGGATTATATAGAGCTTCATCAATCAGCAAATCTCCATTTTGTCCTGCTCACGGAAGTCTCCTCATCAATTGGCACCACGATCGTCCATAAGCTTGCCTGATCACCTCCTCGCCACACGATCTTCTCCAAATGTCACCCTCGGACACATGCCTCACTTGTCCTTTCGCATTCGGGTTCCACTCGAACAATGGCTTGGCGAGCGATATCATTCGACACAGACTCCTCAAAATGTGGACGACTCATCGCCATTTTCTTCAGAATATGAGTTGAGCAATAGGTTCTTCGTTGGTTTGCTTCCAAATTCCTTTGTTGCTAATTCGTTTTAACCATTTGATCTTCAAAATGGAGCCACATATTCAGTCTTCCCCCTCCCACGCACAGTGTCCCACATAACCCAGTCCACCATAATTAGGAATATCATCGTGGGTGAGAGCAGGCAGCCTTCTCTTCCTCCTGTATCCACTTCAAAGGCTTTACTGAGTTTGAATGCATATCAATAAGGCATATTCGCAACTACAGGAGGAACGGACGAGGATGTCAAATCGAGCGAGAATCGGGAAGGCGAGAAACACATAAACTCATCAACCTGAAACCAATCTGGAAATCTTCGTCACTCAGCATCAACAACAAAATTTGCTCGAATTTTCAATACAAACAAAGTCAAGTCAGTCAGTTCTTCTATACGGATCAGAAACTTGGCTGGCGGGTCACAAAGAATATTTCGACCAACAGCCTGTTGCAGACCTTTATCAACAACTAACTGTCTTCGCTCTATACTGAAGATCAGATGGCCGGGCCAGAAAGAATCACCAACAAGAAACTATGGCTGGGAACAAAGAAAACAGGTACCAATTGCCGCCCAACAAATATGCAGGAGAAAGTGGATTGAGATGGATTTGACACTCGTGGCTGAGGAGGCCGCTGGGTGACATCGCGCGAGTGTCAGGCCATTGCTCGAGTGGAACCAGACCGAAAGGAAAGCAGCGAGTGGGTCGTCAGTGCAAAGGTGACATTGAGGAGATCGTGTGAATAGGAGTAGAAACAGTATGGAATAACATGGATGCAGGTACAACAAGTACATCAGAAGACAGAAGTGGCAAGTGGAGACGTGCAGCTGAAGCTGTATGTTCCACTAGGAACCCAAGGGAACAATAATAATAATAATCAATAAGGCATGTAGTTAGATCACGTGGAGATTCACAACGACATTTAGCTAACAAAAGAATATCCGAAGTCCCGAAACCAAAAAAAAAAGAAATACTACAAAACCACTCACTTTATTAGCTTTAACTGATCCTGATTTAGAAGACACCTGTGAAACTTGAGAATTGGTGACAGCGCCTTCATCTTTTGATGTACCATCGGGGATTTGAATAAGGACACAAGGGGATTCATGACCAGTAGCTGCACTATAATAATTAAAAGAAGAAACAAATCCAATGACTAATAGTCACAAAAAATAGTTTAAAATACTTAAACCTGTCCTTGAAAAGTTTGTCCATTGTGGAATCGATCAATTCACCATGCTTAGGTTTGTCTTGTAACCGGAAGTATCTGGGCTCGAACTGCTGAAAAGTTCCAGACTACAGCGAAACAAACGTACATTACTTTCTAGTTTACAATGGGTTCCCTGAGTGATATCGATCTGTGATCGAACTTGGGAACAAATCAAATCCCTAAAAAGTAACTCTGGAATATTCTTAATGATTGTCCACATATTATAATTTTTTTCAATATTCAAGTATCAATTTCCAGGGATTTGATTGATCCCGACATCGATCACGAACTGGCTTCAGTTAGTGAACCACTGAAAACTAGGGAGTATTGGACACCTGTTTTGTCCTTGTTTGGGACTCCTCGCACAGCACGGACCTTCAGGTTATACATGGCGAGCTCGTTGACCATCCGGTCACTGGAACAGAATCCAATGGTGCCGATGAATTCTAATTCCTGTTAATTCGCGATGTATAACGCAGTCACCGGACAGAGAGTCAGCGAGTTTTCGTCCTATATACCTAAATTGGTTGACCACCCACCTCAGTCCTGGTCACAACTTCTCTCTAGAACCTCAGGTAACACTATGAATAAACAATGTCAACGATCGTTGTGATCCTTGAGGCAGGAATCCTGCTCTAAATATCAGGCATAGACTGTCTGCAATTGATGAATTGTAATAACCCCTTTTGTATCCCTTAACTAGCATACATTCGACACTTTAAGACCTGACACTTATCTTCCACTTACAGTAATAAAATCCAACGGGACTATATCTGACCAATGAATGAATTCATTACCCCACCACTAGGCAACATCTTCAGCACATACTTCGATTCGGTGAAGTGAGCCTTTAGATTTCTCCATGAGTTTATTAGTAATTTCTCCCGGTGGATGACCTTGAGAGTGATTGGTTGTTTTTGTGTGTTTATACACCTTCTAGGAGGCTACTTGTATTCGAACTGATTGTTTCCTTGACTTGAACTTTGATCCTTTGTGACTGTGAGGTTTCTTTCTAATCGGTTGATAAATTTTGTCGATCTCGATGTGTCTATTGATTGGTGATTCACTGGAATACCAGGCAGGCTTCTAAAAATTCTCTGGCCAGCATTCTTGTTGTTTCCTCTGTCTGATATTTGAAGGTTGTCTCAGTCGAATTGATGCCCGTGGTTGTCTGTATGTAGTGTAGCGATATGAGGTAGTGGATATCATGTCTTCTGACGGCTAGCTTATGTTCGTGGATACGAAGACGAAGAAGAGGGTAGTCCACTTTGGCCAATGTAGTGTTTTTCGCAGTTGTTACAATTTATTTTGTAGACAAACAGCCAAGGACATTAATTACTTTTTTTTTACTTTACTTCGGCTATCTCCTACGGGAGGATGAGCCGGCTTCATGAACGTCTCGAATCATCGCTGCCCAGGTGCGGCAATTTGTAAGAGAGTTCATGAAGTTTCATGGGAATTTGGTACGAGTGATGTCCCCAGAATCGCTCGGCCTTTTGTTTGAGAGTGCAGCTCTAGCCTTTACACAGCCAAGTGTGACCTACAAGGCAGTAGGAGTGGAGTAAGGAGTCCACTATCCATTGGCAGCCGGTGACCGGAGTTCGGTTCATACGCCTTTTTGAATGGGGCCAGACATCCAGGACATCCAACAAGCCCTTTGTCCATACGTCTGCCGGTGAGCTCCGGTGAGCTTCATACGCCAGTCGTTGGAGGTTTGGAATCAGGGTTTAGCCATCTCCCCTAGACCGTCATCCAATGGACAGTCAACCCGGTGGAGAGCACCGGGCATCCGCTTTCGCCCTCTTACTTTGGTGAGAAACACCTGCGCCACGTGAAGGCAGTGAGTAGGACTTCCTCAGGAGAGGCTATGTAAGACGCCCGGTCATATGGGAGCATTTCAAGAGGACATTAATTCGATTATGACAACGTTCAAATATTAGACTGAGGAAACAAGAATGCTGGTCGGAGAATTTTTAGAAGCCTGCCTGGTATTCCAGTGAATCATCAATCAATAGACACATCGAGATCGACAAAATTTATCAACCGATAAGAAAGAAACCTCACAGTCACAAAGGGTCAAAGTTCAAGTCAAGGAAACAATCAGTTCGAATACATGTAGCCTCCTAGAAGGTGTATAAACACACAAAAACAACCAATCAAGTCCAAGGTCACCCACAAGGAGAGATGATTGATAAACTCATGGAGAAATCTAAAAGATCACTTCACCGAATTGAAGTATGCGCTGAAGATGTGGCTTAGTGGTGGGGTAATGAAAGCTTCGCAAATTAATCATCCAGATAGCTCAGAGAACACAACCACATCAAAAGCACTAATCTTCACAAGTCTCTGAAACATGATTTGTTGAATTTCTTTCTTTACACCGACTAATATTAAAATTAAGGCCAGGGACAGACATGTACCTGAATGAGATGTCGTTCGATTTATTCGTCTTTACACATTTATTATCCGACTTTTTGTTCCATAATATTTTGAATGACAAAGAATGCATGGTCAAATGATAATACATTAATCTCCTTAGACGTTTTAATCGACCCCAATTAACATCCTGGTACGACCAAGGGCCGGCAGACCCCAGTTCCCGGCTTGAAATACTCTCATGTGACCAAACATTCATAGCCTCTGTCACGTAAGTCCTATTCACTGAATTCATAATGCGGTGGGGTTCCCCATGAAACTGAAGAAGTGAATGTGAACGTCCGGCGATTACCACGCGACTGTTGGATATGTGGGTCTACTTAGGAGGAGTTGAAAAATTCTGATTCAAAAACATACAGCTCCAGATTCCGAAATGAACTGGCGTCCAAGGAAGCGTAGTTCCTAACACTGCTCCACAGCCTTGTAGACCAGACTCGAGGGTAACAATCACCTACCTGCTTCGGTTTGGACGTCAAGGCCAATAGTATCCTAGCCCCCACATAAACTGCGAGATTTTGTGTAGCGCATCCCTTAATGCTCATAATGTACCAATTTTGTGTTTTAATCATATAGTATACGTCCTAATCAATAACTCACCAACCTGGACATCTTTCCCTCGAAGCATAACAAAGAGATTACCCGCAGTTCAACACCTTAGTTCGATTTAGATGATGAAGGCAAGTCAACGTACTTCTGTTGGTGAAACTATGTACAATCGTCTTTATTTCGGTTAACTCATATTGACTGAATGGGGTGAAGATTGGGGTTTAAATGGATGACGGGGTATCAAATCCTACGACAACTCGGATTTTCGGTATTATTTCAATCTATAATGGAATAATATCATGGCAACCGACATTCTTTAATTATGAATTTAGCTCTCCATATCCAAGAAACAATTATTCCCCGCAAACCAAATAAAAATAAAATCATGATGTACAATCGAAATGTGGCTTCAAGTATTCAGAAGGCACAAACAACGGTGGAAATCTTTCAGATATCATTTAGTTGATGATGGTGACTAGCAGCAGAATCCACAAAGTGAACTTCGTCCTGTTTCAGACTCGTCATCTGGACTCGAACTCAGCACCTGTCGTTTCAAACTCAAAAGCGTTATCCATCACTGGCCACTGGCCAACCACATGCCATCATGTTAACCCTAAGGCGATAATCGAAGCATCTGTATAAGGAGTTGACATGACAACGAAAATCCAATGTTTCACGTGGGGAATTCAAACTAATAGTTTTCAACAAATATTAATAAAATACTTACCAAGATACTTCATAAGGCGCATCACAGATATAGAAACCACGACGTTGGAGTTGTACAATATCGCCTTTTTTAAGGTTGGATAAATCATTATCCCCAAGTAGGCATTGTTCTTTCTGAAAACAAGACAACAGGGGAAACAATTAAAACTATAAACCAAATTTACAAAACTTTCAGTTGAAATAGGGTTGGAAAAGCAAGAGAATACGAATGGTTGTTTGGTGAGAACTGTCTACAAGCCATAATTGCAAACAACAAATTAACGTCAATGTTTACGCCCCATATCGGAGTCATGAGACTTATTATACCTTATTATACCATTTCACACGGGAGATACAAGGCAGACACCTATGATCAAAGACAGCCAGCCAGCCTTTTCATGTCTTCCAGTCTCAATGGCCAGGTCTCACAGCCATAAAAGAGGACGGAGCGAACTGATGAACAGTACAAACGCCCTTTGGTCGATAGTCGGATATCACGTCTACGCCAGAGATGGCGTAAACTGCCATTCGCGAAACTAGCCCTCTGTATCCGTACTCAACTGAGATTTCATCAGAGATCAACCCTCTGGCGTTGGCTGATGCAACTTCCCAAATAAGTGAAGCGGTCAACGTGCTCCACCACTTTACTCCCTATCTCTAAACTAGGAGTCAGTGTAGTCCATTCCTGTAACATCATCTTACATTTGGCGGGAGCGAATCGCATGTCAAATATTCGTAAATTGGAGCTCAAGGTGTGCAGAAGTCGCTGCATTTTGTCAGCGTCCTCGCCTAGAAGGACTATATCATCTGCATATTCTAAGTCCGTGAGATTATTCCCTGATAGCAAGTCAATCTCTGAGTCCCTGAAGTGAGTTACGGTTAAGTCCATTAGTACATCTATGATGAAAGTGAATAGAAACGGGGATAATGGACATCCCTGATGGACACCACTAGTCGTCACCACTTCATATGACAACTCGCCGTAAGTTGTCACCTGGCTGCATGACTTCGAGTGGCCTTGATCAGTGCAATGTACCGTTAGCTGTCACACACACACACACACTAGGCGTGGCTTGTAACCAGATACAGAGGAAATATGATCCAGATATAACTGTGTTTTAACGAACTGGCTAGCAAGCAGGCCATGTTGCTTTTTGTCAACCAAATATAGTATAGAAATCCAACAGCAGAATCCACTGCAAAACATTTATTATTAATATCTGATCACAAAATCAATACTAATGTAACTGCATCTCACAGTTATTTCACCAACTAACTCTAATTAAAGGTTGGTTAAAGGTGGTATATGGATGGAAGCACTTTGGCTTAATCATCATATACAGAGAAAACAATAGACTTCAAAAACTTGATCTACAATGGACTACTTGACCTAATAAATTATGACTGGTTGTTAGTACATACTTTTGTTTTATAAAACTGAGTAATTATTGCATACATCTTATTCTATTATTGTTAACTATTCCAGTTAATTGTAAAGCGATTGCAGAGAAACTACAAAATGATGCCATCTTGAGATATTGATCATCTTAGCGCTATATTTAAATTAATCAAACAGACTAACTGTTTAAGTATTATTTGTGTTTACATACTCTGTACTCTGTAGAACACATTAAAAATATAACACAACATGAAAAAAACAATAGCACCTTACGTATTTACTCTTCATGTAAGCAGTATACATCATAACCAGTAATTACCTGGCTTCGAACCCTAGTGAGTGAGTACTGTTGAAGTCCCAGACTAACTAGGACGAAACAGTTTTCCAGTAACACCCAGGTGTTTTCCAAAAGGTCCTGTAACCAATCGAATCCCTGCACACACCAGCACGTGAATATTAATCCAATGCTCACTAGCGACTAGCCTTATTCAAGTAGGTAGTTAATGGGGTTTTGTAGCGGGAAGTCGTCACCGGTGAGGTCCACCCGGTTAGGTGTGAGGACAAATACTCGCCACAGATGGCGTTGACTAGTAGTCGCACTATGTCATGAATTGGCACAAGCCGAAATTCATGGACTATTGGATTGAGTCCCAGTGGCTTAATGGTCTACGAGTTAGCTCACCTTGTAAGTGGAAGGTCCCAGGTTCGAACCTCGGTGGGTGAGTACTGTTGAAGAGTTCCAGACTCACTAGGACGAGATAGTAGTAGTACTTAAGTTTTACAATGATCCTCTACTCTAACTGATGTCAGAACAGGTAACATTTTCATACCAATAGAAAAAAAACAAAGCCAACATTACCTTTGAATCCTTGTTAACAAATAGTTTAAAGTCATCATCTTTGCCCAGAACTGCTTTATTCAAAAGATTATCATATATTAAACAGCTGACCGGAATCAATTGTGGATGTGACTTGGATGGTTTAGCTAACCAAGTGACTTTCAGTGTCTTCTTATAATCCTTGATAAGTAAAGACAAAGAAAATAAAAAGTAAACAAGAAACCCATAAATAAACAGCATGTATAGCTTAGAAAATAAAAGCAAATAATGACTTATAATGATAACATACAACGACGATTGACGTTCACATCTTAGAAAAAGTTGTATAATCAACGGTGGCTGGCTGTCAAAGGTCGGGTATACAATGCTTCGGTGCGGCTGTCTTGCTCTACGCCTGTGAAACCTGGTCTCTCCGAGTAGGCTGAGGATATGCGGCGGCTCTGCGTGTCCGATCATCGCTGTATCCGCAGAATTGCTTGCCTTCGATGGCATCATCGAGTGAGTAATTCTGAGGTTCGACGGCGTGTCTTTGAACACAGTGGAGATTACCATTCATTGAGTGTCATCATCTGGAAAACTGGCTCCGGTGGCTTGGACGTGTGCTGCAAATATCATCCCAGAGGCTCCCGTACAGGTCTCTGGGACGGGATGGAAAAGGCGGAGAGGTGGTCAGTTTATGACGTAGCATCGTGGAATGAAAGATGTTTGTGCTAGATTAGCATCAGTTGGTGTGTCACGACTTCCTGGTTGGGGTCCACGAGATAGCTCGAGTCGATGGCTCGAAACGTTATCGGATATGCCCAAGAATCGTGATCAATGACGAACATGTTGCAATTTCCTTCTTTTTTCCCTTCCTGATAACAGTTAATGAATACTGTTTGAACTTGTTAAGCATGAGTGTTTTCCTTCCAGATGAAGTTCTTTATCCGTTGTTTACTTTTTTTACTTTTGATCTATGTTGTTTTATTATTATTGTGTGGCGCATCCATCTTGGTGCCATAATGTACCAAGTTTTTTCTGCGTTTAAATAAATAATAAATAAACAGTGAAGCTTTGACAGGACTTTATTACCCTGATAAGCTACGCGGCATGCATCAGTTTATGCTGTATACGTCTGGTAACACAGAAAACCCTAGTTACGTACTACCCAGTGTGTTCAATCAAAATAACGAATACAGTCCCCTACAAGAGGTCAATCACGAGTTCCAATCGCTCAGTGGTAATGTCTCTAACTGAAACAATGGGTGACACTGGTTTTTTAATCTCACAGGGTATATGGGTTCCTTTGAAGTTTCATATACGCCTTGCCGACCGGTGAGTGACAAATAAGCACTAAACCTAAGTGGCCCAAGGTTGCCTTCCGATTGCCTCCAACCATCTAATAAAACAAAATATGCACATGCCAATTCAAAATAATTATTATGCGATATGAAAATAATAATAATAATAATAGTGATAGCTTTATTCTGAACAGTGATCATATAATGTACAGAATTTTTAGCAGAGACTACTGCATGATATTTTCTCCCCGTCCAGGATCTTTAAACAAACGATTATTTAAAATAACTGTTTTTATAACTGAAAGAAAAAATTAGGTGAATTTCATGAAGACTGAGGGAATAAGGATCAGACACACGGCGAACGAAAAAATGCTCAAAAGGAAAAGAGGGAACGAGAAAAGACGGAGAAGAAAAGAGCGGAAGCAAAGGGAACATACCAAACTAGGTCCATGGTAGTTGTAGAGGTTGGACTAATTTCTTTTGAACACACAGCTCCGGCTTTTCGATGCATATTCCGAGAGCTTCTGCAGTACAAGAAAGTCGGAAACATACTGCTTTTGGTAGGTTTCTGTTGACTTTCTAAATCACTTTGAAAGAATCGGTTGAGATTTTGTGGGAGGTGTTGACCAGGTGTTCAATAATTGGCACTTCTGATTGAACCGGTGCCTCCCCTCTTTGCAGCCACGCTGGGTAATGTTCTCTAACACGTTTTGAAAGGACGCGCATACAACGAACTATGTACCTAGCTCCGCACGAGCAAGTGAACTGGTCATATGCGAGAGTTTGTCCTTTGTGTTGTTTCGAAGTATTGAACGGCTAGAGAATGTCACTCCTCCTAGTGTCGCTGCAGGGAAGGTCTTCTTTAAAGAGCTAGATATTCTCCTCTTTAGGATATCAACTGTGTGTTCAAAAGAAGTTAGTCCAACCTCTACAACTACCATGGACCTAGTTTGGCATGTTCCCTTTGTTTCCGTTTTATTTTTCTCTTCTTCGTCCTTTTTTCATCCTCTCTTTTCCTTTTGAGCATTTTTTCGTTCGCCGTGTGTCTGATCCTTTTTCCCTCAGTCTTCATGAAATTCACCTAATTTTTTCTTTCAGTTATAAAAAGATTATTTGACAGCAGATCGTGTGACACACAGTTCTGTCTGACCTGAACCATTATGATATCTCTTCTTTTTCTTCTAGGAGGTATACACGACGACATTTCGTTGAATGTCAATCATAAAAAAGTTCAGGATTAAAGACCCAAAGATATAACTCAAGCACATTTGTCTCATGTACTGCGATACCTTGCGACACAAGATTATGCTTTTTCGCATGTTTAATAGAAACAAGCGAATTAGCAGGTTGCAAATGTTTTAAATACTCATCTGAGTAAACAATACTATTAAAGGTCATACTTTTTTCAGATTTAAACAAAGAGAAGTCATATGCATTATATTGATGGAGGTTTTCAATAGCCTAAGTTTTAAAACACGCCGCCTCAACATTCAGTTACAATTGCACACAGTTGGCATTGAGTGACATCCATACTGTGAGAAGGCTAGTGATACGTCAATATATGAAGAGAAAATAGGGAGAGAATGAATAAAAGCTTTTACATCCAGAGAGGAAGCCACTATATTTAACAAGACCAAACAACATCCGTCGTATTACTGTCAGAAACAGAGAAAAGAAGGAAATTGCAGTATGTTCGCTATTAGCTCCGATACTTGTCCATACCTGATAACGTCTCGAGACACCGATTTGAGCTATTTCTCCGACTTCAACCAGGGAGTCATGATGTACTCAACCGATGCTAATCTAATACAAATATCCTTCATCCCATCACGATACCACTTCATGGGCAAACCACCTCTTCGCTTTTTCCATTCTGTCCCAGGATTAGCAAACAGAGACCAGTACAGCAGCTTCTGGAATGATATTTGTAGAATCGAAACGAATCGAATGGTGTATGAACCTGTATTTGTCACCAGCAACCACAAGAACGTAGCTTCTGACGTTGTTCCGCTGCCTTGTGTAGATGAGACTTCAAGTCAAAGGCGGTTTAACAAGGTAAGTAATGTTGACGTTAGGTGTAGAGTGTTGGGCAAACAGGGAAAATCAATCGACGAGGCTATAAAATTACACAGATTGAGATGGCTAGGTCACGTGCTGCGAATGCCTAACCATCGCCTCCCCCGACCACGGGCATTACTAGCTGATATAGGTTCAGGTTGGAAAAGGGTAAGTGGTGGCCAAACAAAAACATGGCATCAATCCATGAAATCCTTGACAGTTAAACTGAGTAAGGTAGGGAAATGCAGACTTCCGGGTTGGAGCCCTCGGGACTCTAGGAATCAATGGCTGGAGACAATAGGTGACATGGCTCAAAATCGTTGTCAATGGCGCATATGTATTCAGTCTCTGTAATCTTTCATATTCCTTTCTACCATTACCCATTCTGTTTCACTCTTATATTTGTCAAACTGTATTGATTCTCTTCACCCATCTTCTTGTCTACTTCTGTGTGCTATTTGGAACGTGGCAACTCGAACTGCCGCACTTCGGTGCCAAGTTATATGTTGAATCCAGACAGACAGACAGTCAAAGGCTCAGTGAGGTGATCCTTTAAGACAGCTACCTGCTTCGGTTTGGAAGCCCAGGCATTATGCCAACCCTTGAACTAACAATGAAACAACAACTAGTAATACTTACTACCTAGATACCAAAACTTCGGTAGGTAGAACGGGGTTCGGAGCAGTAACCAACTACTGGTTGGAAGTTGAGCGCCTGAACCTATGAGCCACTAAGAGAAGTTGGACTATAAAGAGATTATAACACACTGGTATTAACGATTAAAGTTACCTTGAGCATTTTTCTACTAACCAGAAATAATTAGGGAGTATACTAAACGGTGATACAGATCTATCGATGAAAAGAAAATGCCAAGTTAAAATTAACTTCATTTGAGATATCTGTCGGTGCGTTGGTCTTCCAGTGGTAGAATGTTCATCACAAAGCAAACAGAAGATCTACGTGCGACTCCCGCCCCCCACAGACACACTCTACACCTCAACCACGTTCACTAGCCAGTAGTGGACCCGTAAAAGGAGAAAGGTTGGGTGTGAGAATGCCGACCCCGCCATTGCTTCTAAAACTTTAAAGACTAAAGCTATATGCGCTAGACAGAACGCAAGGCATGGAAACACGGTGGAGAAAGGTATCCCGAACAGGTATCCTTCGGGAAATAATACTTGACTCCAATTATTACAGTGAGTAACCTTATCCATAAGAATCACATGTTACAAATGTACCCCATTCGTTCAAGCAATCAATATTAAACCAATGGATCCTGAGATCGAATATCGCTACAGTTAATTCAGCCCGGGCAATTAATTAGTATCATCAGCCCCCATGTAATAAGTGTGGCTTATACCTCACGGAACCGAGTAAGAATTACACACAAATACAAAGCGTTAAACATTTCACATACTACAATATTCTTAAGTATAGTTTGAAATAATTTTCTCAGAAAAAAATTAAGCGGATAAAATTAATTTATGAGGGGTAACAAAGAACTTACCGTATCCTCTAAATTAAGGCAAGCATCAATTCCAATTATCACTTGGCCTTCTTTATGTATATCAATGATACGTAGATTACCCCAATGGATAAATGTTACATTTTCACCTTTCTTGAACAATACTGCATCAGCTTGTTCAACAAATACTTCCGGACCAAGCAGTATAGGACGATGTCCTAGAGACTCATTTTTTGGATGAATTGGTACCTAAAATTGTTAGTTTTTTTTTAAGAAAAAGTGATCATAGTTTATAACCAAAAGCATAAGGATCCATCAACCAAAACTAGTTGTAATTAGGGATTAATATCTAATACACTGAACATGTCTCCATAGCTCAACCATCAAAGCACTGGTTTTCTAAACTAAGGTTAGGGGTTCGACTCTCCTTTGGCGCAGATAACTTCTCCCAGTGGTTAAGTGGTTTACGAGCTCTCTCGTGACCGGAAAGTCCTGAGTTCGAACCCCAATGGGTGCGTAACGGCGAAGCAGCCGTCTAGTACCCCCTGTTTAAACAATGACGGATGTGGGAAAGTGGTGTGCAGAATTGTTTAAACCCGCTAACTGCACTGGAACTTCGTGATGGAAGAATCATAACACTTCGCTGACGACTCTATGATACCATCCCACAAACAAATTTTGTAGCTCTCTTGACCAAACGCATAATACTGTGCGGCGATTGTCCAGTAGTAGAATGTTCACCAAAAACGCATGTGCTCCGGAGTTTGATCCCGGCCCAGTAAAGAGGGAAGATTGGGCATGATCTTGTAGCAACCTGACTCCGTAAAAAATAAACACCACCGCTACTGAAAATTCAGAGCTCAAGCTCAAGGCCCTATGTTCCTTCAGGAACGTAAAGGAATACAACAAAAAGTGTTGAGCATAGTTAAGTGTAAAAAACCGAAAAAGTAGCTTCGAAAAAATATATTATCTAAGGTCGACTTATCAGGAGCAGTGATCAACGGGAAGTCGGCTCTTAACGTTTAATCTCAAATCACATTACATTCTACTGAATACCATTATCACATTGCGACCTTGATTGGAGGGTTTCTACAAACATTTAGAACCAGAAAACTAAACTGATCACCATCCACCCACTAGTAAGCTTTGATGCCCTACATAAAAAAGTGTAGAAATTGGGCACTGTGGTAAAATGTAATTCCATAGCATATACGAAAACCTACCTGCTTTTCAACATAATCTGTTTGACCTTGTACTCGTACACAAACCAAACCAGGCGGTGTACCATCATGACTTTTAAATGAGAATCTAGTAAAAGAGCCGTAGATCTTGGAGCTATTGGTTCAATGATTTTTTTATTAAACGACCATATTTTATCCCATTCCATTAAAGCAGATGATCGGCTTGATCCTTGAGCTAATATAAACTGGCGTAGACCTTCAGAGGTCATACCACGACGAAGTATCCCAGAAACTGTAGGCATTCTAGGATCATCCCATCCATCGACAATGCCTTCTTCTACAAACCATGTAAGTTTACGTTTTGATAAGACAGTATTCTGAAGGGCGAGACGACTATAGTCAATTACCATTGGACACCGTATGCCTAGGGGAGGGGGGCAATTAAGAAAAAGGTAAAAAGGTCATCAATGAATGCATTAAACAAAGTCTACAACATCTGTAACACTGAGTGAGTAGTATTCAGGTTTATCTGCATAATAACAAAATTCAGAATTCTCTGTATACAAAAATGTTTTAAGTAGGCTGTTTTTATTCATAACCAGTTACAAAATCTTTAAATATTCCGATTTATAATATTAGAACAAGACATAAAAGCGAACAGTATTGTTTTCATTTAGTTCTTCTCTAGGCTTCACTGTAATTTACATAGATTTATATATAAAAATTTTAACTAATGACAGGGATTTTATGGATCAAATAACAATAATAACGTGGTAAATGTTTTGAAAATAGTTAATAACGATGATTATAATGATAACAAAATATTGATAATAAGGTGTATGCAAACGGCGGTAAGAATAACAAAGGAAGTCAGTGATATGTGTATATGTTGACAATTCAATAGATAAATAAATTAGGTTAAATCTTAAAAATTACGTAATACTAAGGGTAGGTGAAGTGGACAGATAATTAGAGTTTAAATAAATATCATAAAAATACGAAGATGAAAAATAAGGAAGGTTGAGAGGGTTTTGAATAGAATTCACCTAGGCCAAAAGAGAGACAAAGGTAGAACAAACTTCTTTTGTTGTATGCAAAGACTAGGATTGTTCTCTCGAATTTCCATAGCCTAGGCTATGTGTAAAGTACGGATTCGAATTCCGTTCGAAAGGCTCGATGGAATGCGATAGATAACTTTGAAGGCACTATTTTTGTCCATTTGGTGACCTCTATCATCAATCAAATGAGCCAAAATAGAACTTCGTATGGATTTTATTTGACCTTTTCCGAACCATGAAGGAAGATACTCATTGATGCGTTTGTTAAGCTGTCTAGTTGTTCGCCCTATATAGGTTTCTCCACAGGAGCAACTAAATTTATAGATACACATGGAAGTGGCGCAGCTAGGTAGCTTGTCTTTCACTTGAGCAATCAAAATTGGTCGGTTAGCTGGAAAGTGACAAACAGAGGGTGGCGGCAGTATAAATCCATTCTATCGCTTTCGATAATCTCAGATGTAAGACTTCGCTAGCCATGTCCCCATTAAATTGCAATTTCGTGAACAGTTGTTTCTTTTCAACTGTTGTCAGTTTCTCTTTATTGTACTTGGTGTTCATGTGTCTCCTTGCAAATCTACTAGGATAACCCATTTGAACCAACGTATTTTGGATGTATCCTAGCCCATTTTCTAGGGAGTCATCTGTACAGATACGTCTTGCTCTATTCGTGAGGCATCTGACCAAACCGATTTTATATCGGATTGGCACAAAACTGAGGAAATGTGTATATTGTTCTACAATGTAGGTTTTCTATAAACATCTCTCTTGAGTGAACCATTCTCTCTTCTGCTCAATTGAACGTCAAAAATGTAGTCTACCATCATGTTCTTCTTCACAAGTGAAGACGAGCGACGGATATGCATCATTAAACTTTTTTAACATTTCATTCTTGTCAGCTTTTACATCAAGAATAATAAACGTATCATCAGCATAACGAAAATAAGAATCCGTTTTCTCTACTACTTGTTTCAATGGACCATTTTTAATCGTCTTCATGTTTATGAATTTCATACAAGAATTCCTCTTTTATAAATTTGAGCAGAGAATGAACAAACATTGGTGTAGAATAACACGGATCCATTTTATTTCGTTGGTTGTCAACAGTTGTTAGGGTGGTAACAAAAATTAGTTACAATTACGTAGTTAGATAAGAGAAGATCAAAATTTGGTGTGTAACAGGTCGAATGAAAATATGATGACGCGATATCATAAGGTCAATAAGAGTTTAAGTGTTGGTTTGTAGGGATTTGATTGGTTACAGGATTTCGTCATGAGTTGACAACAGTTAGAGAACAATTGGAAGACGAGCAGCAGAGTAATGGACAGCTGTTTTGTCCTAGTTTGGGACTCTTCAACAGTACGCTAGGGGTCGCGCGATGTCGTCAATTGGCAGAAGTTAGAATTCATGGGCCATTGGATTGGATCCCAGTGGCTCGCCTTGTAACCAGAAGGTCCTGGGTTCGAACCCCGGTGGGTGCGTACTGATGAAGGGTCCCAAACTAGAACGAAACAGCTGTCCAGTACTCCCTTCAGGTTTTCCAATGGTTCTCTGACCAATGTCAACTCGCGATGACATCCTGAAGTCAATAAGAATTATTCATTGTGGAAGTCAGACAGAAAAAAGGAGGGAGGGTAGAAAAGATAGGTTAATGAAATTAGAAAAGTTACTAAAGGATGAGTTATCAAGGTAATCGAAGTCCATGACAGATTGCTTTTGAACAAATCGGTCAAGGTCTTAGCCATTTTATTGCGGTAGCCTCGGCAAACCGAAAAAGATTCGGGCTATTTCGTCTTTTAATTATTTTGAACGATGCCAACGCGTCTATTCAGTGGCCAGTGTCTATCAAGTGTTTGGTGACTAAAAAGATTAAATTACTTGAACTCTTCAACCGAAAGCTCCTTGGTACATATTCAAAGAATCTGGCATACGTCCTTCTTTCTGTTCTTCAAATGTAACTGCTCCTGCAGATACACATGTGAATTGACATACACAGTTGGCAGTAACATATGAGGGGTACTTGTCTATCTTTGATTGCACCAACGAGGAGGATGTTCGGAGCAGATAGACTAGTTTTGCTGCAAGATTCGTCCTGACATTCTGCATCAATATTTGTTCTTTCCCTGCACAAATTTTATGTTTATGAATGAATTGTATCGAGTGTTTATTTTATTTCACATTGAGTTTCTTGACTATTTTGAATGGATGATTCACATGTAGTGGCTCATTTGAATCACTGGGCTACCTGAATTCCCACACAACACAAAATGCATCTATCATATTTTCTCTAATTCTTATTGTTTTGACCATTCAATTATCCCCTCAGGTCGCAAAATTTACTCGCCCATATATTTATTGACTAACTTTCAAACTACCGGTGGGCTCTCCCCCTCGGAGAAGAAAGGAAAATACCATGAGGAATTAGTTTAAGCTTCAGATTGAACAGCATTGAGTCACATGACATACTATAAGAAGAAGATTATGGAAAAAGATAAAATATTGTGCGAAAATCACCCTTTAAATGCAGTACGCTGTGTAAACATCTTGTCCAGAATGAAGCTGTTATTTGGTTACAGGATTTCACCGTCAGTTAGAGAACCATAGGAAAACCACCACCGAAGGTACTGGGCAGCTGTTTCGTCTGCCTAGTTTGGGACTCTTCATCAGTACGTACCCACCACACAAGGGTTCGAACCCAGGACTTTCTGGTTACAAGGCGAGCTACCTCGTAGACCATTAGGCCACTGGAACCCGACCCAAAGGCCCATGAATTCTAGCTTCTGTCAATTCACGACATAGCGCGACCGCTAACCAATGTCTTCGGCGAATATTTGTCCTCACACCCAACTTGCTGCACCCTACTAGTCACGACTTTCCACTAGAACTCCAGGTAACTACCCACCTGAATACGGCCAGTCGCCAGTACTCCCAGGTTTCCCAATGGTTCTCTAACCAATGTCAACTCGTGATGAAATCGTGTAACCAATCAATAAAATCAAATCCCTACAAACCGATACTTGAAGCTGTTATTATTATTACTGTTAAAAAGGATATTTCTAAATTTATCAAAGATTTTAATGCTAGTATCCTCTAAGTTACTTTTGTTCTCTACACTTAATCGCTCTTTGAAGTAACTAAGATTGATACTCATATATCGACTATGAACTCCGTATAGCAATATTAAGTGGGTGAAGATCCCCTCAAGACTCGAAACCTCAAGAAAATTTATACACCCCCGGCAGAGATTCGAATCCAAGTTCGATTATTGTCGTAGTATATGCAGTATTGAGTAGGGACAGGACATTGGTTTCCTTTCAGTAATTAATTCGACTGACAGGTTTCAACATAGAACTTTGCACAGAAGTGCAGCAGTTCAAGTTGCCACACTCCTTGTAATACCCACAGAGGAAGGCAAAAGACACAAAACAGACATACAAAAACACGATAATAAGCAGAAATTTGAGACAGAAAGAATACTGACATGGAAAAACATTAGGGTTTTATTGGATATGGTGGAGAACAAAAAGCAAATGCATTTGGGCTGTTGAGAACGATTCTGAGGCATATCAGCCATCTGTTCTTATTGTCCAGGAGACCTCAACCAGGAAGCTTGCACCTCCTTAAATGGCTCAATAACTAATCAATATCATATCATCAAAGTATAACTCATAAATAAATAAATGCCCCAGAAGTTGACATGCTGTTAACAGTTCGCTTTCAATATCATCTTTTCAAGAAAAAACTTTTTATAAATGACTATGGAATTCAGCAACACTTTCGCAGACAAAGCCTGTAGAGAAAGTGAGGTTGTGATAAATGAACAAACACAATAACAGCATACTAGGCTAGAACTAATAATATGATATATCTGTCTGTCTGTCTGTTTTCGACATAGAACTTTACACAAATGTGCGGAAGTTCAAGTCGCCACACTCCGTGTAGCACACGAAGCAAGAGAAGAAAGTACAAGAAAAGCATAACAGAAACAGTGAGCAGAGGTGTGAGACAAAGGAGTAATAAAGAAAAACAAAACAGTTTCATTGGAGATCATAAGTCACAGGGAGTGGATGCATCTGCGCCACTGAGAACGATTTTGAGCCATGTCACCAATTGTTTCCAAACATAGATTTTTACCGTCCCGAGGACCCCAGCCAGGAAGTCTACACCTTCCTACGTGGCTTAGACCAACTGTTGTGGATTTCATTGACTGGTGCCAAGTTTTTGTTTGACCGCCGCTAGCTTTTTTCCAGCCTGACCCTATATCCGCTAACATTGCTCGTCGAGGGAGGCGATGGCTTGGCCTCCAAAGCCTCAGGATGGTCGGGGGTGGGTGTTTTGCGCTGCGGGCTAGCCACCCCTCCGTACACCTCTTGAAATGCTCCCATATGACCGTGCGTCTTACATAGCCTCTCCTGAGGAAGTCCAACTTGCTGCCTTCACGTGGCGGTGTTTATTTCACCGAAGTGAGAGGGCAAAAGCGGATGCCCGGCGCTCTTCACCGGGTTGACTGTCCATTGGATGACAGTCTAGGGGAAATGGCTAAACCCTGATTCCAAACCTCCAACGACTGGCGTATGAAGCTCACCGGAGTTCACCGGCAGACGTATGGACAAAGAGCTTATTGGATGCCCTGGATGTCTGGCCCCATTCAAAAAGGCGTATGAACCGGACTCCGGTCACCGGCTGCCAATGGATAGTGGACTCCCTACTCCACTCCTACTGCCTTGTAGGTCACACTTGGCTGTGTAAAGGCTAGAGCTGCACTCTCAAACAAAAGGCCGAGCGATTCTGGGGACATCACTCGTACCCAATTCCCATGAAACTTCATCAACTCTCTTACAAACATTCGAGATGTTCATGAAGCCGGTTCATCCTCCCATAGGAGATAGCCGAAGTAAAGAAAGAAGAAAGATACGTAAACATGTCCTAACCATCTCAGTCTTTGTAACTTCACGACTTCGTCGATTGATCTCCCCTGTTTACCTAGAACTCAACGCCTAACCTCAATGTTGCTCACCTTATTATGCCATTTTACACGGGAAATAGAGCGCAGGCACCTATGATCCGATGCCTTTTCGTAATCTCCGCCTACGCCCCCACTGACTGCAGTTCAGATGAAACGAAGGATGAGTTCTATCAAAAGCTGTCTAGTTTGGTGCGAAAGGCTAAACGCTCAGACATAGTCGTTCTAGCTGGTGACTTTAACGCTCAAGTAGGGAAATTGTGTCAATCTGAGAAGGATGTCGGTGGCACCTATGGAGTTTCGTGCCAGCGAACCGACAACGGTGACCGTCTCCTACAGTTCTGTTCTGATAATCATTTGTTTCTTGCAAGCACTAACTTCAAACACAAGGAGAGACACTGTTTGACTTGGAGACCCCCTTCATCAAACCAACGCTGGACACAAATAGACCACATAGCAATAAGCTATATATAGACAGATAAATAATAGAATGATCCTATATTGGTGATATGATGATCGATGTCCAGTCAGAAAATAAACCAATCAGAATTTCGCCCACGTAAAATAACACCTACTGTTTTATGGATCATGATTACAGGCTAATTGACATGAACCTTGATGATACTTTATATCATACGTTATTGCGGAAAGTATACTTTGCGGCTGACTTCATGTTGTGTATTCTCATTTAAGTAGTGCGGGCTCAGGACGCACAGGTTGTTGGCGTAGTCAAACAGTATTAGATAGTTGGAGGCAATCGGCAGGAAGCCTTGGACCTAGGTTTGGTGCTAGTTGACACTCATCAGCAAGCCGAATCTACAAACTTGAAGGAACTCGTGTCTCTTCTGAGATTCGAACCCGCGTCACCCAATGCTGCAGTCAAAAACGTCACAGTGATATAAGAATAAAACTTGTGCACTATGGTAGAGTGTAATTCCATTATGGGTAAATTTTGTTTTGATAAAGTCTCACAGTGTTGTTATACAGTAATGTTTACTGATGACGTTTCGAGCACAATTTATTGCCACTCATAATCATGTCAAGGTACTCACACGACTTCCTAACTTCATTTATTTAGTTTCATTATTTTTCACTTGATTTGATTGGTAGTAGTATTTTCCATATTTCGGTTATGAGTGATGAATCACTCCTATTGCATGTGTCGGTTGTAGACTTGATGAACAAGGATTCAGTAATCAACCTCTCTCTCCACCTACCTAGATTACTTTTTAGAATTTTAACCCTATCCCACCCTATTGTGTGGTTGTTTGTTAATGCGTGAAGTGCAATAACTGAGCTTTTTTTCTAAATTACTTATCTTCTCGGGGTCAACCATTCTTACCTTAACCACTAAATTCTTATGTCCCAACAATCTGATTACTCCCGGTCTACTAGTTTGACCTATGTAGTTGACCTAACTCACAGCCATTGCAGGGTATTTTGTAAATCATATTAGTTTGTCTAGTTGGGTCAACTGGGTCCTTTAACCTACACAGCTTCCCCCTGAGTGAGTTTGTAGGTTTGAATGCCACCCTAATTCCTGCTTTATTAAGAATCCTACGTAGGGTCTCAGATATCCTCTCTTTACATGGTATACCGTAGATGACTTATATTCTCTCTTACTTATGTGATCATTATTAGTTTCACCATCATTTGCATTCTGCTTTTGGCCTTTTTCAATCTTCCTAATGAATTTTAAAGGATAGTCATTTCACACCAACGCCTCTTTTATCTGTTTTATTTCATCATTTAGGTCTTTTTTCGTGCTACTTAGTGCTACTTCTCGGTTTACAGATACGCCTTGCTGATGAGTGTCAACTAGCACGTAACCTAAGTCCAAGGCTTCCTGCCGACTGCCTCTAACTATCTAACATCGAATCAATGTGCACCGTGATGGCGAGTTACCTAAAAATGGTGGTCACATTGCAAAACCTGACTGACAGAATTCAGTCTGAACCAAAGAAAGGACTAGACACATCACACTACTTGCTAGTGTTCAATCAAAGTAGTCAAACGGTATTCGTGATCAATGGGTCTGTGTCCAACTCGGCGCGTCCCTATTTCAGTCACGACATATTGTTGATAGATCTCATTAGATGAAGGGTTTTGTTTTTACTTTCAATTCAATACACCAACAAGGTACATTAGATATTGAAACAAAATGTAAAAGAAAATACCTGTGACAAAGATTAAAAGCTTACCTAAACTGTTGCATATCCATGCATATTGTTCATTGCGATCGTTGTATTCAGATGTTCGTAAAGCATGAGTCACACCTTCGAGACTATCCACAACTGGACAGGCAAAATCATACAATGGATAAACCCTTTTAAACAACAACAAGAACAAAAGCAAAAACAGAACAGTGAAGCATAGTGATTGCTAGAGCAGCATATATTGTAGAATAACAGTTGAATAGTTTTTATTCTTTAGTGGTAAAGTACTATTGTTAGACGAACTAATAACAAAATTGTATCTCATTTGACTATGAAAAAAAAAGTAAAAATATAGGAGTGAACTAATTAGAAATAACAATAATGAATAACGCTATACTTATGCTGAGGCTATAATATCACTCACATTTTTAATGTGTTCTTTAAAATGTGATCAACACTGAGAATATCATAAATGCTTTCTTATAATGTAGACTCGAGTACTGAATTACAACACGTTGAAACGAATACGCCCAATCAATGTAAATAAAAGCTTACTTATTAGCTTAATATCTTTTTGATATGGTTGTGTTCTCTGACCTAGCTGGATAGTTAATTTGCGGAGCTTTCATCGCCCCACCCACTAGGCAACATCTTCAGCGAATACTTCAATTCAATGAAGTGAGCTTTTAGATTTCTCCATAAGTTTATTAATCATCTCTCCTTGTGTGTGACCTTGGATGTGATTGGTTGTTTTTGTGTGTTTTCACACCTTCTAGTTTACTTGTATTGAAACTGATTGTTTCCTTGACTTGAACTTTGACCCTTTGTGTGTGAGGTTTCCTCCTATCGATTGGTAAATTTTGTCCATCTCGATGTGTCTATTGATTGACGATTAACTGGAATACCAGGCAGGCTTCTAAAAATTCTCGGCCAGCGTTCTTGTTTCCTCAGTCTAATATTTGAAACTTTTTTGTCCCAGTCGAACTGATGTCCGTGGTTGTCTGTATGTAGTGATAGAGGGAGTGGATGTCATTTATTTTTATGCCTACCTTATGTTCGTGGATACGAAGGCAAAGGGAACGTCCACTTTAGCCAATGTAGTGTGTTTTCGCAGTTGTTACAATTTATTTTGTAAGTAAATAAATAAATACAAAATAAATTGTAACAACTGCGAAAAACACCAACTACATTGGCCAAAATGGACGTTCCCTTCGCCTTCGTATCCATGATGATAAGCTAACCGTCAAAAGACAGGATATCCACTTCCTCATATCACTATATACAGACCACCACAGACATCAATTCGACTGGGAAAACGTTCAAATATTAGACAGAGGAAACACCAAGAGTGCTAGAGAGTTTTTAGAAGCCTGGTATCCCAGTGAATAGTCAATTAATAGACATATCGAGATGGACAAAATTTACCAATCGATAGGAGGGAAACCTCACACACAAAGGGTCAAAGTTCAAGTCAAGGAAACAATCAGTTTCAATACAAGTAAACTAGAAGGTGTGAAAACACACAAAAACAACCAATCACATCCAAGGTCACACACAAGGAGAGATGATTAATAAACTTATGGAGAAATCTAAAAGCTCACTTCATTCAATTGAAGTATTCGCTGAAGATGTTGCCTAGTGGGTGGGGCGATGAAAGCTCCGCAAATTAACTATCCAGCTAGGTCACAGAACACAACCACATCAAAATCATCCACCTGAACTACAAATCTTCTCTATCATAGCTTAATATCCTCAGAATCCCCAAGAGGATACTCCAAAAATTGGAGTAAATCAAGATGCTCCTCCTTGACACTTCTTAAAGTGCATATCTATTTGAATGTCACTGTGGTGGATAATACATAAGTAGGTAATGCGGAAAGGCGACACAGTCTACTCGCATGGTTGAATACTTGTCAAATACTTGAAGTTTATAGAAGCGAAAGCCTCCACGAGTTGAATGACGAAACACTTATATCACAGTCATGATATTGAGACTTTTAAGTCATCCACTGTCATCAGAAAGAAATGAAGGAAATACTGAAGTCGAAGAGGCTTGAACGACTACTGTCTATACATTATGTTTCCGTATTCAAGGGGTGTGGTAGTGGGATGTTGTCGCTTTGAGTCCACGATGATAGTGTGGTGGTGTGATATAGACAATGTGTGCCAACGGAATATGATTCTCACATATTCCTACAGTTCAATACAGCATTAGCAACAGAATACGATGCATCTATTTGAACATTCTATTTCATGTCGTTTAATGTAAGCCAAAATCACACGTCGAGTGATTGGTTAAAGAATATACACTGTACATATATAAACAGCGGCTTGATCAATAAAAAAAAGATACAGAAATCGAATAAAGTCATTTAAATCCTGTTTAATTAAACGTATTATTTGTTTCATATTCGTCTTAACAAAGGTATGTTTACAGTTTCAGAATATTAGGAGCATTTCATCTTTGACAAACAATAAATGCCACTAAATAAATACCACTGTGAATATTTGCTTTTCAATTGATTATTTACGAAAGGAATATGTTCATTCAGTAGATAAATTAAACAGTGAACTTATGTTACTTGGAAAATACCTAAAAGAAAATGGCCACCCCACCCCCCACTTTCGAAAAGTTTCATCAATAAATACCGGCAAGAAAGAACATAAAAATTTACATATAATTACAGTAGAAAGAAACCAATGTTCATTCAACTTGATTTCAAAAGTGATGATGACATTATGACTGACGAAGAAACGCTGAAGTACAGCAATGACCAGGGCGTATCAGGCAGTCTCTCTCTACTTCGAACACCCTACTCGTTGCCACAGTCAAAAATTCACAAGCACCTCTCATATGTCACTGCCAATTGTGAATATCACTTCACGTGTAACTGTGGACATAGTTACATTAAGAGAACAGGAAGAAGGGCTTATGCCAGATTCTTTGAATATGTATACCAAAGAGCCTACACAATTACCAAACACCTGATAGACATAGGGCACCGAGTGGATGCATTAAGAGTATTCAAAATAATTAACAAACAAAAAAATTCAAATCTTAGTCGGTTTTCTGAGGCTAACAGAATAAAACAACTGAAACCTGACTTATCTTCCTACGTGACTGGCTTTAGCTAACTGTTGTGGACTTCACTGACAGATGAAGCCATGTTTTCGTCTGATCGCCACTGGCTATTTTCCAACTTGATCCATTCTATGTCAGCTAACATTGCCTGTCGAAGAAGACGATGTCTAGGCATGAGTAACGCGTGTCCTAACCATCCATCTTAATCGATGTAACTTCACAACCTCGTCTATTGATTTCCCCTCCAACTCACCTAGCATTCAACCAATGCCTAACCTCAATATCGCTCACCCTATCATACCACTTCACACGGGAGATACAACGCAGGCACGTATGATCAAAGACAGCTAGCTGACCTTTTCATGTCTTCCACTCTCAATAGTCATGTGTTATTCACAGCCATAAAGGAGGACGGGACGGACTGATGAGCAGTACACCCGCCCTTAAGTCGAAAACCGGATATCATATCTATGCCAGAGACGGCGTACACTGGCATATGCGAAACTAGCCTTCTGTGTATCCGTGCTGAGATTTCGTCAGCGATCAACCCGTTGGCGTTGGCTGATACAACTTCCAATTAAGTGAAGCGGTCAACGTGCTCCACCACTTCACTCCCTATTTCTATGCTGGGAGTCAGTGTAGTCCAGTCCTGTAGCCTGATCATCTTACATTTGGCGGGAGCGAATCGCACGTCAAACATTAGAAGATTGCAGCTCAAGGTGTTCAGAAGACTGCAACAGTCCCTATTGAAGGATTGATTCATGATTCTAAAGAAAATGTATGTTAAATTTGTATTACAACTGGTTTTGCTGAATATTGTATAGGTTGTACGCAGCTGATTACAATCAAGGAAATAGAGTGGATCCATATTACTCTGAAACTAATGTTTGTTCTATATCAGTGCAAAATTATTTACTGTTGAACTGTTGTTTAGCGTCGGTCACCACCCTTAAGTGATCTTAAAATGGCAGTTCATGACGAAATCCGCCTTGAAATTAAGCCAACACTTGAAGGCAGTTAAAAAACAAATTTAACTGAACCATGCAACGGTTGGTATAAGTCAGTGAAATGCACCAACTGTTTTTTTTTAGTCGAACAAATACACTTCCATCAAAACTCACTTATACTTGGAGCCTGTACGGATATGCGGTTCTAGTTTACAACGATAAATTGTTGGATCACGTAAAGCTCCATTATTCGAGGACATATCAATTTTAGCACGGACACAACACTTTAATCCATGTTCTGTTCCATTTTTCATTTCCTCCCACCAGGTTAAATTCTTTTCGATAGCTAGATAAAAATGTAAATATATTACAGAAAGAATTATTTACGAAATAAACAATTTAACAAACCAACAACCTAATCTAGTTTGTCATTTTATTGCCTGTAAACATCGAACATTTAAAGCAGTGTGTACTAGTGTCGTGTCAAGCTGGGGTCTTTACTTTTCTTACATTGAGGGTTTTACCACACACACACACACACACACACACACACACACACACACACACACAGGCACTAGCACACAGGCAACATTGATACATTCGCTGTGTCCTAAATCCTCTGGCTTAATTGGCTGTTTAGAAACAAAATAACACTGGATGCTACACCTGGTCACTTGATAGACAATTAGGTGCATTATCTACCCCAAAAAGTAGCACAAATACATGACTGACTAACTGGTTTCAATATAGAACTTTGTACAGTTGTGCAGCAGTTCGAGTTGCCACTCTCCCTCCGTGTAGCACACAAAGCAAGAGAAGAAAGTAGAAGAAATGCATAATACAGACAGTAGACACGGATATGAGACAAACAGAATAGTAATAACGAAGAACATAATTTTATTGGAAATTATAAGCCACAAGGAGTGGATGCATTTGCACCAGCCATTAAGAACGATTTTGAGCCATATCACCGATTGTCTCCATCCCGACGACTTCAACTAGGAAGTCTACACCTTCCTATGTGGCTGTATTGAACTAACTGTTGTGGATTTCATTGACTGAAGTCATGTTTTGGCTTGACCACCACTGGCTATTTTCCAACCTGACCCTATGTCAGCCAACATTGGCTGTTGAGGAAGGCGATCGATGACTAGGCATGCGTAACACATGCCCTAACCATCTCAATCGAATTAACCTCACAACCGCATCGATTGGTTCTCCCTCCTTATCTAGCACTCGACCGATGTCCAACCTCAATATTGCTCACCCTATTATACCACTTAACACAGGAGACAGACGCAGATACCTACGATCAAAGACAGCTAGCCAGGTTTTTCGTATGTTCCACTGTCAATAGCCATGTCTCACAACCATAAAGGATGACAGAACGAATTGCTGAGCAGTACACACGCTCTTTGGCCGATAGCCAGATATCACGTCTACACCAGAAATGACGTAAGTCCGTAAATGCTACATCGGCCTTTTGTATCCATGCTGCGATTTCGTTATCAATCTGCCCAGTGGAGTTGATGCAAAATTCCCAAATAATTGAAGTGATCGACACACCTAACCACTTCACTTCCCATCGCTAAACTAGGAGTCGTTGCAGGCCACTCTTGCATCATCATCTTACATTTGATAGGAGCAAATTACATGCCAAACATTCGAAGATTACTTGCTCAAGGTATTCAGGAGATCCCGCATTTTACCAGCATCTTCATCTAAGAGCATAACGTCACCTGCATATTTTAAGTCAACAAAACTTTTCTCTGGTAACAAGTCAATCCCTAGGTCGCTAAAGTCAGGTTATATGTATATAACCTGCTTCCTCTAAGTAGTTTTGGATAGCTGCGTAGTACAGAATAAACATGGCTGATCGCCTAATGCATAAATATGTTACTAGGAGGTATATGTTGACATAACATACTTCTATTCTAACACTATCCACACCGAATGGCAATTTAATAAGGTAACATTCAATAGAACTAATTTGCCGAATAGTGCGGGTTCGATTCCCAGACAACGCACTCTCAAACCTCATCTAGTTCGTCACTAGCCGACACCAAGTCCGCAGAAAATAAAAGGCTGGGTGTAAAGTAACAACACGGTTACTGAAACTTCAAAACCTAAAACTTGAAGCCCAACCAACGTTTATTGGAGTGCAAAGGAATGACACCATCTACCTCAAACAACGATATATTGAAAAACAAAGACCAGAACTATGAAAACCAAGTTTCAAAGTTATCAAATAACATTTCTTAGGACTAAAAGTAATCACTGAAAATACCCATTGAGTCATGAACAAAATAAAAGACATTCAGCGAAGAAGATTTTCTTTATCGACGAAATCATCTTCAGAGGCTGTACAGTCGTATTTATACTTACAAAAATATATAGTGGTCTATTATTGAGCAATAGGGGGTGACATAATTGACATAATTACTCAGAAGTGGCTCTAGAAGTGAAAATTAAAAGTTGTAAATTACGTGGTACTCAACGGCACAAAGTTATAAATTTGATAAGGTTAAAATTGATTTTTGAGTGAGAATAAAGGTAGTTGACTGTCAATTTAACAAGTGTGAAGAGGGTGTGAAAATATACTAAAGAAGCATATGAGTGACAATTGTAAACTAATTAGTAAAGCAAAGCGAACTAAAAAGAAAATTAAAAAGGAAAAGAAAAAATCAAAATTTTTTACAGGGAACGACTAGTGAAGAGGTTAAGACCAAGGTAGAATAAGAGACTGGACAAACTTCTTCTGTATACAGAGTTCAGGGTTGTATTGACGAATTGCCAGCGGCTCCGCCATACACAAAGGCCGAAACCTGACGCCCTTTGTACCGTTTGGCTTCACTTTGTAGATGATCTTGAAAAATGACTCTGGTGGAGCTACGTGGCCTGAGTTCACCAAATGCTCGAGAATTGAGCTAGTAATTGTCTTGGATTGTCCTTTTGCTAACCATGCAGGATAATGTTCAGAGGTGCGTTTGGAAAGCGTGCGCTTTGTGTGGCCAATATAACTACTCCACACGAGCAGGTGAATTTATAAACACACATCGAAGTGGCCCAAAGCGAAAGTTTATCCTTCACACATCGGCTGTAGAAATTGATACGTAGCTCAGCCATAAAGAAGGCTTTCATCAGTGATCTGTATAAGCGATTCTTCAGGATCTCAGCTGCGGTACCATCTTTAAATTCAACACTCATAAATAGCAGTTTCTTCGGCACTGTCTGGATTCTTTCAGGCTTTTCCCTTAACTTCATGTTTTTCTAGGTAAATCTTGGAGGATATCCATTCTCTATGAGGATTTGCCTGAGTCACCCCAGTTCCCCATCGATTGTATCACTGGAACATTCCTGATTCTTGAGGGTAAGGAGTGAGTCAGATCTCTCTTTCTTCTCAAAGGGACCCAACTATGGAAATTTGTGTACTGACCATTCCATGTCGGTTTCCTGTAGATCGATCTTTGAAGAGAACCATCAGACCTCCTTTTTAGAAAAACATCCAAAAAATGGAATTCCGAGTTAATCTCTGATTCCGACGTGAACTGGATGGCATGATAGCAGCTGTTGAACTCTTTAGTTATCAATTCGATGTCGGTATTGTCGTCACATATGATGAAAGTATCATCCATGTATCTTTGGTACAAACGGAAACTATCGATAGCTGGCCGTAAAATACTATTCTCCAAACTTGCCAAGAAGCAGTCTGCGAGTAAAGGACCCAATGGTGACCCCATTGCCACCCCATCTCTTTGTCTATAAATCGTGTTGTTGAACTTGAATTGGACATTTAGAGTGCACCTTAATATTAGTTCCTTTAAGTAATGGATCGGAACACACACGTCTACATTACTATCCTCAATGAATTTGCATATAAAGCAAATAGTTTCATTTTCTTCCCAGATACATTAGCATCCAAGATATGAGCAATAAAAATAACTTAATAGTATGATTACTGCATTGATAAACATGAAACTTACAATTATCTCTGCAAGCAGAAATTTGTCTAGCTTCTCTTTGAATACGAATAGTCTCCAAGTCTGTGTCGTCTACATAGGCTTTACCTTCTCTGATCAACTTTTCGCACAAGTGTAACATTTGATCAAAATAGTCAGATGTAGACGACATCACATCCCATGTGACACCAATTCGTGGTAGATCAGATAGAATTGATTTCTCAAAGCATTCTTTTTCTTTATCCGGATTAGTATCATCAAAGCGTAATATTAACCGGCCTTTAAATATTTCCTAGTGATAAAAAAATTACAAAAGTGGTGTATTTACAGAGGATATAACGAAAGTTACATTAGATTGAAAGTCATGTTTCATGAATAGGCAAACAAGAAGTACTAAACACGCATAACCAGTCTTCAGATTACACGAATATAGTTACTCCACAGTCAGGCTAGTTTCGCATATGCCAGTTTACTCTGTCTCTGGCGTAGATATGATATCCGGCTGGTTATCGACTTAAGGGCGTGTGTACTGCTCGTCAGTTCGCTTCGTCCTCGTTTATGGCTGTGAGACATGGCCATTTACAGTGGAACATACGAAAAGCCTGGCTAGCTGGCTTAGATCCCGTGTGAAATGGTATAATGTGAGCAATATTGAGGTTAGGCATCGATCAAGTGCTAGGTGAGTTGGAGAGGAAATCAATAGATGAGGTTGTGAAGTTACATCGATTGAGATGCTTAGGACATGTATTAGTCAATCCTAAACATCGTCTTCTTCCACAGGCAATGTTAGCTGATATAGAATGGATCGGGTTGGAAAAGAGCCAGTGGTGGTCAAACCAAAACATTACCTCATCAGTCAGTGGAGTCCACAATAGTTAGTTTAAGCCCATCATGTAGGAAGGTGTAGACTTCCTGATTGGGGTCTTAGGGATGGTAAAAACCAATGGCTAGAAACAACTGGTGATATGGCTTAAAATCGTTCTCAATGGCTAGTGCAGAGGCATCCACTCCTTGTGACTTATAATACCTAGTGAAACTATATTGTTCTTCGTTATTACTATTCCTTTTGTCTCATATCCCTGTCTACTGTCTCTATTTCGCATTTCTTCTACTTTCTTCTTTTGCTTTTTGTGCTACATGGTGTGGCGACTTGAACTGCCGCACATCGGTGCAAAGTTGTGTGTCAAAAACAGACAGACGTGTCTTAGCCATGTAAATTAGCGATCTCATGGTGATATGTTTTGATCCTCAAAACAACGCAAACAAACCAAACAAAAGAAAACACTGCAATGAAGTAAAATTATCACAATAATTACGTCACTAAAGTAAGATACAGGGATAATAAACTACGCTAGCACTAGATTAAACACTCAGGCGCTACAAAACGTAAACAGACAGGTTAACATCGAAATGTAGAATGCAATAGAATAATTCAATATTTCAAGATTGTTCATTAACTCAACAGTAGAATAGATACTAATGTAGAGAGAAAGTTAAATGAACTAGCGAGACATAAGTTGACCACATAATCTAAAGTACAAGCCAAAGTTTCTTGAATGAACACATACAAACAAAGATATCTTATTGTGCTTAATTGTTTATGTGTAGCTTGTGATCAAGTCCTGATAACTGTCAAATTTTACTGTCTTCAAAAATCATGATTTTTAGTGGTCGTACTTTGTTATCTGCAAACTGTTATCCAACTTTCAAAGGTGATATTGAGAAAAAAGGACAAGAACCTCACTCATAAGATGGATTTTAAGTTAACAACTAATTTTAGTTGAGGGTAATTAAGTAATTAGAACTGTGAATTTATAAGTGTAACCCTTAAAAACCAACTACAGAAAAAGTAACTGTCTTTTAGTCAGTTATTGTACAAATGTATATTCACTGTCCAAAATACTTCGAGGTAGCACAGAGTGATTGTCAACATAAGAACTTCAGTTGACCATTAGAATGAAACCACCTATTGTTCTTTAGAAGTGTGCAGTTATCAAAATATCAATATCTTAACTTTTAAATTCAAGTTGACACTTGCAACAGTAGAAATGATTTGAAAAATAAACAATATTGATTGTACAAGTCATATAAAAGCATTACAACTACAAAATGTCTTACCCTATAATGTTGATTTAATAGAGCTGCTTTAGCATGACCAATATGTAAGTATCCACTAGCCTCTGGAGGAAAACGAACCACAACTTCGCCTACTTTTGCACCGGGAAGTTCACCGAATTTTCCACCCTTCTCAAACCTCATATCTGAAGCGTGAGTCTTACCAATGACATCACTTGTTAATTCTGTTTCATCAGTAAGACTTTTCGAGGTTATTTTCGATTCATGAATTTTTGTTTTCAGTTTTTGAATTGACGGAAGAGAACTGAGTTGGTCATAATATCGTTTGAGATTAGTAAAGGACTTAACATTGTTTTCTGGTTTATTATGTTCACTCCACCTTGGACTTACTATATAATTTCAAAAGGTATTATTGAAAAATTAGAAACATTAGTACAGAAAATCGCATTTTAGCTAGTAGACATATCATTATAAAACATCTACGGCGGAAAATAAATCCAATAAAGTGTAGCTAAATTTGGTGTACATCTGGACGATACTGACAAACCTAACCTAACATGATAAGTGTGGTTCATAACCAGACATTGTGTTCTAAAAGTGTATAAGAGTGACATTTTAAATGAGGAAGTTTTAGGGAGATAGAACATTGCATAATGTTGAGTTATTCTTCACAGTGCAGCTAAAATCTAACGGAGCTTAGTAATCACGTCATATCCTATCAGCCATGGCTTCTAATACATTAACACTAGCGAGAAATCCTAATGGTAAGTGCCGTGTAAAGAAGCAATGCATCCCCACTAATAGTCTTCTACAAGCCACAAACATAGAGGATTCAATTAGAGCCCGGGACTGACAAGAAAGTCTATAGCTTCCCATAATTTCTAACTATTAGTTAAAGGGACTGCCTTCTGGATACAGTGACGGATTCCACCACGTAGACAAACTAGCATCGCCACTAAATAATTTAGGGTGTAAGTGAAATACCTCTGTGAAAGCTTGTCATTATAAGAAATAGACAGCATCAAACCAAGTTCGGAAGAAATTTGCTTGCTCATCCAAAACTGCTGGGATTATTTATGTTTTTTAGGCTATCATCGAAATCGAATATATGCAATACTTATGTACTGAATAAATCGACTTTGTCAGCAGACTAACACACCACCGTTGGCCGTATGGTTACCGTACAGCTAGACAAGATGATTGTGACATTGAAGAGACAGAGTATGTTGAAGGCTAATATCCTAACGTTGTGCATTTTTACGGGCAAACGTCACCCAAAATATAACTAAAAGTACTAGCATAAATATGAATTACTGACTCACTTTCAAGGAAAATCCATATGGCTAAGTCGGACAATGTTAACTCGTTGCCATTGATATACGTGGAACTCGCAACAACCTTATCAAGCTCTCTGACAGCCCATGAGAAACTACTATCCGAATTCAAATACGTTGCAGCAAATCTAATCCAATTATAAGTCTACTTTTCATAATTTTGGTAAAACTATGTTAACTTACCTGAATGTCGTGTCCAGAGAATGTTTGCTGGAGAGGTGATCTCACTAAATAAAACGTGTGGTATGTTAAACTTACTTTAAAAGCTCTTTATTTACTTCGTAGTTGTGAAGCTTCAATGAGTTCCTCAAAGTTTCAAAACCTAATTATAAAGATTAGAAAAATACTCCAACCCACATGTGTCCATGCCGAACGAGAAACAACCTTCTAGTGACCTTGGAGATTAAAAGTGATTCGCCCTCTATCCAATTTCCAATAATTACGATGTAAGCTAATGTAAAGCAAAATAATTTCTTGACACTCTATTCTTAGTCATGACTTAAAGGTCCTTGATCTTCAGCGCAAGTTATTGGTCCCTCTAGTCCTCTATGGTAGCTCAGATAGACCCTGAGTCGAGTACGAGGTTGGTCAAATCTGAACGGAGTCTGTGGTTGACTAACTATTAAAGTAGAAGTCTATATCGAAGACGCTGAAAATCATTATCCAAAGGTTCCATTCGAAATACACGTTGGGTGATAATTTACTGCTGTAGTGACCTAGTAAGGCTGTGTAGGCCGAAAAATATTAAATTATATGTTCATTGCAAGTAGGTGAAACTTATGAATTCACTGAACATCATAGATGCTAACTGACATGTTGAATAAGGAATCCATCTTGTTTACTGAGCACTATGGGTAGCACAACTTCCCTTCTCCAGCGTTTTGCTCCTCACCATTAACTGTCATCTCTGGCCCGTACCTTATCGGTATATTCATGTTCCGAGTCCATTGATTCAATTCCCTTTTCTCTTTGCACTTATCCCTCGGGCTGTTGTTTACTCTTGCGTGGAGTGAGCAGCTGCAGATCAAAAGTACTACCTCATTACTTCACCTCTGTACGTCCAAATTTACGTATTTGAGAACAATTATAACTCACAAAATAACTGTACTTCATATATATTTTAAAACAAGCAATAAAGGTTAATAAAGCAGGATTTAATGAATTCATCAAATTTCGGTAGAACTCGTCAGCTGAATACTCTACATACACGGATATATATACTTTTGAAATTACATTGGGAGATATAAGACTGATAAGTTGAATACTCTACATACACGGATATATATACTTTTGAAATTACATTGGGAGATATAAGACTGATAAGTAAACAAACTACATTGAATTAATCATGCAGAGAGACAGGTGCGAATATTTTCCAGGTCATGTTCAAATAGATAAGGGGAGAGAGAGTATGAGAGATCAAAATTAAGATAAATGGCATTACGCTTCAATTGCATCACTTAGATAAACAATTAGTCACTAGGGAATATAAGGAGAATTGCAAACAGACTAATATCAATAGTAATAGTTATAATAACAGTTTTAATAGTGTTGAAGTGAGTTAAGATAATCTTACTGATAAAGCATAGTTTTAGATGAATCAAGAATAATGGTAATAATAATAACAATAATAGTAAGAAGAAGAAGAGGTAGAATAATAACAAGTAGAGAATAAAACGTATTACCATGGTAGATTAAGAGTTACGACCATCTCCTTTTGTATACAGAGAGCTGGTTTATAAATTCGAATTGCACAAGCCTCTGCAATTGCAAGCATCTTCTTGTTTCTTTGTTTGCTGACAATGGTAAATGACTTGACTGCGTCGATATCATGTCCGTAATCTACAAGATGTTTTGTTATTGAGGATTTTGGCACCTTGAACTCAGCTGTTTTCAACCATTTTGGCAAATGCTCCATCATGCGAGTAGACAATCGCCTTTCCGTACGACCTATGTATTTGCTGCCACAAACACACTCAAATTGATATATGCAGTTTGAAGTGTCGAGGATTGGCGACTGGTCTTTCCCAGATTGTTGAAGCACTCGCTTGGTGGTGTTAAGGATAACAAGTTTTGCAGCATAATAAGTTCTCTTGATGGCTTTGTCGAGTCTTCGTTTCACTACTTCTTGTACGTCATCTCCTTTGAACGGTAAATTGATATAAACAGGTTTCTTTGGAACTGTTTGAATTGTTTTGCGGGGGTAGTTTCTTTGGAGTATTTATTAATGAACTTCTCAGGATATCCATTATTAGATAAAATATCCTTCAGAGATTTTGTTTCCTGTTCAATAGTACTGTCAGAACAAATTTTCCGTGCTCTATTGAACAGTGTTCTGACTAGGTTCTTTTTGTACTGGATTGGGACAAAGCTCTTGAAATGCATGTACTGTCCTGTCCATGAAGACTTTCTAAATATAGATCTTTCGATTGTGCCATCATTCATTTTGGCTAGAAAAACGTCTAGGAATTTCATAGTATTGTTTTCCTCGTGTTCTACTGTGAAATTGAGATTCGGATGGCATGAATTGAATTTTATCAACATGTCTTCCGCTTTTGATCTGCTTTCACAGACAATAAAAATGTCATCAACATATCTTAGGTATACATTTGTTTCTTGTATGTGCTGCTGCAAAGCACCGGTTTCTAGGCGTGACAAGAATAAGTCGGCGAAAAGTGGTCCCAAAGGGCTTCCCATTGCGACACCATCAACTTGACGGAATAGACGCCCGTTGAATTGGAATTGGACATTTTTAGTACATAAAAGTAGTAATTTCCTCAATTCCGATGTTGGAATGGGTATGTCTTCAGCTTCTTTACATATGAAGTCGATAGTCTCAACAACTGGCACATTTGTGAAAAGGGAGGTAACATCGAAAGAGACCAAATGCTTATCGGATACATTGAAATCTTTAATTTGATTGACAAATTGAAATGAATCAGAGACTATATGTGTTCCGAAACGTTTCAACAATGGCTGCAACAGTTCACATAACCACTGTGCTAGTCTGTGGTACGGCGAGTTTATCATAGAGAGTATGGGTCTTAACGGCGCTCCTGGTTTGTGTATTTTTACGCGTCCGTATAGTTTTGGGATTTGTGACCCAATCGGTTTGATATTTCTATATGTGTTTTCGTCTATGTATTTATTTTTGAAGAGTTGTCGTAGATGCTGCACAATTTTCCTTTCGGTTGATAACGTTTGGTCTTTTGCATGGTTATCCAATTTGAATTTAGATTCATCGGCGAGAATTTGATGCATTTTTTCGAGATAATCTATCTTGTTCATTAGCACTACACTTTGTCCTTTATCAGCTTGTAGGATAACAAGATTTTTGTCTTTTCGAAGCTTGTTTAAAGATCGCCAGTGTTCTTTGGTGATATGCGACTTTTGATTGGTCGGCATGACTCGAAATTGATGAGCGATATCAACCATCTTTGCTTTCAACCAGCTTTCGCTGTCACTGGACGTGGCATGTAGCCCCATAAGTTGATCATAAAGATTTTCGAATTGGCATTCGATATCGATTTGCTTTATCTTCTTCATGGGAACACAGAATTTGAATCCCAATGACAGAATTTCTGCTTGTTCTTTTGATAGGGAAACATCAGATAAATTGTGAACATAATTAGATATATCCACTGGGAAAATTTCATTTGGCGGTTCCGGATAAAGTGACTTCTTCAGTTTCTTTACTTCTGATTCTTTTGTCTTTTTTGATGTGGCATGCAGATATTTAGTGAATTTAATATAACATACGAAGTTTAAGTCATTTTGTACATTGATCAGTTTGCTTGACAATAGGCATAAATTACTGATTTCATCTGTTTCAGAAGACAAATGTGATTCAGCAAGACGGTAAAGATTCGCTCGTGTAGGTCTCAGATGATCTTTACGCAAGGATTTGTAAAATGTTCGAGGATAAATATTATTCTGGATACATTCTTTCAAAAAATCTCGTCGTGCAGAGTGTTTAGCAATCCTGCACTTCAATTTCACTAGATCATTTAGTGCATTGATAGTGCTTTTTGGGAGACGCTTCTTCAAGAATTGAAAACATTTATTTCCCGATACGAATTTAAAACAAGCAATAAAGGTTAATAAAGCAGGATTTAATGAATTCATCAAATTTCGGTAGAACTCGTCAGCTGAATACTCTACATACACGGATATATATACTTTTGAAATTACATTGGGAGATATAAGACTGATAAGTTGAATACTCTACATACACGAATATATATACTTTTGAAATTACATAGGGAGATATAAGACTGATAAGTAAACAAACTACATTGAATTAATCATGCAGAGAGACAGGTGCGAATATTTTCCAGGTCATGTTCAAATAGATAAGGGGAGAGAGAGTATGAGAGATCAAAATTAAGATAAATGGCATTACGCTTCAATTGCATCACTTAGATAAACAATTAGTCACTAGGGAATATAAGGAGAATTGCAAACAGACTAATATCAATAGTAATAGTTATAATAACAGTTTTAATAGTGTTGAAGTGAGTTAAGATAATCTTACTGATAAAGCATAGTTTTAGATGAATCAAGAATAATGGTAATAATAATAACAATAATAGTAAGAAGAAGAAGAGGTAGAATAATAACAAGTAGAGAATAAAACGTATTACCATGGTAGATTAAGAGTTACGACCATCTCCTTTTGTATACAGAGAGCTGGTTTATAAATTCGAATTGCACAAGCCTCTGCAATTGCAAGCATCTTCTTGTTTCTTTGTTTGCTGACAATGGTAAATGACTTGACTGCGTCGATATCATGTCCGTAATCTACAAGATGTTTTGTTATTGAGGATTTTGGCACTTTGAACTCAGCTGTTTTCAACCATTTTGGCAAATGCTCCATCATGCGAGTAGACAATCGCTTTCAAGAGCTTTGTCCCAATCCAGTACAAAAAGAACCTAGTCAGAACACTGTTCAATAGAGCACGGAAAATTTGTTCTGACAGTACTATTGAACAGGAAATAAAATCTCTGAAGGATATTTTATCTAAGAATGGATATCCTGAGAAGTTCATTAATAAATACTCCAAAGAAACTACCCCCCGCAAAACAATTCAAACAGTTCCAAAGAAACCTGTTTATATCAATTTACCGTTCAAAGGAGATGACGTACAAGAAGTAGTGAAACGAAGACTCGACAAAGCCATCAAGAGAACTTATTATGCTGCAAAACTTGTTATCCTTAACACCACCAAGCGAGTGCTTCAACAATCTGGGAAAGACCAGTCGCCAATCCTCGACACTTCAAACTGCATATATCAATTTGAGTGTGTTTGTGGCAGCAAATACATAGGTCGTACGGAAAGGCGATTGTCTACTCGCATGATGGAGCAT